ACGAAGAAACTAGAAAAGCTGTACTGACTCTCGTCCAGACCGTCGATGCCACGCCGAGAGCTGCACCCTCCCACGGCTATGTGCCGACATCAGCCAGGACTGGGCCTACTGTCAAAAGCGTACGCCTTACCCGCTCGTTCTGGGGGATTTACATTTACAACATTTGGCTCCACTGCCAAGATACATCACAGACAGCTAACAAAAAGACCTCCCCCCGATAGATACTTGCTTTCTCGAAGGCTGTAATCTCAAGCGTGCCGCTACCTCCAGCATGTGCAGCATCCACACACCCACCTGTCTCATCCCGGACTGCCACGAGATCCGATCCGACCAGGGCCTCTACTGCCTCTCCCACAGCTGCTGCGCCAAAGACTGCGGAAATGTCATAAACGGCGGGAGCTGGTGCAAGCTTCACAAGACGTGTAAAGTCGAGGACTGCACGCAGCCGCGGGCTTCCCTGCCGGCACCCCGACCGACATTGACGACCGCCACAGACGCAGATGGCATCGGAGGAAGCCTCCCGAAACATTACGACTTTGAGGTTTGCTGGGACCACATGCCTTCCCGCTGCCGGCACCCGGGCTGCTCGGCCACCCTCGACCGGGACGCCACCCCGGGCGTCCTGTTTTGCAGTGCGCACGAATGTTGCTTCCCGGGATGCCACGCCCCTGCCCCTGCCGCTGCCCCTGCCGCCCCCGGTGATGCCGGACCAGGAGGAACAGGTGCAGGAAGGGGAGGGTACTGCGATGTGACACACGCGTGCGCGGTGGCTGGGTGCGCTGCGCCGCGGGCTTCGGATAGCGCTCTGTTCTGCGGAGTCCACCATGCGGCGATGCTGCGCGAGGCGTTGGCCGCTGCGGCAGAGCAACAGCAACAGCAGCAGCAGCAGCAGCAGCAGCAGCAGCAGCAGCAGCAGCAGATACGTGGCGGCACATATGGGACCCCGACGGAGGAGGTGCTTTCGAGGCGGTTGCGCGAGGAGAGGGATCGGTTGGAGGCCGATATGCGCTTGCGGGCCACGAGGGCTTGGAGGGACGGCATCCCTTTCACCACGGCTGCCGGGTGGGTGCCCGGGCAGGTGCAGGCGTGGGGTAAGGGGGATGGGAGTGACGAGGATCGAGAGAGGGAAAGGGAGAGAGACAGCGGGATCGGGACGAGTCCCCAGTCTTCGGACAGTACTGTGGTGATTTGAGCGGACGGAATGATACGAAGGAAAATCCGATGGGCGGTTTGGAGAGGCGCCCGGCGTGTTTGTACCTGAGATGTTGCTGATTCAAATACTAAAATACACCGAGGAGTTTGTCTTGAATGGGTAGATGGTTGAGATGTATTATGTTGATTGTCTGGACCTACTCTACGATAACGTGATACAGATCTAAATTGGGTGATATGCATATGCCTGGCTCGAAACAAAGCGGCAGATGAAGAAAGCTAAACGAAGTGAATGTATGAAAACGCCCCCCTCTCTTCACATCTCCCCTAATCCCCCTCTATACAACCTCCGTCAGGCCTGTGGAACGTGAACCGGAAAGGATTCAAAAGTCGGAGACCACCCCACCTCCTGACACCTCATCTCCCTCACTGCAACTCGACTCCCTAATCCACCAAGCAAACCGCCTCCTCCGCCTCCTCCGCCTCCTCCTCCTCCTCCTCCTCCCCCCCCTCGGAGGAACAACATTATCGCACCTCTACACTCTCACGAGTCATGCTACTCTCGCTGTTCAAGCCCAGGCACCCACAAGGCTCATACCAAAAGCACCCAAAAATACAAGCAAGCAAGCAACAACGCGCTTCTTCCCCCGCAGCACCCGCCAGCTCTCGTCGCTCAAGAAATCCTCCGCCAGCAGCTCCACAAGCGAAGCAAAGACGAGCAAGCCGGACGAGATGGCATTCATAGTCCCGACGAGAACGAGCCCGAACTCCGAATCCGGGTCGTACATCGCATGGGTGGCGATGCCGATGGCCTGGCCCACGGGCGTCGTGCAGCCGTAGGCCAGGGCCATGAGCCACGGCTGCACGGCGCCGTCGTGCCAGGCAATGTCGGCGATGCGGGAGCCCAGGGCGAGCCCCTCGAAGGTCTGGTGGAAGACGATGGCGATCAGGAGGACGACGAAGCCGGAACCCGTCGAGACGGCGAGGGTCATGCCGATGAAGATGCTGTGGAAGAGGATGCCGACCTCCAGCATCACGCATTGCAGGATCGCCTTTTGGTGTTTCTGGGCCGGCGTCAGGATGTAGCCTGGGTAGGCGTGGCAGCTCCCGCCGCAGGAGTGGGGGGCGCCGACGTCTTGGCGCTCCTCGTCGGTGGTGGTTGTTTCCTTGAGCGCGCTGTGGGTGGGGGTCGAGTCGTTCGCTGCTGCGGTGGCGGTGACGGCGGGATCTTGGTTCCGTGAGGTGATGGAAGGGTGGCGGTTGAGACGGGAGAGGGTTCGGCCGAGGCTTTCGGAGGCTCCGACACGACGACTCGACTCCTTGATCGGCGGGGCTGGGGCTGGGGCTGGGGCTACAACGGTGGTAGTAGTACCGGGGGCTGCAGCAGCATCTCCGGCGGCGGCGGCGGCAGACTGGGAAGGAATATAATGGCGGGCGGGCTGGAAGATCATCTCGATGATGGAGACGAGAAAGACGGCGGCGAGGGCGATGGCGCCGGGCATGGCCGGGTAGTCATCGACCCAGAAGCTGGAGAGACAGGGGTCGCCGAGGAGGATGAAGCCGGTGGGGAGGAGGTGGACGAAGGCGGTGGCGATGAGGACGCCTGTGCCGAAATGGCGGACGGCGAAGAAGAAGGCGGGCGGAGCGCGGAGGAAGGGGAAGCGCTTGGCGATGAGCGGGAAGGCGCAGGCGAGGAAGGAGACGGCGATCATGATGAACAGGGCGCCGACGTGGAGGGACAGGTTGTACTCGGCCGGGTCGACGGCGCCGGAGCCGCAGGTGGAGCGCCTGGCCAGGCGGGTGATGGGGGTGGGGCTATCCAGGCCAGCATGGTGTGTGCTTGTGCTTGTGCTTGTGCTTGTGCTTGTGCTTGTGCTTGTGCCGTTGATGGTGGAAGCGGGCGCGATGACAGTGGTCGAAGGGGAGAAGGCGCCCAGAATACGGAAGTAGGAGAGAAGGGCGGAACACGCCAGGACGGAGGCTGTCCAGGAGATCCAACGCCAGACTGCAGCCAAGCGAGAGGCTCGAGCAGGCTGTTGATGGATCATGGCGTGTGGACGAGGTTGGTCTGCACCACCAAACCCGTCCTTGACCGGGGGATGGGAACCTACGGATTGCCGTCAGGGAGATGTCAAAGATCAAAAGAGGAGTAGAATAGTAGTAGTTGCACAACAATTGCACAGCCAATTGATGAACAGGAATGGTAGTGATATGTATGCTAAGGTGGTTACACTCACTGTCAAGTTCCCATCGTCCCGAAAGCCGAACACCGGGCGAGTCCGGGTCGAGTTGGGGATAGGTCAGATGGTCCATCTTCTCCGAACTTCCTTCCAAGCAGGCATCGCCCCTGCCTCCGTGACGACGGGCGCGAGCATTGACGGCACCGTTCAGGTCTTCACGGGTAGTGAGATCGGCGGCGAGGAAGGGCGGATTCTGGTTCCATTCCGGGTGTTCGAGAGGGTCGTCGTCGGTGCGAGATGGGCAGTTCATTGTGAGCGATTGGCCTTGGTAGCGGTGGTAGGGTTGCAGGGGCTGTCTATAGCAGACACATCAAGTCGAAGTCCTGAATGATGGTCTAGAGCGCGCCAAAGTCGGACCTGATGTGGTGATGCTGATGGTATGTTGGTGTATAGAAGAAAAGAATGGGAAGGGGGTGGCCCATATATTTGACTACCTTACTCAATACCTGGGTAGTAATTACGTGTACAAGTTTTACCCGCACCGAACAAACGATCATCACGAAAATTCGGCGGGTCTCGAGCGTAACTCGGTCGTACCTGCCTTTCTCTGACGTCGAGAAAATAAGGTACCGAGTTGCTTCAGGTAAGGTACCTTATTACCTAAGGTAGGTATAGGGCTAAGGGGCTAACAGGGTACGTACTTCTACTTTCTGAATCATATGCTCAGCTACGTCTTCCACAAGCTTGGTGCGTTCCATTTGCAATTGCAAGTTCACAGGGTACCGTAGGAGTGGGTCTGTATCAGACAAGGCCGGAGGGTGCTGATAGGTCGCGTAGTTTTTCTGGACATGGAGATTCCGCGGCGTATGTACGTGTACGAGGGGGTTTGACTTTATACGCCGTAACCTGGTTGTATTTATCGGTTGTTATGTCTTAGTATGAAGACACAGTATGAAGACACGCGGCCGAGTCATGATCCGGCAAGTCCTTTTCCCACCGAGCCCGCTAAATCTCGTCCCGACACGATCATTACGATCACGAATCCCTCCCGCAGCGAGGGTGAACCGTCTAAGCCTCCAGGGTCTGCATGTTGAGCCGAAGCCCATCTACACGATATAGTACAGGGCTATTGTAGACCCTTACTGGTCCATTATGTACAGCACATTACACGCTAGCGGCATCCTGCTAAGGCGATCTAACTTGCGCTGTGACCCTGAAAAAGGGGCAACCAAAATCTCCTTCGAGTGAATTTGACAAGCCCCAGGGTCACATTGTATGTAATTATGATTCCGGCAAGTCGTATCGACCGCATTACGTACGTACGCCTCGACATGGCCTGCCCTTCTTGGTGGTGCATGATGTTGATCAACTGCAGCCGATTGATGGTGCAACATCGATAGGCCATGGACAAGAAGCGGTTCATGTGGGCTCGTTCACTTTGAAACAATCATCTCTCTTCCACCTGCCTCCAACCCTGTTTATCTGTTACCATGGCCAACCAATAATTCACCTGCATGCCGCAAGCTTTAATCGTCAACTGTTCGTGCTCCAATTTGCTCGGTAGGCGCGTTATCCGATTGCACCCAGAGAGAATGCCCAGCCAGGCTCCCCGTACAGTTTGATGACACCTACGATGATGCTGATGGTATGTTCGGTGGAGCCCACTTGACAGGTTAAGAAACCGGTATTCCGTACGTATCTGGCCAAGCGGCAAGCGGACGACCGAAAGAATCCGGGGAATTTCTCGTGCCGAAGCGTGATCCGTGGAGGAAAGTGCCGGGTCGAATCCGAGATGCCATGAAGTTCGGTTCTCGCAGGCTCCGAGATAACCCGAGTCAGGCTATCCGTACGGAGGACTGCAGCTACTTTACCATCTATCTCATTTGTGTTTTGGGTACCTACTTTTGTGCTTTGAGCAACCCCAAGGACGGGTACCACTACTTAGTCCGAACAATGTAATGATAGTGACAGAGGTGCCTTTCGTCCGGCAAGAGACTTGTCTAGTCGACTTGTCCAGGGTAGTCGACTTGTTCCATCCAACACCCACCCACCCACTAATAAACACACACACCGCTTTGTATAACCATCGCCATAAACCCCTTTTATTCTTCCCCTATCCCGAATTTGAGCCTCACTTGCCCCTGAACTTCCGCTGTTGTCGTTCTTCAGCAATCTCGCATCAACAAAATGGTTCGCGACGTGCTGCGTTGTTACTAGGTACCCTGGACACTGTCCCGCCCAATGCACGTGCATGGTCATGTGCTCTCAATTCTCACTTTCCGCCCCCGCCACCACATAAATCATAAGTTCAGCCCCCTGCCAAAGTCAAAGCTTCCATGGCTTGATGTGAAGCCGTAAAGCACAAAACAACAGTCTCGCAAACACATCAACTTCTCAAGTACCGAGTACAGCTGGTCAAGTCGTGTCCGCTATCCACAATGTCATGACTTTAGGACATGGACGGCGACCTTGGTGAATGGAAGTGGGTGAAAGTTGAAGCCTCCCTCCCATCACCCACCACCCATCACCATGAATCCGTTCCCCCAGGACCAACAGACCTTCCCATCCATGGCTGACGGGACTGCCGATTCGGAGCTGTTCGCTTTTACCAATTCGAAACATGGCGCCCTACATCAGATCACCTGGGGTCCCAATCTCCAGATTCTCCACCGTCTTAACGGGTCCTCTGACTCCTCCCGTTCCCTCTCATCACCTCGACCTCAGCATCGGTCCCCTGGTTTCGTCCCCAGCACCGACTCGCAGTTGGCCAGCATCAACGTCGACTACGTCGCTATCGCCCAAGCCGCTATCGCCGTCTTCCTCCTTCTGGCCGTTATTCTACGGCCCATCTGCCCTCCAGCCCCTCAGTGGTGTAGTCCTTTTGCCAAGGAAGAAGTGGAAGAAGCACAAGACCAAGAAGAAGAGGACGACTCCGACGACTCTGGCCCTGGATCACGCCGCTGGACCGTTCGGACTTTTTGGATCGTCCATCTGGCAGTCGTTGCCATTGTCGGTCTCGCAGTCAGCCTGACTTCCGTCCTGCTACCGCCTCAGGACCCCATCAAGCTGATCCACTTGATCCCATGGCTCATTGCTGCCCTCATCACCGCCGTTCAGCGCCCGACAAAGACCCCCAAGACTCTCTTGGCTCTTTACACCAACGTCTTTGCCTGCCACCTGGCTCTCCTCGAGGCCTCTAGGAGGGCCCTCGAGCCTCTGGACCCGCTTACCGTCGTCCGTACCATCCTCTCCTTTGCTGCCCTAGTCGCCGTCCTCCTGATGCCCATGAGAGACCCGAATCTCCCGGCGAAAGGAATCGCACATGCAGCCGATGTGCCCACGCGGGACTGCCGAAGCCCTGAAGACAACTTGAGTCTGTGGCAATTCATGACCGTCTCCTGGATGAGTCCGCTGATCGCTCGGGGTACCAAGACGCAGCTGCACGACGAGGATGTCTGGCAGCTGCCCTACGAATTCCAGCACAGCAGGCTGCACATGCTCTTTCGGGATTTGCAGGGTACGGTGATGAAAAGGCTTTTCCTGGCTAACGGCCTGGACCTTGTCACCATCTGTCACCTCGGCCTTCTCGAGTCGGCTGCCAACTTGTCCGTCCCTCTGTTGTTGAAAAGGCTTCTCCAGTCCATCCAGGCCGGGCCCCATCACACGGAAGCCTCGCTCCTCTTCGCCGCAGCCATCCTTGCCGCGCGTCTCGTTGCTTGCCAGTCATCCGTCTTTACCCTCTGGTTCTCTCGACGGTGCTATGAGCGATCTCGCGGCGAGATGATCACGACCATTTACGCCAAGACCCTCTCCCGCAAATCTTTCGGACAACAACCCCCGCCCAACCATCCGTCCACCACCACCACCACCACCGCCCCAGAAAAGGCGTCGCAGCAGCCCGCAACGACCGGCAAGATCCTCAACCTCATGCGCAGCGACGTGTACGAAGTCGCCCAGCGATTCTGGGATTTCCCCCAGCTCGTCACCCGGCCCCTCCAGTTCGTCTTGTCCTTCGCTCTCGTCTGGCAGCTCCTCGGCTGGCCCTGCCTCCTCGGCCTCGCCTGCGTCACCCTCGCCCAGGCCCTGCACGGGCTCGTCATCCGACGGCTCATCGCGTCGGAACGTCTCCGCAGGATCGCCACCGACGACCGCCTGCAGGCCACCTCGCAGTTCGTCGAAGGGATCCGCCACCTCCGCTGGTACGACTGGCAGTCCAAGTGGCTCGACCGCATCGCCGGCACCAGGCAGCGCGAGCTCGACCAGCGAATCGTCACGGGCCTCTGGCGAGTCGCCATCTCCACCGTCAACGTCGCTTCGGCCACCTTGTTCCCCGTCGCCACCTTCTTCGCCTACACTTTCATCGCGGGCCGAACTCTCCGGGTCGAAGTGGCGTTCCCTGCTCTCCAACTCTTCACCATGCTCGAATCCAGCTTCAAGGAACTGCCCAATCTGATCACCGTTCTGTTGAATGCGTCGGTCGCCATGGACCGGATCGAACAGTTCATGACGGAGCCCGACAAGGACGAACCTGCAACGGACGGATCGGGCCAGGCGGCGAGGACCCCCGGCATCGAATTCAGGAACGCCTGGTACAAGTGGCCTGGCACAGATGTTCCGGTACTGCGAGACCTCTGCCTCGATTTTCCCCCTGGCCTCAGCGTCGTATTCGGAAAAGTCGGATCCGGCAAGTCGGCCCTGCTCCAAGCCATGCTAGGGGAACTCGACCACGTCAGGGGCGATGCCTCCCTGCCGAACGATGCGGTGGGCTACTGCGCCCAGCTCCCTTGGCTTCAGCACATGAGCATCCGAGACAACATTCTTTTCTCGGCGCCCTACGACCCGGGCCGGTACGCACGCGTCCTCGACGCCTGCGCGCTTCGGCCCGACCTGGCCAGCTTCAAGCACGGGGACCTGTCGGACATGGGGGAGAACGGGATAGGCCTGTCGGGCGGACAAAGGGCACGCGTCGCCCTCGCCAGGGCCGTGTACAGCTACTCGCGCGTCTTGTTGCTCGATGATCCCCTCGCGGCCCTGGACCACAACACGGCCGAGTCGATCGTCCAGAAGCTTTTCAGGGGTCCTCTGGTCGAGGGTCGTACGGTTGTCCTTGTTACGCATCGGGTCGATCTGTGTCTTCACCTGGCGAATCGGTTGGTCGAGTTGGAAGACGGCTGGGCTCGCGTCCTCGATTCCGACGAGGCGTCCAGGGAGGTGGCCAAGTTTCTACGACGGGAGGAACGAGAAGAAGTTGCTGCTGCTGCTGCTGCTCCTGCTGCTTCGACCGCCCACGACGATCAACGGCCATCGGGACTGGATGACAACCAAGAGGAGGAGGAGGAGGAGGAGGAGAAAACGGTGCCTGACAAATTCATCGAGGAGGAGCACCGCCGCGACGGTGGGGTCATGCTCTCCGTCTACTGGACGTACATCAAGGCCGGAAAGCTGAGGTGGTGGGCGGCTTTGATCGTTGTCTTCGGTCTCTACCGTTTCGGCAGTCTTCTCAACTACTGGTTCCTCAAGGCATGGGGCGAAGCCTATCGACCAACAACTGCGTCGGCATCCGCGTATGCCTCTCCCTCGGGCTCCTTTGTCGGCCATCTGTTTGACCGGCTCCCCAACCCCGAGAGCGATCTCCGGCCGTGGCTCCTCACATACCTCGGCATCGCGCTCGGCCAGACGCTCGTCTTCGCAACGTCGGAGGGACTCCTCCTCGTCATGGTGTACCAAGCGGCGAAGCACCTCTTCATGCGCGTCATCGACCGCGTGAGCTCGGCGACGTTCCGGTTCTACGACGTCACCCCCGTCGGGCGGCTGATGAACCGGCTCGTCTCGGACATTGGCATGATCGACGGCGGCATCATGGGACCGCTTCAACAGGTGGCCTGGTGGGGTCTCGCGTGGTTATCGAGCATGGTCGTCATCGCCTCGGTCACGCCGGCGTTTCTGCTATTCTCCACCGCCATGACCGTCTGGTTCGTCTACATCTTCACGCGGTTCCTCCCCACGTCGCAAAGCCTACGGCGACTCGAGATGGTCTCGCTGAGCCCCCTCATGTCGAATTTCGGGATCCTCCTCGACGGCCTGGCGACGATCCGGGCGTTCAAGGCGCAACCGCACTTCCAGGACCGGAACATCGCCGTCACGGACGCGTTCCAGAAGATGGACCATTTCTACTGGAGCCTCCAGGCCTGGCTGATGTACCGCTTCGACGCGCTCTCGGCGTTTTCGACGTTCGCCCTCACCCTCCTCGCCCTGTACGAGGGCTTGTCGCCGGGCCTGACGGCTTTCGTGCTGACGACGGCGTCGCAGTTCGTCGAGGCGACGCACAACCTCTGCAAGCAGTACGGGACCCTGCAGATGGACTTTGTGTCGGTGGAGCGCGTCATCGAGCTGCTCTCCCTACCCCGGGAACCGCAGGGCGACGTGACCCCGCCGGCGACCTGGCCGACGAAGGAAGACGACATTGTGTTCGACAACGTCACGCTGCGGTACGCGGAGCACCTGGACCCGTCCCTCGCCGAGGCGTCCTTCCGGATCCCGGGCGGTTCGACGTGCGCCGTGCTCGGGCGGACGGGATCGGGGAAATCGACGCTGGCGCTGTCCCTCCTCGCCGCGGTGCATCCGTCGCGAACGCGACGTGAAGGCAGCATCCGCGTCGGCGGCGTGAGGCTCTCGGAGGTGAACGTGCACGCCTGGCGGCAGCGCGTCAGCTTCGTGGCGCAGGACCCGGTGCTCTTCCCCGGCACGCTGAGGGAGAACCTCGACCCGCTCGGGCACTTTGCGGACGAGGAGTGCGCGGCGGTGCTGCGGCGCGTGCTGGGCGCTGGGTGGGAGCTGGGTGCGCGGGTCGACGGCGGGGGGCGGAACCTCAGCCAGGGCCAGCGGCAGCTCGTGGGGATCGGGAGGGCGGTGTTGAGGCGGAGTCCGGTGGTGGTGCTGGATGAGGCGACGGCGTCGATTGACAAGGAGACGGCGGCTCGGGTGCAGGAGGTGTTGAGGGAGGAGTTGCGGACGAGCACGGTGGTTACGATTGCGCATCGGCTGGAGGCGGTGAGGGGGGCGGATTACTACTTGAGGCTGGATGGTGGGCGGGTTGTCGAGCAGGGTCCGGCGGAGAACCTGGGCTGTTTGTGATATTCATCCCGAGGCTCCTGTAGCTTGCCTGGCTTTGGCCCGCAGCGAGGATAGAAGTTGAGAGTTCAAGAAGCACAGCTCTACACGGTATAGTAAAAGATCATCTAGCAAGGTTACAAGTGCAGCTTCCGAGCAATCATTCATTACTCTTCTTTGACCTTTGGTTGCCCTATCAAACCTATCATTGTCTCATTGTCTTCTCGGCCTTCCCAGCTCGGTGTTTAGTATAGCCCCTGGACCTTAGACTATTGAAACATGATAATTTCGGCTAATACGGTCTGGTGTGTATTCGCTGTGGGAAGTACCTGTGACTATTTATCCTAAGGAAATAGGGCTTGGCAGGGTTACAGGTACAAGCCGATTAAGTAGCCGGACTCACCCGGAATTGAACCGAAGTCTGTTAGATATAGCGTAACTTGAACTGTTGAACTACCTATATAAGACACCAGAAATACCTACAGTGAGTGAGCAAAAGTTTCGGGATAACCCAAAGTAGAATGCTTCGAACCTTTTGGGGACCACTTGCTTCTATTAGGGCAAAAACCATATTATATTGCAAAAGTAACGAATCACTGGATCTTTGAAATGTACCGAAATTATTGCTCACCCGCTGTATATAAGGGGGGATTCCCTTTTGGTGTAGCGGTACGTTTTTGGTCTGACAGGAACCGTCTAAGTAGGGACAAAATTGAAAGGGTAAAGTAACCCAGGCAATTGTCTAGTTATGTAACCTGCAGGACCGTTAGGGAACTTGTCAGATGCCATCTAACAAGTATCGTGGGATTGTGCAGCGTGCTATGAAGAACGAAGACGGAGGAGTCTGATATTAAACCCCTATAAACGTTTCCCTTCCCTAAGTAGAACGTCCAGTCTACTCCTGAGCTGTCTGAAGTAAAACGTGTCTTGCTGAATCAAGGCTCAACCGTGACCGCAAAGCGCCGATGCATGTGCTTTATGGATGTCCAACCGGGAGGATGCGGGATGCCACTACAACGCACTCATGGTCACTGGTCTTGCCGCGTCCCATCATGCCGCTGCATGTCAGATCTTAGTTATGCGAAATTGGTTCTCAGCCCCCAAAGCGGAGCAGAAGTGAAGAATTTCTCGGGGGTTTCCCTTTTTCCTTTTTTTTATTGCTTTTCCCCCCCCTTCTCCAATGAGCTGGGGAAGCGCTGGGATATGCCCTGCATCCCCGTTCAAGTCCACTCGCCGCTCCCCCTGTTCCCTCCTGACGGGATGAAGGGCTGAAGAAGACCCGCTTGGCGGGGAGCCTGTTCTTCTTGGGTGTCAGATCACCGTTTCTGTTTCTTTTCCCCTTTTTTCACCTAACTATTACCCTGACGAACTCGACGCTGCCGATAACCGACTTCCATAACGACCCATCATCCCACGCATGCAGCCCTACCATTGAAAGACACTCGATCCAGATTCCAGACGTTCAGTGGAAAAAGGAGGGAGAGAAAAAAAGACACAGGCAGAAAGAAAAAAGGAGAGAAGACGCTCGCCAGACGCTCGCCCATCATGGCGGACTCTTTACCATCGCCAACGGAGCACAACTTTGAAACAGAGTCCAATTTTATGGGATGGTTTCTCCACCCCACGAGCAGTAAGAACCAGACGGCACCTTAGGCTCTTAGCCTTCAGTGTTTCCTCTTCAGAACGCACCGGAGGGGTTGGACGGGCTGACGGTGAACACTCCGAATTGGATAGCGGAGGCGATTTTGTGCCTTGGTGATGGCGAGCACTTTGAGACCTCGGGCCGGTTTGCCGCCTGTTGTTTGCACGAGCCGTGTCCCATGCCGACGCTCTGCTCGGCGAACACCTTGAGCTTCAACAACGCAGACATTATGGACTGCGGAACAGACTTCTCCTGCGTAACCATGACGCTGTACCAGACGCCGGGGTCCGAAGGTTACCCTACCGCCAATATCATGTGCGGTGTCCGTACGTCTTCACCATCCTCACCGGGGCTGATCATCCCCAGCAAACGTGATGTGCTGACTTGGGCGCTCGTGCTGGATACATGTAGACTGGGCAGCACATACCATCTACCGACATCTTCCCCCGGAACCAACAACAAGTATGTCTCAACTTGAACCGACCTGTGCTGTCTATGGCCGTGCGTGGTTCTTCGGTGGAACCACGGCTCGGAAACACCCAACTCCTCAACTGCTGACATTTGGTGTCTTAATTTCCCATAGGTCCCGACCCTTCACCCTCTACCGACTCCCACCTCACGTCTCAAGCTCCCACATCACTCGGCTCCGGCAGCAATCATTCCAACGACGACAGCCCCAACCAAGCTTGGATCGCCGGCGCCGTCGTCGGTCCATTAGGAGCCATAGCAGCCATCCTCTTCGTCATATGGTGGTGGCGACGCAGGATAGACAAAAAGCAAGACCAGGTCGCGCAAGCCGCAGCCGCAGCAGAAGTAGAAGGAGGGGGAGGGGCAGAGGGAGGGGGTTCCTTCACGTCGGGATTATTAGGTCCCCAAAAGATGGAGTCGGATCAAGGGACGACGTGGTCCTCACGGCATACCGCGTCCAACCGCACCAGCCCGGCGTATTTACACGGGAAGTACCAGAGCGTCCCGAACAGCAGCACCAGCCCCGGGTTCATGATGCCTTACCACTCCTCCGCTCGCTATCAACCCGCGCAACCTTCCCCGCCGCCGCCTCATATCTACCGCGACGCGACGCCGACCGAGCTCGATTCCGGGTTGCATGGACAGGGCCACGCGGCGTCCGAGCTGCTGACCGGGCAGATGTACACGTACACGCCGGAGCTGAGTGGTCCGACCTTGTCGGAGTTGCCGGATACTCGGCGGTAACCGGCGACGGTCTGTCGGACTTTTTGTGGCCTGGGATGGGAAGACTTTGGAGTTGTAGTAGGTTGACCTGTTGAGAGGACGAGGCCTCTCGTATATATATATATATATATATATATATATATATATAGATAGATAGATAGATAGATAGATAGATAGATAGATAGATAGATAGATAGATAGATAGATAGATGGATAGATAGATTTGGAATTGCCTGTCGTACAGGTAAGGTGCAGACAGAGCACAGGAATACCCGAGTTCTAACGAACTCCAGCGAGGAGCATTGGCATTGGGAATTTGAGCTTCAGCGTGCTTCACAGCCAGCGTGGCATCCTTTTCAGGATTGGGTTGTTACTGGAATCCGGAGTGGATATATGGATGCATGTGTGGTGGTTCGGTCACGAGTCGAGAGTCAGGGGATAATATTTCAATGTTCTGTTTTCAGTGGAAGTCACCGAGATGCAGTCTGGTCGAATCGAAGTACGGTTAGGCTCTGCGGGAGCTAAGAAAATGGCTTTCGACGGCCCAAAAGCCAAAATGCTTCTTATCAAAGAGAAATGCCGAAACTCCTCCGTTTTATGCAGACTCGACGTGACGAGGCCTCTGATAAAACCGGGGTGGGAAGCGGTTCAGGGGTCAGAGGCTTAGAAGTCAGTTAAGAGGCACCCGAGGAACACAATTCAACTGGCCTGTTGGCTTCTGGAGCTTCTTGGCATCCCCCTCTAAAGCTCACAGGACCTTCCTGATCAAGCAACTGCCGGTGCAAGCGGCCTGGATCTGCATGTGGCCGGTGGGACGGCCCTAACATCTTCGCCATCAACGTCTTTGTCACGCCCTTTTTCTCCCATAATATCCAACTTGTTGTACCGGATAACCACCAGGACCTACGAGGATACAACAGGGCAAAGCCGGCACACCATTACTCTTTTGAGAAGGTATCTACGGGTACTACGGCCATGGTTTTGCAGGAGAAGAAGCTGCAGCTGCATGCATGGATATGGTGATTCGGTAGCTCTACGAATATCTCACCATTAATACCCCCTCTAACCCGGGGAGCCCTCGAGTAAGATACCGTCACCTCTCTCTCAAAGCTTTCCAATTCCAATTGAAATTCGTGCGTTCAATTGTCGCCGAACTCTGGATGCACGTTTCGTCGAAACCGCGTCGTCTTCTCATCACACTCTCAGTCTCTCACAGAGGACATCATGAAGTTCTCCCAGAAGACAGCGGCCGTCTTGTCGGTGGCCTCTGTGGCCACTGCTTCAACCAAATGCAAGCCCAAGCTCGAGTCGGAGAAGATCCAAGCCGATATCAAGACTGAGAAGTACTGTAGGCTGCCAATTCGGAGAAAGGAAACCCACCCCGTTCTGATATTGACTTTGCAACTCTCCCTCCAGCCTCATGTCGCACCTTGACGCCTTGAACACCATCGCCTACGAGCAGGGCAACGGCAACCGCGCCTTCGGCCTCCCAGGCTACGCCGCCTCAGTCGACTACATCTGGTCCCACATCAACAACGTCACCGCCACCAAGGCCTGGAAGCAAGACTTCCCCGCCTGGTTCGGCTTCGTCGAGTCCATCTCCTTCCAGGTCGACGACAACGATTACTACATCTACGGCCTGACCTACTCCCCCTCCACCCCCGCGGAGGGGCTCACCGCCGAGCTCGTCCTCGGACCCCCCGGCGAGGCGGGCTGCTACAGCCAGAACTACGACGGGCTGGACGTGAGGGGCAAGATCGTCCTCACACAGCGCTTCCGCTGCCCGACGGGCGGCACCTTGGCTGGTCGTGTGCGCCCCGCTGCTGAGAATGGCGCTGCCGCCGTCATCATCTATCACGACCTCACCACCACCCCGACTGCTGGTTCCCTGGGCGAGGTTGACCTGGAGGGTTTCGTCCCTGCTGGGTTCATCACCTTGGCTGACGGCGAGGCCCTCGTCGAGCGCATCGAGGCGGGCGAGACGGTGGAGGCCTATTTCCAGCAGACGCAGATCGTCGAAGAGCGCATCACGCAGAATGTCATTGTTGAGACGGAAGAGGGTGATCCTCATAACGTCATTGTCGTACGTAACCCCTCTCCCCTGTTGCCATTCCAATGGCCCGTGGGGCACGGGGTTATAATTATATCATCTTACTAACAACACATGAAGCTCGGCGCCCACCTGGACAGCGTTCAAGCTGGTCCTGGTATCAACGACGATGGTATGAAGCTCCTCCTTTAACGTTATCACACCTCGGTGAGGGCTAACAGCACGTTTCCAGGCTCCGGCACCAGCGCCATCCTCGAAGTCTTCAAGGCCCTCCAAAACTACCGCTTCAAGAACAAGGTCCGCTTCATCTGGTGGGGAGCCGAAGAAAACGGTCTCCTGGGATCCAGGTACTACTGCACCCACCTCGAGCCCCACGAGATCGATGACATCCTGGTCTATCTCAACTTCGACATGGTTGCCCGTGGCTACTTTGGCGTGAGCGACAACGACGGCCGCGCTCACGGGTCCGTCGCCCCCGCCGGCTCGGAGATCATCCAGGACATTTACCACGGTTTTTTCGAGTCACTGGGCATTGACGTTACCCCTGCCGTGCTTACCAGTAAGTGAACGGAAGAGCGTGATGTTGAGTGAGGGTGGAATATGCTGACGATTGTCCAAAAAAAAAAATTAGACGGCTCGGATTATGCTTCCTTCTGGCAACACCTGAACAAGCCTTTCGGCTTCCTTCATACCGGCACTGGTGTTGCGCAGGATCCGTGCTACCATCAGGAGTGCGATACCATTGAGAACCCGAATCCGGAGACGCTGACCATCAATGCAAAGGTAGAAACTAATTCTTCCATTCACGTTCTGTGTCTCTTTTTTTTTTATTACTCCTGAATATGCGGCTCAACTAACGACGGAACGTTCTTTTCCTAGGCTGCTGCCCACCAACTCTCCATTCTTGCCATGAAGGGCCACGAACTCATTCCCAAGACTCCTGTCAACGCCACCATGCTGCCTCTCCTCCGCTCCCGTCACGTCGGGCCCGAGCTAGACGCTATTTACTCCCTCGAGGCCCTTGGCGAGAGGCACTTGGGATGCGGTCACGACCTGTAAATGCGATTCGGACAATCCAAACATACGAAATGATGATACGGAAGGACACAATCACATAGCTATTATTAGCCATGATGGGAACGGAAATATTAAAAGATGTCTGTACTGCGGATATACAATGCGACACCAAAGAGCCCAAATTCTTTCCCCAAGTCTTCCACAGCACGCAAACTGCGAAGTCCAGAATCCATGACTTATGATCAGAGCCTAGACATAATGGCTGGCCCGTGATCTTTTATGCTACGATGCCTCTGTAGTAGAGTGAAATTTGTATCTTCACGTGGCTCAAGCCTCGGTAGGGGATTTTGTTACTTGTGCGATGTAAGAGAAAATTGGACATGTTCCTATGTTCATAGTACTTGGTAATACGAGAACTTCTAAACTATAAACATTAAACATTTATATCCACTTTAGTATCAGAAACTGCCTTATCTTTCGCCCTTAGGCCTTTATTTGACTGAAATGTGAGAAATATTGCCCGTATAATAGATTAGCACTTAGTAGAGGCTCGACAACGTCCTCCTTATTCAAACTGCAGCCAATTATCAATAAGCTAACTTACTTTATCAGACTCATACTAATACTTAAGGGAGGATACCAATAAGGTTTGCGTTCTGGGTTCATTCCCTTATTCACGAAGTTCACTCCAACAGGCATATACCATCTAGGGAGAAGAATAATGCAAGTTTGACAAGTTCAGTTTAAGGAGCAGCGAATTCACATATCATGGTTGGGTATAAGCCGGTTATTAGGCAAGATTCACTTTATTTCTTGCCCAGGGGCGTTGGCTTTGTGCTAGGAAGCCAGTCGAAGTAGATACCGAGTCACCAAAACAACAGACCTGGGTTACCAAAGACTAGACACTTAGGTCCTCAAAAGACTAGACCTGTATCCCAAGCCAATAGATCCATGACTCCTCCAAAGAAAGACATGTGACTCGAACCAATAGATCCCTGACTCCAAAGACAGACCTGGGTGCCAAACCAATAGATCCTAGCTCCTCGAAAGAACAGAATCAGACGACCCGGATAGGCTGCATGTTTTGGCACCTGGCGCACTTCTCGTTGACGTGACCGCAGCGGCAGCGGTAAGCCCAGCCACCAGCGGTTCTCTGCTTGTTGGCGAAGTCGTTCCACGAGCGGCAGCGGCAGCACTCCCACTGGTAATGCGTCTCGTGCGCGGGCAGGGCGGACCAACTGCTGCTGGCAGTATAGTTCTGGTTGACGGAGCGCGGGTCCGTGTATGCGTAGTTGTGGCACGGAGCGTTGTGCCAGTTGGCAGGGTTCAGCCAGTCGGGGACTCCGGCGTTGCCGTTGTTGTTCCCGCCGTTGTTGTTTCCATTGTTGCCGTTATTGTTCCCGCCGTTGTTGTTTCCATTGTTGCCGTTGTTGCCTCCCCCACGGCCGCTGCCACCGTTATTGTTGCTGTTCCCTCCGCCGCGACCACTGCCGCTGCCACCGTTATTTCCTCCGCCATAGCCGCTGCCTCCGCCATAGCCGCTGCCTCCGCCATAGCCGCTGCCGCCCCAGCCGTAGTTGCTCATGTTGCCGTTGTGCTTGGGTATGCCTTCTTGGCTTGCTTATGAGTGGATGTAGTTGATAAGTTCTTGGATGTGTTGATGCTGTTGATAGTGTGGAAGATTTAGGAAGAGTGGAGGATGTGGAAGATATAGAGGTTGTTAATGAGGTTATGGGATAAGTTTGAAGAGCCCCGGCTGGTGGGTTGTATTTATATTCGTCTGGCTTGCTTCACACACGGCTCTCGCACAGTGACTTAGGCACCCTGTAGATAATAACAGAGTTAGCTCTAGGCAGCCCATGGATAATATAAGAGAGTTACTCACTGGTCTGCTATTAAACTTGTAAACTGAATCACGGACATGGTAGTAAGTCTGTAATTCACTTCTATATAGTGAGGAGTGCACCTTAGGGGTTAGTCGCCGTGATTAGGATAGTCGGAGACACTTTAGGTATAGCTAAATTCAGTGACCTGTGCAGAGCTAGGTATTATAATGTAACTAAGAGAATCATTGGAGTTATATAGAATAAGACCTTTTGCTGAATAAAACACGATATTGAGAATGCGTAGCGTCATTGAGTCCCTATTAACCCACCTTCTCTCTGTCTTTTACAATGCTCTCAGAGTATGGATATCTACTTCTACTGTTTTTCTTATCTGATTATTGTTCTTGGACGTTACGTCCTGGAAAGGCCATTGTTTCAGCTCAGGGGGGGTTACTATCTACGAACACAGAGGATGATCGAGTGGATAACCAGCACGATAACCTCCAGTCGCTAATAGTAATACGCTGCACTATGGTTTTAGCCTAATAGTCCTTAGCGTTTCTGTGGTTATGGACAGTTTACGTGACCTCTAAAGCTTCCCGCGGTCAGTTACGGTATAGCACTCTTGCGCAAGGCTAAAAACTAAAGTACGTGCTTGAATGGCATTGTATACTGCGTTTTGACTGTTTCCCTCTTATAACTAATGCTTTATTTAACTCTTGGTTGAATTTCTTTTACTCTGAGAAGTTATGTCTATATAATATATGTTCACCTAGTATGTTAACACGAAACATACAATTTTATAACATTGAAATAGGTAATGAAAGAGTCATTATATCTTCCAACAACAGGCTAGAAGCATAGCCAAGACATCAATGCAAAATTATATCAGATAAGTTAAATGGCCTCTCGCCTCCAGACTGCTCTTAATCCATAACCAGGACACTCCGAAACCGGACAGCACCAGACGTCGTACGTTCCCAGGCCTTGGGGGCGTCGAGGAAGCAAAACGGCTCAATCATGCACTCGACATCAAAAGTGTTGGAGAAATCAATAGTCTCCTCAGCATCCAAGGTACTCCCCGTCACCCAACCCTGGAGAGAAGAGGCCCTCGTGATGAGATGGTTGGTATTGATCTCCACCCGCCCAGCCGGCGCGAGGAGGACAAGTCTGCCAGCAGGCTGCAGCGCAGCAGTCAGGGGCTTGATGGCTTCGGCGCTGGGAGCCGTGGCGACGATCAGGGCAGCGCCGCCTAACCTGTTCAGTTCCCGCACCGGGTCGACGGAGCTCGTGTCGATGTAAAAGTGCACGCCGAGCTTCTCCGCGAAAACCCTCTTGGAAGGGGACGAGCTGAGGACGGCAACCTTGTAGCCCATCTTGTGTGCGTATTGGATCGCCAAGTGGCCCAGCCCGCCGACGCCCTGGATGGTCACCAGGTTGCCCTGCTCGACGTGCATCTTCCGGATGCCGTTGAAGACGGTGAGGCCCGCGCAGAGGAGCGGTGCGACCCGGGCTGGGTCCAGGTCCGAGGGTACGCGGATGGTGGCCTCGACGCGTAGTACGACGTACTCTGCGTACCCTCCGTCGCGGGTGACGCCGTTGTAGACGACGTTTTCGCATGTTTGGAACTGACCGCGCCTACAGGAGCGACAGGTGTTGTCGTGGCCTTTTCTTTGAACAAGTCCAAGGACCAAATCCATCAGCTTTCCGCAACTCCTGGACTCTTCCCCTTGTCGCTTTCGATGTACATGTTTCGTACGGATACTGCACGAAGTTCAACTCACCTCCGTGAAACGCTCCGCCGACTCGATCTCCAACGGAGAAGCTCGTCACGCCTGGCCCTAAGGCAGCCACGTCACCCACAATTTCATGGCCGGGAACCCGGGGGAACAAGTCTCGCCCGTGGTCGCCCTGTTGGACGGCTACGTCTGTGAAGCACACTCCGCAGGCACGGACTTTGACGAGCACCTCGCCACCACCCGGGAGTTGGAGCTCCCGTTCTTGCAGTTGTAACGGAGACCCGGCGGATTCGACCACCCATGCTTTGTACGTTGTGGGCAGGGAATCTCCCATGGTTGAGCAATTGGAATCGCTTAAAGACGTTGAAATACGAAGATAGTCGGGCGTTCTCGTCTAAGAAGGACCGGGGAACCTACGGAAATGCAAGAGAAGAACAACGGCCCTCGGGACCTCGCAGTCAACCCCTCCTCTTATAATCCATCCACTATTGATCATACATGTGTTGACAGTCAATAATGGACTGGACTACGTCATTTCAAAGAGCAGAAGGAATATAATGGAGTTAGCTTCTTGGGATATTGCTGGAATGGACTACTAAACTCACCTCGGTAGGGGACCTCAGAATTTCAAGTGTCATGAGATGAGTTTCAGTGGGAATGGTCTCAGGAGTGCGCGTCATCAACTCATGAAATAGATTCTAAGACCAAGTCTTTCCACGCCTGCAGGCCGCAGCTTCTCATGCTCGTCGGGCACCCAACGTCAGACAAAGGTCAAGACTACCTTAACTCTCAGGGTTGTACTTGCTACGGAATACATGTATCTGGATGAGTGTGGACAGAAGTCATCAGTACGTCTTCCTCAGTTCCTCCTCTTCGTCACGAGTCACGACTCACTGACTTGGAACTTATACAGTATAGGTTACTGACCCGACACACTGGGAACAGCTCAACTACTGATAAACGATGTTTAAACTTGTCCGGTTATGAGGCAGTCTTATAAGAGTCGAGATTGACTTCCATAATGTAATGCGATTTACTCCTGTTCTTCGCGCCTTACTCTCCACCACGCTGTCTCACGGTCTCACCCCTACAAGATCCCTCCATAAGCACCACTCTCATAACTCCATAAGGCCTCTCATACGTAGGCATCCCACCAGCCTCCAACCTATCCGTATAAAGAGTCCACTTCCTCTCCGTCCACTCCCTTAAGTCAAGCCCGGAAGCCCCTCCTGCCCAGCATCAAGCGTATACCCATTCACGCTCAAATACCCCCTACCCCTTCCGCCTCGGCCTCCCCCCCAACAAGTTCCGCAGAAGAACACGTGGAACTTGCCCCCATGGAGCTTGTAATCCCCCATCGCGCCGAACGGGTCCAGCGGCGCCAGGAGGAGCAAGTCCTCCAGCGCCAGCCCGGGCCGGATGTACAGGAATGCCGATGTGTGGCATAGCGTGCAGTTGCACTTGTACATCTTCTGCACCCTGCCTGTGGGGTGAACGGTTCGTCCGGCCGCTTGAGCTGGGGGTTTAAGGGGAGCGTGAGGTAGAGGTAGAGGATGTAGCGAGTCCGGCGGCAGTGGCAGTGGCAGGATCCTTTGTAGGGACGGCGTTCGGTGGGTGGTGTGTTTGCGGTTGGGCCAGGGGTTGTTGGGGTTGAAGTATCTGATGTTGGGGTGTTTCGGCATGGCAATGGGACCAGGGTCGTATCCGTATGGTTCTTATTTCTTTTGTCTTAAAAAAAAAAGGCGTGGAGGGTGAGGTGGTAGTGGTAGGAGACTCCGGTGCAAAAGTGAGTCCATGACTTGAATTACCTTGGACAATCCAAAACGATAAAAAGAAATAAAACGTCGGTCCCTTCCTCAGCCCCTTTAATACATATCACTTACCCCCTTGCTCCCTGGGTGAGAAAGTCTCTGGCCAAGGTCCATGGGTCCGTCGCCAGGGCCAAATGTCTCCGATCTGCCACTACCATTAGGATAAATAGTAAAGAGATCGGCAATTCCAAAGTTGGAACCCTGTCTTCAGCAGAAATCGAGTGAGATAGGACCACGAAACAGATCTTGACCGACTCACTCAAAATGTATGAGGCTATGTAGGGGTTGTGGCATTGAGAGACCGTTACATTGATCCATTCATAGTGAAGTGGTATTAATAGATCGAAGAACGAGATTGGCAGCAGACCATCCCGATGGATTTTAAGGTAGAGCCCGCTGAAAAAGTGAGTATAAAAAGGGGGAAAAGAGAAGACGAAAAAAAAAAAAAAAAACAAGAATTAGAATATAAAAAAAAGAAGAAAGAAGAAAAAGAAAATACATATCTAGAGAAAATGTGCTAAAAAGGGGCGGCAGAATATCCGTATATGCCAGGAACGTTTCGTTCATGGTGTGTTTTCCCCTCTCATGACGCACCCAACCGTGTCGTCGTATCCCAATATAATCTCCAGGCTCGTTAAGAAAAATAAAAATAAAAGGAAGAAGAGAAATAAACATGTCGACCGTTACCTCATACTGAATCCAAGCCTCTGGATTCCTTCTTCTCACCCACCGTCGCCTCAACCCCTGCGGCCGCCTGGGCCTCCTGGGCACCATTCGGACTCGGGAATAGTTCCGCATCCCACTCAGCCGGACAGAGGTCCTCCCAGCTGAGAGAGAGCCCGGTGTCCGTGTCGGCGCCACCCACGAGCTTGCGGTCGCCCATGTTCCGCCGGGCCTCGAACAAGGCGCGGGCGCGGCCCGTCCACCAGTTGTCGGCCCAGAGCTTCTCGATGGGCCACTTCTTGTACCAGTTGTGGTGGGCGATGACGGGGACCACGCCGGCGCAGATCTCGCTGTACAGCGGCATGTCCTCCCAGCGTGGCCGGTCGCCCTCGGGGAGGAGGTCGAGCACGCCGGCGCTGGGGATGTCGGTGGGCATGGGGGCGATGGGACGGCAGACGGGCTGCATGCCGTGGGACTGGTGTTCCAGCTGCGGGGCGAGCGGATTCGAGTGGACGACGTAGGCGGAATCGTGGAGGGCGTTGGAGGTCTGGTGCGACATCTGGGAGAAGTGGTCGACCATGATGCCGAACTCGTAGGGCTTGGCTGGGTTGTAGTCCGGGTCGTGCATGGGCTGGTGCGGGAAGCTCGGGTTCAGCGGGTCGTCGACGAGGTTCTTCTCGATCTTGAGGGGTTTCCGCGGGGCGCCGGCGCGGTTGGGGATGAACTGGTCTAGAAAGTTGTCGAGCCAGGTGTGGTGGCGGCGGCGCATGACCTCGCGGTGGTACTCCTGCTCGCCGAACATTTCGTTGAAGAAGCTCTGGTCGCTGCCCCGGTGGCACCAGGCTCGCACGAATTTCTGCTCCTTCATCTTGCCAGCCAGGCAGGTGTTCATGCGTTCGTTGGCGCGCGCAAAGACGGCACGCATGTCACGGAACGGTCCCATGATGAAGCCGGAAACGAGGTGACGCTGGCGCAGGCCGGCGTGCGATTCGGGTTTGACGTTCATCACATCGGTAATGTTGCCGTAGATATCCTTGGGCAGCGGTGATTCCGGGATAGGGTAGCAGGCGACGCTGTGGATATCGTTGGGCCCGCAGCGCTTGCTGGCGGAGAAGATGACCTTGGTGGAGATGCCCTCGGCGTCGAAGGCGCGGCCCATGCGGTGGGCCACCCGGGCGTTCTCCGAGGCGATCATCTCGTAGTAACGCGCGAAGAGGGTCTCGGGCGGGAGCTGAAACCAGATGTCATAGGCGTCGATCATGATGACCATGTCGTCCTCGTACTGCTGGTTGGATGGGTTCTCGAGCCAATGTAGCGTGCTGTTGATCTTCCCCAGATGGGAACCACCGCCTAGGAAGCGGTGGTTGTTCGGGTTGTCGAATGTCTGGTCCCAGAACACCAGGTTGGGGCGAGGGTAGCCGAGGATGGTCTGAGAAAGCAGGTTCTTGCAAAGGCGGACGTCGGTCTTGGACGAGGGGATAATGATGTGGAGTCTGGGGAGACTGGAGGGGGTCGGGCTTCCTGTGGCGTGGCCACCCAAGACGGGAGGTGCCGCGGCCTCTACGGTGCCGACATCATCTGCCCATGGTCGTAGGGATGTCCAGTTGGGTCCTTCGCGAAGTTGCTAAGAGAGTGGGGGGTTAGTCGTCGGTTCTGGGGCGTAGGGGTTGCAAGAGGTGGAGGGGATGGGGGTCAAGATTGGACTTACCAGGCCGAAGCAAACAAATACCGCACTGAGAAAGAGGGCAGTGACAAGAATAAGGGCTTGTCTAGGTCTCCGTGTAGGAAGAAAGGCGAAAACTCGCTGTGGCCAATATTGCTGGAGGGACTTCATCTCGACAACATGGCCGGGGGGAAGGTCCAAACAGAAGGTCCCAATAGAATTAGGTATAGCTAATAATAGGCTGGTCGATAATTCGAAGTAGCACACAGGCTTCTAGGATAGTCGAGGTCGATGGTCGATGGTCGATGGTGCCGATACTCGGAATAGTGGAATAATGAAGGAGAGACTAGGTATTGCGCGTTAAGCGAGGCAAAGGAGCGAAAGAAGTTGAGTTGAATGAGTGACTGGAAGCAAAGCGGACTATGCGTTTGCTTTTCGAAGTTCGTTGGCTGGTTAAGGTAAGTAGCGGCTTTGATCGTGAGGGTCTGAGTGTCGCCAATAAAATGGTGGTAGATAGACAAATAGACACAAGAAATCAGGTGTCGAAACGAAGCGCAGAGGAGATTCGTAGATGGGCGGGCGGGCACACACAGGCGTAGACAAAGATATCAAAGGGCCCGAGGAAAGCAACAAGCAACGGAAGTAGTGCTATCTGTCCTCGTACAGAAACGAAGGATAAAGAAGGAAAAGAGAGTGAGGTATGATGGAGAGAAGAAGGAGAGAAGGGGAAAACCGAAAATGGGGGCAAAAAGGTCTAGCGGCACATCAGGGGAAGGAACAGGTGAGGCCAAGGCTGAAAGACTCTTGGCTTCATAGAAGTACACCATGCCCCATGGGTTGTTCTTGCCTTGCCGGCCCCCCTATATCGTGCGGTCCCCCTCTTATCGTCCATTCCAAGTCCCTTGACTGCCTACAGGTATCTACCTTCTACAACGTACCTTAAGGTACCCCCCAATCCAGGCCTCCAAGACCACCAACCCGGAAATCGAGTCAGCTACCTAGAGCTTAGACCCTTTTGCCGAAAGAGAAGACGGATTCATTACATCAAGCCAGGAACGATCTGAACTTTTAAAATTTTGGCTAAGTGATATAACTAACGAGAAGGGAAGATTTGGGAATCAAATGTATGAACACGACCCTGATTTTCGTTAAAATATGTCGGACCGTCAACCGTCTCCCCTTTCCGGGAAGATCGTCTTTCATGCTATACCCAAAAGAAGACTAGCACTTTGTGATGTGAAGGGGGCATACAGGCGTCTAATTGGTGCATTACTATACATCACATACATCACAGTCTGATTGGCTATTTTCCTAACGCCATCTTCCTCCTACCTTCTCTTCCTTCGGGACCTTTTTCGTCCCAATTCCTTCCCTTTTTTCTCGCTTCAGTGTACAGAATAATTACGAAGTAGCACTGCATCACAGTAGCCCTACGAGTCTTTAATTTCACTGCGTAATACTCCTCCCACTTCTCCGGGTCTTGGCTATCTGCTGTACCGGTATCATCTCGAAGGTAGGGCGGGTTTGTCCGTGCTGTCTAACGGTCTCACCTACGAAGCACTGCACTGCCTCCCATGTTTCCCACCACCGCCGATCAGAGTAAGCAGCACAGCCAAGAAGGCTTCGCAATTCCATCTTCGTAATCTCTGCCGAATTTGCGGTCTTGGGTTCAGGCACTGGATGGTGAGCAACGCCAGCAACGACAATACATGAGGGCAATCGTGCTGTGTCCTCAACTATTATTAGAGCATTCCCCGAACTACCGAGGCAGGTCTTGCCCTACGTCCATGATTCTCTCGATCATCATGTGGACCTTTTCCCACGTCTGCGATATTCGGACGGAGTCGACGAACCCGGCCGAGAAGAAGAAATGGACTACTCAAGATATCTCTGCATCTGCGAAGTAACACAACCAGAGCCTCGCGGCCATTGATTACCCGACAAGACAAATTTCGCAGCCCTGCTATAAATCGCCGAGTACCATGTCCATCCATGTCCCAGTCGACGGAGCAAGACAAACGGAAACCAGGTGAAGGGAACTTGCGTCGCCACCTCTGTTCCTATATAGAGAACTTCGCTCATCAGGTGCAGTCCCTAACCCCCAGCATCGCTTCTGTAGGTTCCCGTCTTCGTCCCAAGTCTTGACAGCCAAAGATGGGATGAAGCGTGGCCCGAGGGCCAGGAACAACAGTAAGCACGAGGTCAAGTCGCACACAGTAGTGCAAAGATCCAGTTGTCTGTTACTACAGCACAAGTAGGGGAAATGCAAGGAAAATATGATCCATGTACGTAATAGGTCTCATCTTGCGACCAAAGAAAACGGTGAAGTGCAAGCTTTGAGCCACCAAAGAGTTCATCCACCCTGCGATGAATAATCGAGACGCCAAAAATGAACAAAAACTTCAACGGCTCCTGAACGTATATTCACCAAATTGAGGGTAATTTTAGGCCTTTTTTTGGTTCATTTTTTTTTTGTAACCCCACCCTCCCCCCCCCCAGACGGAGTTATTAGAGGCCGACTGGCACGCCATGGCGCCAGTCACTCTAATCTAAGGTATTTCCTGCGCCGCTCCAGAACAGTCCCAGCATTCCCTCCCACAGAAAAGTAGGCCCAAACCAGCATTTTTGGCCATATGCAGAGGGAGATGAAAGAAGTAAATAAACCAAAGAGGAAAGGGGTAATAGACAAATAAATGCACTATGCCATGGAAACAGAATCAACTTCCCACCATGAAGCCCAGGGCATTCGAAAGCTCGACCTCCCACCTAAAAGTTGTCGCCGAGGAGAACCTCAAGCTCAGCCTCATAGTAACCCTTGCAGCCAATACCGTCCAGGTCCTCCATGCCAGGCATGTAAGCATCCTCGTTGGACCCATCACTCTTCACCCACGAACACACCTTGCCATTAGCCGCGATGCTCATGCCGTAGTAAGGCATGTCCATAGCGCCAGCGACCAGCACACTGACATCAGCGCCCGAGTTGCCACCATTGGGCTCGGAACCCCAATCCCACTCGAACCAAGTACCAGCCAACTGGCCCAGGTCGGTCCGGTCCACCACATTGCCGGGGGCGCAGGCGCAGCTCCCCTGCGAGTTGGTATCGAACGCCATATAGACATCATCCCTGCCGGGGTCTGAAACGGAGAAATCCACGGCCGAGAACCAGAACCCGTCGAGCAGGCCCTTGGGGCCGACCTTGTTGAAGCACGAGCACGCGAACTTGCCCCCCGTCGAGACGAACTTGGACACGTACTTGTAGGCGTGGGTGTCGACCTTGTCGATGATCTTCATGTTGCAGCCCCAGTCGCCCGGCGTGCCCGTGTTGCCGCTGTACATGATCTGGTCGTAGGTGGCGCGCTTGTTGCTGCTGCTGCTGCTGCTGCTGCCCCGGGCGGCGCTGGTGGAGTCCCCGCCGCAGAAGGGAACGAAACCCTGGCCGCCGCTGCTGGAGGTGGGAGACGACGAGGAGGAGGAGGAGGACGCGGCGGAAGGAGTGGATGCGGCGGAGGCCCTGGCCGGGGAGGGTTCGGCGGCGACCGGGACGGGCTCGGACGTGGTGTGAGGACGGCTGGCCTTCTTGAACTCGATCGGGTGGGCCTCAACGGCGTCCTTCTTGGCGTGCAGATAGGCATGGGCGTGGCCGGAGGGGTGGGCAGCGACGCCTCCCAGGGCGGCTGTGACGGCGAGAAGAGCAGCGGAGAAGTGCATGTTTGTCACTCCTTTCTTTTTTTCTTCCTTTTTTCTTCGTCTTCAAAAGTTGAAAATTGAGGTTTGTTTTGAGGGACGACTAAGCGTAACCGGCTCGCGGGGGGAAAATGAAGAAAAAAGAGCGTCAATCAGTTGGGTTGTTGATGTCCTATCCTTGAAATGAGTGACAGCGAGACCTTCGCTCGCGGTGGTTTGAAAGAGAAGGAATAAAGGATAAGGACTGTTCAAAAGCTCAAAGGAGTGAAGCTATTGAACAAAACAACAAACGTTTCGAGGGTGAGAATCGAGGAAGGGATAGGGAGCAAGTCAAAAGAGGAGGGAAATGAGCTGGCCTTTGAAGGCCGGGGCCATGCAGTCCATGCAGGCCATGCAACCCAAGAAGCCGTTGCCATGCCCTGTTAAGGAACAACATGGCCCTGCAGTCACTTTCCCAGAATCTGGCACATAGAGAGCCTCGTGTACAGAAGGATAGCAAGTCATTCCTTACGAATTACCCTCCTCTCAGACCTCCCCTGGCGCCATCCCTCAAGAGGCCCAAAGGACGAACATGGAATGGTGCGCCGGCGGTTGGACGCAGCCACGAAGAAACAACGGGACTAGCGTCAGGGGCAAAGGTCCAGACCCTGAGTGAGTGGATTGGTCCGACGAGGTCGCAATAGGGCGGGCCATTCATTTTGGGCAATGTCCATGCGGAGCCCACATGCAGGATGGGATCAAAGACAAAGACCGGGGCAATCAGACGGGAAATCGCCTTGGACGAAAGCTTGTCGAGAGGGCATCGGGCCGGCATCGAGACAAGTTTACGGGGCTTCCAGACCACGACCTGATGGGGCGGTTCCCTGTTCTCTTTGTCGATCACAGAGAAAACTTGATTTCGTTTTCTTTGTTCCTTACACTACAGGAGACGAGAAAATTCATCGCATGTTGTTCGTCAAGTTCCGTTAGCGTCGGGATGCTGGACGGCGTTCTGGGTCCACGCTTTACACGTACTACTTGGGCTATGTGTAATTATCAAATGAAATTACATGCATCGAGAAATATTTATTGGCATCACGACTCATGCGGCCACGGCAGTTATTGGGAGCTTAACACGTTTTCGTCAACCATCAGTGGCTTGCTTATACGGATGCGACTTCGACGCCAAAAGAACGGTGCGGTTTGGCTTAACCGCCAGTTCCTGGGACGGACATTTCTCACCAAGCTGGAACTTCAGGCGAGACCGTTTTATCCCGACGTTTACACGAATTGGCCGAGTTCAAGGTCACAATCCGGAAGAATTCTGTCCAAGAAGCAACGGTGAACTGAGATCGTAAGCGTCGTAGGAGTCATCCGAAAATAGGGTCCAGCGGGATTCCCCTCGCCGCGATCCATCGGAATACCAGAAAGGGAAACCTGGAGGAAAAAAAAGAAGAAGAAAAAAAGGTAATCGTGAATGAATGACGAGGCATTCCAAGAAATACGGCAGCCACTGTCTCCACAAGCTCTGAGATAATTAGATCCTGGGCGCTCAATTGCGAGACAGAATTCGTCCTCATCAAGTGGAGATCTGCCACGTATAAAAGCCCTCGGGATCAATCATAAACGTGGTCCTATAGGATGAGGATGAATGCTTGAAGTGCGTCAAATATCGTCTGCTGAGCTGTGGCCACCCGTGGCCGATGCTGAATCAAAGACCACCTGCGTACGAAGTAGAAGTATCTAATGCGGTTTTAGGATAATGGTAGAATTTGATTTGAGGATTTTATAAGCTCGAAAGTAATTGAAGAAGATGTTATCCAGAATTTGTAGATTGGATCGAGTTTCGTAGACGGGAAGGGGGACAAATGACTTTAATGTAAAGTTCTTTCTGCTTAACGGAATGAGTGGAAGGGATATAAAGGAAAGTTCACGGCTCATTGCATCGACCAGCCTCCGAGTCCACTTGGAGTGCTTCCGCGTTGCGCCGTTGGTCTAGTGGTATGATTCTCGCTTAGGGTCACACCCGAAGCAATGCTTGCGAGAGGTCCCGGGTTCAATCCCCGGATGGCGCCCACGTCATCTTTCTTTTTTTCTTTTCTTCTTAATTTTTGTTCCTCCTTTCATTCCCTCCCCTTCCTATTCTCTTTTTTTCTTTCTTTCTTTTCTCGTCTCCCTTTCCCCCTTCTTTCTTCTTTCATCATGGCCCTGCACATGTTCGTCCGCTCACTGGGCACATCTCAATTGTTAATAAGGATCTCGCAGATGTTTCTTTCGGCTATTGAGAACAACTAACACGTTCCTCTCCGTCCGGAGGTCATTATCCAGCTTCCAGGGTCGCGGCGTGCTCACCCCTAGCCCTCTCTCCATCTGTTTAACGGCGCTCGATCAGATCATCAGCCCATCAACCCATTACATCCACTATCAGATCAATTGGCTCGGTGAACTAGCTACTGGTACATCTTGCCTTAGAACTAATTCCTAGTCTGTATTTATCTCGTCCTCGAGAATGCCGGTACCCTGCTCCGGCAGCACGCAGCACGCCTCTTAATGTTCTGAAGACAAACGACGCCCGCGGTCTACCTGACATTCGGAGAACGAATGCGGCCATGTCATGTCAAGCTCTGATCACCAGCGGAAGAGAGAGACTTCAGTCCATGTAGAATGATGCCACGTTGCGGGGCTTTCGGAGTGGTTGTCGGCCGCCGGTTCCCGAACTCGTACATCGCACCGTGCGTGTACAACACATTGAAGTCGGCAGTGACCCGGTGGTCCCCGGTCCATTCGTCGGGCAGTGGGTCTCTCCCGGAAGCCGCTGTGTACAGTACTGCGTATAAAGTATCTGAATGAAGATGGAGACGTTTGGAATGATATGTTCCTATGTCACTCAGTGACTATATAGCCTGTGTGGTGAAATATGTCCGTCAAGCCTCTGGACATGAGGAACCGCAAATTAAGGTAGTAAAGAACTCGGGTTGGATGTTCAAATCGAATCTAGATTCTTTACGTATGCCGCCGCCTGGCGGGAGAGAGAGACGAACAAGTACAGTATTTTCAAGCCCTTCTAAGACCACAAAACCACAGAAGACGGGGTATATGCTGGATTCTTCCATAACGTGACGCATAGCGCGCCTCCAGGCAGCTTTTCCATTTTAGTTTCCATGTGGGACAAGCACCACGATCCGTCATGCCAGACGCCGTCTGCCATGACGCCATAACGAGCCGAGCACCAAATTCAACGCTCACAGCTTAAATTGCCACCGCGTCGCAACCCAACGAAGGACATATACGAGGCCGATCAAGACGGGCACCTCAATCAGGGGCCCCACCGTCGAAGCAAGAGCCTGCTGGCTGTCCGCTCCGTAGATGGCGACCGCCACGGCGATGGCGAGCTCAAAGTTGTTGCTCGCGGCCGTGAAGCTCTGAGTCGCACAAAGCGAATAGGCGAACCCGAAGCGCCGCGCAATGAAGAGCGTAACGAAAAAGATGAGGGTGAAGTAGACGATCAACGGCGCGGAGACGCGGACGACGGAGACGATCTGCTGAACGACCTGGCGCCCCTGCGAGGCGAACAGAACCAGGATGGTGTAGAGCAGGCCGATCAGGGACCAGGGCGAGAGGTAGCGGATGAAGACCTTGTCGTACCACTCGGGCCCTGCGAGGCGTCGGACCAGGAAGCGGGTGAGGATGGCGGCGGCGAGGGGGATGCCCAGGAAGACGGCGACGCTGGTGGCGACGATGGCGTAGGACACCGTGGTGGTGGTCGAGGAGTGGCTGATGATGTTGAGGAAGAAGACGGCCATGGGGGCGTAGAGGACCATCTGCAGGAGGGAGTTGATGGCCACGAGGATGGCGCAGTATTCGGCGTCGCCGCCGGCGAGGTTGTTCCATATCAGGACCTATTTTGTGGAACTTTGGGTCAGCATTCTGGGGATCTCGAAGGCGCTGATGGGTGATGGGGTGATAATGGATCAACATACCATGGCAATGCATCTCGCCAGACCCACGAGAATAAGGCCTTCGCGTAGTCCCTCTTCGTCCGGGAGAAACGCCCAGGCTAGGCCAAGCTGGTGATCACCCAAGTCAGCACAGTCGACTCTTCAGTTTCCAGTCACAGACTGCACTCACCATGAAGAAGGGAGCGACGATCCAATTGATGACTACGCTGAAGAGCATCTGTCTCCAGATCTCGCGATGCCGGAATAACTTGTGCAGGGTTTCGTAGTGCACTTTGCAGAGAATGGGGTACATCATGACGAGTAAACCGACGGCTGAGGACGACACAGAGTCAGCAATCCGTCTCCCGAGCCTTCATCTTTTCTTAGAGAGGACATGTCATGATACATACCGATTGGAATTGAAACGTCGACGAACTTGCCCTGCTGCAGGGCAGGCCCGATGTTCGGGACGAAGTTGCCGAGGATGATCCCGATGGCCATGGCGAGGAGAATCCAGAGAGCGAGGAGCCGGTCCAGCCATCCCAGGGCCTTGAAAGCATTTGTTTTGCTATCGAGAATGTTGACATTGGGATCGGGTTCGGTGGCCTGCTGCTCCAAGTCTCCGGGGCTCGAGTCTTTCTGAGAGTTGGCTTGAGAGTCGGGACCTTCGAGATCCTGGACGATGACGGCCTCCTTCGGCGGAGTAGTCGGTGCAAGGCCTGCATCTCTCGGGTGTTGGGAGCCTTTTTCGTCCATGGTGATTTTTAGACGGGGGAGTTGAGCCGTCCAGTTCGCGTGGCTTCGATAATGTGACTTGGTTCTTCCTGTTTCAAGATGATGAACAAGATCCAAAGCTGAGAGGTGGTGAGAATATTTGTCTCGTCCGTATTTATATATATAGAGGGTTTGACTACCGGTAGTGATAAATTCCCGTTGAGGCAAAGTCGAGATTTTGAAGGAACATTGCCTGCATCCGCCAATCAGATACAGGCAGTGACATGCCAAGCCGCTGGGTGGTCCAGAGCGGAGTACACAAGGTAGGTACAACATTTTGCCCCCCGCTGTAGGTACGTGTAATTTGCAATTACATTGCCGGCACGTGCGTGTAAGACTGGTTTGATAGGCGGGCTACGTAACCCGCACAGGGCTAGTAGTGGTTAAGGTAGCTTACACTATGTCCACCGCTGTAACTATCTAGGAGCTCTCTTCCAGAAATCAACAACCTCGCAATCGTACAAGCGCGTTATGACACGGGAAGGAAAAAGCCCTGAATGAATAATTAGGGACAGTGGAAATTATAAGATGGCGAAATTATAAGATGGAGGTCCTGGTTCCTTAGCCGTCGACCAGCCCTGGTACAACCAGGACATGGCATACGAAGCGCGCCGTTGGTCTAGTGGTATGATTCTCGCTTAGGGTAACACCCAAAAGCAAAGCTTGCGAGAGGTCCCGGGTTCAATCCCCGGATGGCGCCTAATTTTTTGTTCTTTTGATCTCAATTTTATTGATTATTTTATTCGTTTTCCTCTTTAGCCCTGTAATTACTCTCTTCGCTTCTCCATTGGCCGTGGAATTGTATAGAGTAAGGTACTGAAAACAACGATATACGCGTTGTAGGATTGTTGTTGATTAAGGAAGAATCTCCTCCCCTCGAGCAGAGCTAGATACAGTAACCCTCGCTCCAGGGCGGGTTACGTAACCCGCCCATCAGTACTCTATCTACTCCTACGGGGAAATGAAGTGGGGTAAGTATCATCGCGTGCAATTGATAAGAAGCACGCAATGCCACGCATCTCAATCAATCCTTTGGAGATTCTTCCAGGTTAGGTAATCGTGAAGACCTCAAAGCGCGTATTTGGTGCAAACTGTGTTTGTCATGCTTGAGGTGACAGGAGGCGAGGCATGAATGGCATGAATCCACGATGACTACACCTTTTTTTTTCTTCTTTTTTTTTCTGCTGTAATGTACGGAGCCTTGGCTGCCATGGAAATAGGCCGAGGAAGGGACAATGGACCGAGTCGCCGACCGGCGGCCGAGTTGTGATCAAGGTGGTTTGCGCCGATCAGGGATTGGGTGTAACTTGTAAGAAGAATCCTGAATCCATATGTTAGTTACTACCGTACGGAGGTGATTGGAGGTTTAATAATTAGGTAATTCATGAAGCGAACGGCGCCATTCAGTCTTTCAACCAAGAAAAGGCCCGTCGAGGCAGATTTCACACGGCAGAATTGATCGTCTTGATGAAGGTTCTTGGAGCGAACTTTCTCTAAACCAAAGGCCTGTCATCCATCATGGATCACACAGGATGGTATCATCATTGTATACATACTCCTGATCTTGGGATGTGTCACAACAGGTAAACACGTGGCGCATACTGCTCCGTAAGGTACACGAGGTGCGGTTTCTAAAGGTATGGTACTACCCAATAGACAACCTACCTTAACATTAGGTGCCTGGTTGTTGGGAACGGATTGATGTCCGTCTGTTGGGTGTTGCTCTGCTTCCCAAGGGTTTTGTAACGCCACTCAATGTTCCCGTGATTCGAGTACAGACCACGTCTACGAGTCATGGGATTACGGTGTTCCATGCTCGTTTCTACCTTATGCACTGCAAGTCTGCAACCATCTCGTATCGTCGCAGATGATGCATGTACACCCTGGAATCGTATTCCGAAAGCCGAATCTGGGACCTGTCACCCCATGATTTCGCTCATTTTTTTGCATCATGTCGATGAATACCTACATCAGTGGCAGCCTGGCAGGGCTCAATCGGGACGTGGTAGGCGAGGGGCCGGCATATGTAAGATGGTCAACTATAAGATCAAAGTCAACCACGTCTTGGATCCCCCAGAGGTCAGCCACTATCCACGGTATAGAGAGACTTTAAAAGGAAAGGAAGAGGGGGAAGACAAGAGGGAAATACCTTCTCATCTCGATCGCTCAATTTAGGCGAACCGTGGTCCATAGTGTGCCCGGATGAAGACGAGGACCTCCGGTTCGAGAAATTGGAGATGGTCCCACTACATAATTACCTACAGGCTACTGTAACCTAGTGTACATAGCAGTGCAGGCGCGGCAACCGCAAAATTAGGCTGGATTCGGCAGTCCCTGAAACGCCTGAAAGAGGCTGGGGGACCCCGGCCGGCAACGATCCCGACTCGATGGGCCATCACAAAGCCACAAAGGCACGGAATAGCGTCCGTAGGAGCTACATGTCTATTCCGTACATTTACCCCATAGGGCTCCTCGTCCGGCTCGTGAAACCCGGCGAAAGCCAAGAAGGGCGGAGATCTACGAAGGAGATCCGTAGGTACCGTTGTAGGTATGGAGTAAGGTAGTCTTGCTGCTTGCATCCATTTTCACCAGTCCACGACATTTTACCTATTTACAAAGTACATATGCCGACAGCTAGTGGTTCTCTGCCCTACCCCTTGCCTTCAATTCAAAACACTATCGTGATGATGCCCGCGTGGGGGTGGGGTACGCTAGGTACACATTGTAGGTATCCCAAGGGATATACCCAGTCATGATAGGTACGGTTTCCGGAGGGTTTCTTTCTTATCTTCTTCTTCTTCTCTTCGATTCTTGTGATTCTCACGTAATGATCTAGGAGGGCATGGAGACCGACCGACATCTTAAGAAATTCCTTCTCAAATGCACCGCCACTAAGGTAGCAACCAGAGTCTGGCCAGGCGTGGTCAATTAACTCAATTTAATGTGAATGAGTGCAAATTAGGTAGCTGGTAACCGGTTCCACCGCATTCTGTGGCAGTTTGGCAGATGGCTGACCACACGAAGCACGAAGTACAACGTATGTACTTCGTGCATCTAGGTACATACAGGTACCTTCCAGACTATGCTTACTCTGTACGTACCTGTCCGTATTGAAATGTGTTCTGGCCGGGCCGTGACGTGACACGTGACACGGCCAATATCCAGTGAAAGCCTGAACCGCCGTTCCGGATGCCGGAAGAGGCAACACCGGAACGTCAACTTCCTAAATGCGAAGGCTGGAGAAATCGCTCAAGGAAATTGAAGACGTAGAGACAGAGAAGAAAAGAAAATGTCCTCTGGGCCGGTAATTTTGATTAGGGATGATATTATGCCGTCTGGACTCTGGAGGCCGCCTAGCTGCCTGTATCATGAGAGAGAGGACTCAGAGGAGAGTCAGGAGACGGGAAGCAAGAAAGAAAGAAAGAAAGAAAAAAGAATTGGCATGAGGATGGGGAACAAGAATGACAGAAGCGACTAAAAACATGAAACATACGGCCTCCATAATCTCGTCGTGCCATCAATGATATCATGTCACAAGAATCACAAGGGTTGCAAGTCTCGTTCCGAGAGTGTGGATGGGGCTAATTTGCTCGATGCGAGGTTTTTCACCTCCCTCCCGCTCGGCGCTCGGCGCTCGGCGCTGACCCAGTGGCCTGCCTGCAGCAGTGCAGCTGAGCCCTGGCGTCGCTAACTAGTAACAAAAAGCCTAACATATGTGCAGCCAACTTACGTCAAGGCGGTTTGCCCTCCGCGGCGGCCCCAGGACTCAACCATCGAAGGCCCGATCATCCAAATTAAACCCCAGATTTCCAAGGCAGGGTATCTATACGCATCGGTACGTGGGGGGGTTTCCGTGGGGAGCCATGGAGCATCGGCTGGCTCCCGTCTGGCAAGGCCCAGCAAGTATTTACTCAAACTCTCGGCCTCATTCAGATCGGAATCATCGGGTCGACGAGGCTGGCCCTGTTGATCTCATCACTGAGTGATGATGATAACGAGTCACACTCAACTACGTCAGCGAGCACGGCATAAAACTGTGAGCCCACCTACATCTGAGATCAGAGAGCCTTTCAGCCAAGGCCCAGACACCAAAGCACAAAGCCAAGAGATCAGAAATGAAGGCATGAAAAAAAAACAAGCGCGCCTAGACGAAGAGCCACCCCCAGACGCCCCCTCCTGCCCCCCGGGGCGGAGAATACTCGGACATGCCGCCACATTCGGGTGGGCCATGGTCGGATGGTCCTTCTCACGGCTCACCTACGTGTTCGCAACGTCGCCACCATGTGCGCGGAAGAACGAGCCGATACGCCGGTGGAAGTCAGCGGGAAACCTCACCCTATTGCGGTCACTTTACGGTTCACGATCTTTGTGGGGTGTGGGCAGATAGTGGTAGGTCGATCCGGCTCCGATGCTCTCCCACACTCACACACCCCTGACGACTGAGAGTCTCAGCTGTGAAGCCGAGGCCTCACACGCACTGCATTCAGTAGACGCGGCGAGGGTTCTGTTTACGTGCTTCCGCATCATCTCGGGACAAAACGATCCAGTACCCGCCTGGGGGTCTTGGATCCGGCGTTGCGGGTCATCGTCATGGAAGGGGAGGGACTCGAGGGGAGGGATCGGGACGTTTTATAACCTCAAGGGGCTCCGTGCTTTCAACAAATCCACGGAATGATCTGATCGCTAGCTCCTGGACCAACAATCTCACCTCACCTCACTTCCTCCTCCTCCTCCTCCTCCTCCTCCTCCTCCCCCCTTCGCATCCCTCTGCGTCGTCTCGACTGTTTCGTAGAACATGTCTCCTACGTGGTCTGACAGCGAGGCCACCACCCACACGCCCGGTGGCCAGAATCGGGACTTCGACGACGCAGAGAAGGGTCTCTACCACAACGCCCAGAGCCTACCGGTGCTCCCATCGCCCGCCTATCATGGAGACGAAAAGACGCCAACCCACATGCACCTCGAGAACCGTCCCGGCTACGTCTCGCCCGTCCACGAAGGCATCACTCCGTCCTCCAGCGTGCCGATACTGTCTACGCTGTCGCCGTCACAGTCCTCGGGATGCCTCACACCGATCAAACCCACGGAGCCGAGCCCCCCGCCCGCGAAGAAACCGACATCACGGCCGAGGCCCAAGATCAGCCGCTGGGTACGCGTCCGGTTCTGGTACAACACCTACCGGCAGTTCTTTACCTTCATCGTCTTGCTCAACCTCGTCGGTATCATCATGGCGGCTGTCGGTCGATTCCCCTATGCCGTAAACCACCTCGGCGCTTTGGTCCTTGGTAACCTTCTTTGCGCCATTCTTATGAGAAACGAACTGTTCTTGCGGTTTCTGTACATGGTCGCCATCTATGGTCTGCGAAGCGTACGTCCCCCCCCCCCTCTTTTTTTTTTTTCTTCTTTTTCTTTTCTTCTTTTTCTTTTCTTCTTTTTCTTTCTCGATTGCTTTACACTCCCCTCGTCGACCATTATTCTTCACTACAGTCTCCGTGGAACTAACACAAAACTGAAATCAGTGGGCTCCACTACGCATCAAATTGGCAGCGACTTCGATCCTGCAACATATCGGAGGCATCCACTCCGGATGCGCGGTTTCCGGCACAGCGTAAGAAGCCAGCCCCCCCCTGGAGTTGTTAAAGCAGTGGCGACTTTGAAGCAAAAACTAACAAAAATGGGTTTATAGGTGGCTGATTTACAAGGTTGTCGATGTTGCACTGGATAGTTCGGTTCAGCATGAAGCTGTCATTGCTACCGGTGTAATTACCGCGGCCTTTGTAATTGTTTCTGCTCTGAGCGCCTTCCCATGGGTTCGGAAGTAAGTTTTGACCCTTTTTTTTCTTCTTCTTTTTTTCTTCTTCTTTTTTTCTTCTTCTTCTTTCTTATTAGAATGTAGAATGTTCCCGGGCAAGGAAAGCTAACAACTCAAAACTTAGCAACCATCACAATACGTTTGAGAGACACCACCGCTTCATCGGATGGCTGGGCCTGGCGGTACGAGATGCTCAACTGCCCCTACTCCCAGTTTTCGAGGCCGGTTCTGACAAGGAGAATATAGGCAACTTGGACTTTCGTCATCTTGGGCAACACCTACGATATCCGGACGGGCGAGTGGCGAAGCGACACTTGGGCCATGCTCAACGCTCAGGAGATGTGGTTTGCCGTGTTCATGACCATTTTGTAAGTTTCCTGCAGACAACATACCTTCTCTACTCGGTGAGCTCAGCTCATGCCTTGACTCCATATGCAGTGTCATCATCCCCTGGTTTACCCTCCGGGAGGTTCCTGTTGAAGTTGAAATTGTGAGTCCCCCCCTTCCCCCCCCTTCCCCCCCCAGCCACTTACACTGGTTCGAAATCTGACTGATTTGTCCTTGTGGTTTAGCCGTCACCCAAAGTCGCCATTCTCAAATTCCAGCGTGGCATGCAGCAAGGCCTCCTGGGCCGTATTTCTCGTACCTCGGTAATGGAGTACCATGCTTTCGGGATTATCAGCGAGGGGCGAAAGGCTCCATGTCATTACATGATCTGCGGTGTTCAGGGTGATTTCACCAGGGGTCTTGTTGACGACCCTCCCAAGACTGTCTGGACCAGAGAACTGAAGTTCGGTAACGCTTCCCCTTGCTGTTATCACAGGCACTGATTCCCTCGTATGAACTTTTATCTAACGTATACTTTCTTCACTTCACAGCTGGCGTCGGTCACGCTTCCGCCATCTTCAAGAGAGGCATCCGTGTCTGTACTGGTACTGGTATCGGTGCTGCACTCTCTACCTGCATTCAGAGCCCGAACTGGTATGTCCGAGGCATTGTCCTTCCTGTTTAATGACCATTCTTTCTCACTCATTTGCTAGGTTCCTCATCTGGATAGGCTCCGACCAGGAGAGGACCTTCGGACCTACCATTGCGGGTCTCATTCACAAGCACATCGAGCCGGAGAGAATGATCCTCTGGGACACGAAGAAGCGCGGCGGTCGACCCGATAGCGTGCAGCTCCTCAAAGAGACGTGGGACAGCTGGCGGGCGGAGGTTATTTTCATCACCTCCAACAAACAGGGTAACGATGAGATGATGTACGGCTGTCTTCAGGGTGAGTACTGTTCCACACAAACCATTTCCTTTTCGGTGCTCTACGCAGTGGCGAGTTGCTGACCTTTTGCTTCCAGAGGGAATGCACGCGTTTGGCACTCTGTGGGATTTCTGATGAGCCGGATTGATCGGATCTTGGGTGGCATTGCGTTGTCAGCATTTCAGGAGTTTGATGATTCGCGTGCCACAAGTCGCACAGCAGCATAGAGTGGAAGTCATGTAAGGCTGGAGTTCGCTCTCCGTCAGGTCAAGCGGGAGTCTGGGCCGAGTTGAGGCCTTTTCCTTTTCTTTTCTTTTCTTTTCTTTTTTTCTGGCATGGCATACAAAGTGGCGTGCTCTCTCTGATGAGAGAACGAGTTATTGAGTCTTCATGTTGCATATGTTCTGGGATAGAGATGACGGTGTACGCTGGTACCGAAGACGAGGCAAAGTCTTTGACATGAAAAATGCATTGTACATTGAAGTTGGGATTTACTTATCACGACAACGTGCTATCTTCTGTGTGCACTGTCTTTTGGTGTCTTGTGATGCTCTCCCCTGCGTCCCCTCTAACAGAAGGGGTTGTAACTTGTTGGCCGAGGCGTAATTAGAAGATGAAGACTTTTACAAATTACGACGAATGAAGAAAATCCTTCCGGATTCGTCCATGATATGGGCCGGGTGATTACGGTCCGACAACCCGCGGAGTATAGTCAGGGGTTACCACGGGAGGAGGCCATAACCATTCGTGTCCTGTCTTGTCTTTGTATACAGTATGGCTTGTCCACAGTGGTAGAGGTATCATGTATATCGCTGTGGATGCATGTGAGGTTCAAGAGTCAGACCAAGTCGACTCCGAAGCCACTTTGAATTTAGGAGGAAGACAGAGTCGTTCTTTGGGTTTCAAGGCGTATCATGTATCTCATGTTAGTTGAACGATGAGCCGCTTTGTCCCCGCCGCCCCTTTCTCTCCCTTCTCCATCTCCCTGAGCCCGAGGAGTCAAGGGGGCGGGACCTCATTCGACGAGTAGCTAGAGGGGACTAGTGATAGTCTTGCCAAGGAGAATGTGATACGGAGTGTAAATGAGCTGTGTCGCGCGATTAAATATCATGTGATGGTTGATTGAAGATTGGATGGGTGTCCCGGCCGGCCCGCAAGAGCCCAGCCATCGCGTCACGGATGGATGCGTGCACCGCCTTGATAAGTTATTATTCGGCCCACCAGTTAGTGGTGACCAGTGACGGTGGTGCTGGTGCATCACCGGGAATCCGAGATTCAACATTAAGTCTCGGCACGTTGGGCACGGAGATGTACAAGCTGGGCTTCGCACACACACACACACACACACACACACACACACACACACACACCCATACCACCACCCCGCCCCGTGTTAGTTCGGGATACATCATATAGCCGTGATACAACACGTGCTGCTCATGCCCCTCATTCAAGGTGACAGTGTGACACGGCCTCCTCTCCCTGCACGTATGGACTTGCCCACTTGAGACATATGGCTTATAAGTGCAAGCTTGCCCAGTCGGCTGGGCCCTGGGCCCTGGCGGCGGCATTCGTTCCAATACGGCACGTCTGGGCTTGGGTTCCTCGTAGTGAGGACGAGAAGCAACAACTCCAGATGCATCGGCTCCCTCCTGTTAGATCCCATTCGCGTGGATGGTACCCAGATTTCGTGCCAACCCCTTTCCCAGTCGTCCAAGACAGCACAGTGATGTGTGAGTGCGTGTGGCTTCCACAATTACCCCCCAAAGAGTTCGAACTTCGAACTAGGCGAGTTGGCACGTTCGAAAACACGTCAGGCAGCCATTCTTGTGGACGTCGGGCGGGTGGGTAGTCTTATGGCTGGGCCTAAAATCACATGTCGAAGAGGCGCCGCGCCAGCCCCGAGTACACTGTACAGCAGCATACAAGAGACGCACCGTTGTCTGTAGAGACTTGTTGGGGCTGTGTGATTTTGCAGTACCATTACTGGGTTTGGCGGCGTCGCCATCTCTTCTAGAGTCTTCGTCTTTGCTTGGTCAAGTAGTAACCAACTCTCTCTCTCTCTCTCTGTGTGTGTGTGTGTGCCGGGTGAAATGCGCGTCAAATGTGCGTCGCGGCGCTTTATAGCAAAGGCTTCCAGGCATGCGGGCTGATTATCGGGTAGCTTTGCAGGTCGGCTCCCTATCTGGCACGGCCGGGAGGATGGCAGGATACACTCCACCCAGCGACCGTTCGAATTCGGCGAAGCTCCTTCCAAGTTCATCCTCAACGCAAACCGTCTTCGCGACTGTTCCGAAGGAGACCGGCTCACACGCACCTCCTCCTGCCATGGCCTCCAAGCCTTCGGCTGCCAAGAGGATCTTGCCGCCTCGCATGACGAGCTCAAGGTCTTCAGCTGCCGAGAAAACCACCCGGGCATAGGCATCGTCGTGTTCGTGTTCGTGTTCGTGTTCGTATCCGTCGGCGCCGGCGCCGCGTCCTCCGAAGACGACAATATCCGCCAACTTCCCGGCCTCGAGGGATCCCACGTGGTCCTCGAAGCCAGCAACCTTGGCCGCGTTGACCGTCATCATCTCCCACAGCGTCCTGGGGGCGACGGTCCGACCAAAGCTCTCCTGCGTAACGAGGTACCCGCACACAGCCTCCCTCGTCATGGAAGCCGACCCGGAGGGAAGCCAGTCGGTGCCGAGGGCGACGGTGATGCCCGCGTCGAGGAGGTAGGTGACGTCGAGGGTCTTGCCGTAGAGGAACACGTTGCTGCGGGGGGACCAGACGACCTTGGCGCCCCGGCGGGCGACGAGGTCGAAGTCCGCGCGGGTGAGGCCCAGGGCGTGGACGAGGGCGAGGTTCGACGCGACGATGTCGACGCTGAGACCACCACCGCCGCCGCCGCCGCCGCCGCCGCTCCCACGGAGGGAAGAAGAAGGGGTGGTATCGTACGTCGGGTCCGAGAGGCAGCGGAACTCGTTGGCGGCTTCGTCGTCGACGCCCTCTCCCACGTGGGCCATGTAGCGGTACAGCTTCCCCGCCTCCTCGCTCGTGGTGGCGTTGGGGCCGTAGTCGCAGTCTCGACTGCGCAGGATGCCCTCGGCGTCGTCGAGGGGGAAGATGTCCCAAGCGGCGACGGGGGGGTCGATGCCGTCTTCGAGGCCGGCGACGAAGTCGAGGTTTCGTGTCAGGCCGGGGACCAAGTTGCCGCCCACGATGGAGGTGGTGCCGGAGAAGAGGTGGCGCAGCTCGCCCCAGGCGGTGGCGTCGAGTTTGGTGCCGTTCACTTGCACGGGCCGCTCGGTGTTGTCCCTCGTGCCGCGCCTCCAGTCGTGGCGGTGGTCGACTCGTTCCCCGGTGTCCTCGAAGGGCGCGACGGTGGAATATTCGATGTGCTCGTGGGTGTTGATGAAGCCCGGGGAGATGACGGAACCGGTGCAGTCGAGGACGGTGACACTGGCGTCGTCCGACCCGCAGCCGGTGCCAACGTAGGCAACTTTACCTGATCGCACGAGGACGCAGCCATTCTCCAGAGACCCTTGGGGGGTCAGGACCGTACCTTTCAGCAACAAGTCGGCGGAGCGAGTGTGACTGTGACCAGCGGGTGCCGCCACGCTGCATCTGGCATTTGCAGCGCTCAGGAAGGAGGCTACGATGAGGGACAGAATCAAGGTTAGCCGAACATGCGACATGGCGATGACGCCACACAGCTTCTCATGGGGTCTCGCCAAGCGGCCACAGTCCCAGTAGATATGATGGGTTTGATTGAGTGTGTGTCGTGACTGTGTGTCCGGCGTGCCGCGTCCCCCGTGCGGCCGTGCCTCCTCAACGCAGGATAATATGGCGAAATGGGTGAAATGCTTTCTTAGGCGCCATATATTCTGTCGGATGATAACCCTTGAAGCAGCCGTGATATCTGTTCGTGTACGAATACGGATACGGATGGTCGACCATGGATGGTTTGTTTTCTCCTTGTGGCGGCAGGCAGAGCGAAGGAAGGGGAAGTTCGAGGTTTGTTATCTGTCTCATTCGGGACCGGATTATAAGTCAGCTGTGCTGTCTCACGTGAAGGGATTCGTCATCATCGGACTTCTCGAGATTTCCCGATGCTCCCGTGGTAAATAAGCAGGGGGGGGGAATGGAAGTGGCCTTGGCGCCCGGCTTCTTAATCCTCCGGCCTCGGGGGGCACGTTACTACTAGACTCCGTATTCGGTATGTGGACTAAATAAACTTGTTGCATCAGGTAAGGTCAGCTGGGACCCTGACTAAGCATTATGACCGCAAGTTCCACCACTCATTCGATTTCAACCTTCACACACAATCTTGAGGGGGAACTAACAAGGTATGAAGAAGCTAAGAAAAACGAGTGACATACATACAATGGATGTACTGCGTACTCTTAGGTACCCTATACACGCAGCTTCATGGTCCCGCCTATGGTGAAGCTTCCGACTCCGTAATTTTTTTCTCTCCCCCAATTACTCACGAGTCATATCCTCGGCCCATATTCAAACTTCACCTCCCAATCTTTCACGGTTCACGGTCCACGGTTCACCCATACTTCAACACATTTCGGTATCTCTTATTCATACTACGTAGTCTACATAGTCGTCAGCACTCACCATGTCAGGCTTCGACACATACAAGGTACGAACGCCGTTCTCCCCCTCAATGTGACAACCCCCCCTCCTCTCCCCATCGGCTAACGTCCATGTCATTACAAACAAGACCCCCTTGGACTCGCGCTACAGCAGCCCTGAAATGAAGGCGCTGTTTGGTGCGAGGTCCCGCCATTCCGTCTGGCGTAAGCTCTGGTACTGGCTGGCCCAGTCCGAGAAGGAGGTCGGTCTCGAGGGGATCAGTGACGAGGCTCTCGCTCAGATGGCCGAGCACCTCACCGTGACGGATGAGGATTTCGCCGTCGCTGCCATTGAGGAGAAGCGCCGTCGTCATGATGTGGTGAGTTTACTCACTTGTCCTCTTCCCCCCGGTGCGAGAAAAAGGGGCCAGAATAATATTGATTCCTTTCTCGAAAACAGATGGCCCGTAAGTTCTGCTTGTCTAGGAATGGCAACCGGGGGGCGTCTGACAGTCGTGATGCTATCATACTGTCGAGAACGAGAGGGACTTGAAATCTCTCTTTCTATGCCCTCTGGTTGGTTTTTTGAAGGAGGCCACTAATCCTTGATTCCTAGATGTCCATGCCTTCGGAGAGGTTGCCCCTGCTGCCGCCCCCATTATTCACCTCGGAGCCACCTCATGCTTGTAAGTTGCCCCCTTTTTCCTTTCCCTGCGAACTTTTCACTCCCCTGGTTCTCAATCATGATTTCTCGAGTCCAAACATCCATCTGTGAATCCTCATGCACAGCTGTCAGGTTTATCATCGCTAACCCAACCTCCTCTTAGTGTAACCGTATGTGGCCAGTGATTCCGCAACTTACCTTATTCACCCCCTTTTCCGTTACGGATGCAGGTACTTACTATCATATCGACAGGACAATGCCGAGTTGATTCTCATGAGGTAGGTGAAACACGAATGACATTGACATTCATACGTCCTCTCAACGCCCAGCTTGCTGACTTTGAAACAGGGATGCCATGGATCTTCTTTTGCCCAAGCTGGCCAAGGTTATTCGCAACTTTTCTCAGTTTGCTCTTCACACGAAGGAGTGAGTCCGGCCACTTGTCTCTTTTTTCTGTCCTCTTCCCAAGTGCGCATACTCATTCTCATTCTCATTTCTTTCATACAGTATTCCCACCCTTGGGTGGACACACTACCAGCCAGCCCAAATCATCACAACAGGACGTAGGGCTGCTCAATGGGTGCAAGATTTGGTGAGTGCTTAGGGCACCATGCCATCCCTCCCTTTGGTTCGGGTCCGCTCCCGAGAACATAAAGCACGCAGGGTTTGAAGTGACCATGACCATAGAGCCGTTGTATTTGGCTAACGACCATTGACCAGATGATGGATCTGAAGAATATTGAGATTCAACGCCAAGGTCTTCTCTTCCGCGGCGCCATGGGCACCACCGGCAGTAAGTCATCCGATGTCCATCCTCTCTTCACGAGAGTAGTAAAGTGTGCAACCCGCTCATCATCCCCCCCCCCTCATTTAGCCCAAGCTTCCTTTTTGGAGATATTCCAGGGCGACGGAGCCAAGATCGACAAACTCAACGAGCTCCTCTGCCAAAAGGCCGGCTTCCCCAAGACATATGACATCTCGGTCCAAACCTATTCTCGCAAGGTCGACCTCGACATCGCCAACGCCATCTGCGGCCTGGGCACCACCGCCATGCACATCACGAGCGATATCCGCCACCTTGCCAACATGAAGGAGCTGGAGGAGCCCTTCGAGAAGGACCAGATCGGCTCGAGCGCCATGGCCTACAAGCGCAATCCCATGCGCAGCGAGCGCATCTGCTCCCTGGGCCGCAAGCTGCGCTCCCTGCCCGTCAACTTCGCCGACACGTACGCCGACCAATGGTTCGAGCGGTCCCTCGACGACAGCGCCATCCGCCGCATCGACATCCCCGAGATGATGCTGCTCGCCGACGCCATCCTGATCGGGCTCGACAACGTCAGCTCCGGCCTGGTCACCTACCCGAAGCGCATCCACGCCCACGTCATGGAGGAGCTCCCCTTCATGGCCACCGAGAACATCATCATGAAGATGGTCGCCAAGGGCGGGTCGCGCCAGGAGGCCCACGAGCAGATCCGCGTGCTCTCCCACCAGGCCAGCGACGTGGTCAAGAACCAGGGCGGCAAGAACGACCTCATCGAGCGCATCAAGGCCACCGAGTACTTCAAGCCTGTCTGGGACGAGATCGACGGCCTCCTCGACCCCAAGCTGTTCGTCGGCCGCTCTGTCGAGATGGTCGAGAGGTACTGCGGCGCGGGCGGCCCCGTGGAGGAGAAGCTGAAGCCTTATGCAGAGTACATTACCAAGGCTGGTACTGCCCAGCTCAATGTCTGAGAAACGGTCCTTTTGTCACGTTACCGGGATTTTTGATTTCCCTTGTTATGAAGTGGGAAGGGGGGGGGGGGCGCGGCGGACGGCATACAAAAAAAGAAACTTCGAAAAGGGGGTTGGGATCGAAATGAGATGGAGCGGCAGGCTTATATCTGAGTTTACATGACGTGGCGTTTGTTGGGCACCTGATTATATGTGGAAAAAAGGTCGGGTTGGCAGTTAGCCACGTAACTCCTCGAATAGTGATATCTTTCAAGTTGCAATGGAATTGTGAAGCCATTCTCTCGATCAACATCGTCAAGTCATCACATGCACCGTCCGTTCCCTTGAACCTTTTATTGAGGCGAGCAATTCACCGAGAGCCATCTTACACCTTTAGACGGAAACTAAAATGTTATAATTGAAATATAGCATCTACCACAGAAGTGTAAACCCCCCCCCCAAACCCCCCACCAGTGCCGTCTCCTAGACATACCACCAGATCATCTTCAATCTCTCCCCGAAGCGCCTCAATCGATGCCGAAGCACAACAGAAAGTCCACCCTACTTCTTCCATCCCACAAAGTCCAGCTCCCACCCAGTCTCCAGCGCAATGCCCTCCCAGCATTCCCCCTTAACCCCAAACAACACGGTGGTGGGCACGCGGCGCGCCCTGGCAAAAATCCCAACCTCGCAAGCCGAGCACTGGACATGCCTGCACTCTCTCGCCTCGCCCTCTGCGTGATCCGACGACGGAGACTGCCGCAACGACGACGGCACCACTGGCTTTGCACCGTCGTAACCGTATCGATCGCATGCGTGTTCGGACAGGTTACCGTTACCCTGGCCGGAGGAGGGCGAGACGACGCCGGCGGCACACCTCTCCGTTTCCCGAGCGAGGGAAAACGGAGAGGGGCGGAAAGCGCGTGTCTTGGTCCATCTTGCGACGCCGCATTGGCAGCACTTCCAGGCGTTGGGGGCGGGGACGGGGACGCGGACGGGGACGTCATGGGCAGTTATTACGTGGCCGCGGTGGGATGGACGGTGCGATGCATCATCGGCAAGGATGTTCGAGTCTTCGGACGATGTCTCCGAGATGGCATCTTGGTCTCTCGCGCAAGGTCGTCGGTCCTCGGCTTCCTGCTCAAGACGTACCTTTTCCACGGGCGGCAGCAAGTCCCAGAGGGAGACAAGACGGTTGAAGGCGGGGATTGCTTCGAGATCCCACGGCGGTGGAGCCGAACGCCGACTTGATGGGCTGGTGGGATAGATGCATGTGTGGTTGCCCACGTCGTGTTCCGGCTGGGTAATGATGGGTATCGTCTGAAGAGAAGCCATCGTTTGTTTACTCGTAGAGTCGTAGGTGAACCGTCCAATCTTGATTGATACAGTCTTGAACAGACGAGTTGATCGTCTTGATCTCGAACATACCACCGACCTTCTCTGCACAAGTTATAGGTTTGAGTACCAGAAGACCTGGAACTGAAGAAAAAAGAAAAAAAAAAGAAAAAGAATCGAACATGCCCTCTGTTCAGAAGCTTGGACACTCATACCCCTGACGGAGTAACCTCACTGCCAAAACTCGTACAAAGACTTTGCCAAAGCGAGTTGAGCCGAGCGATGGAATCCCCCGTCTTGTTTGGAAAACGAATCTCTTTACGGATACCGAGTCGCTCTTTGAGCAAACAGAAGCCCTTTAATGCGAAAGCGCCTTGACCTCCCGAGACGGAGACAATGGCCGCGGCCGGTCCCGACAAAGATCCTCAGGGGTCGTTCCGGCTTTCTTTGTTCGCAAACCCGGCGACTGCATTAAAGGAAGGCCGAGAACATCAAAGACGCTGGAAATAGCACATGTGCGCAGACCGAATAATGAATGGGCTGGGTGAAAGATGACGGGCCTCCGAAGCTGAGTAGGCTTAAATTAAGATTCTCGTATCCAAAAAAAAAAACATTCCCGTAGGAGGGAAAAGTAGAAAGAGCCATCGTGCATTATTCTCATTCATTATTCGCTTAATCTGTACAACTCGTCAGGAAACAACGCGTCACGCTGCACGTATAAATAGACTGACTGTACATGGGCCGCAGGGCGGGCCTAATGGGGAAGGATAGGAAATGATGAATGGCTTAAGGTCTGTGGACTCCATTCCGGCAAGGCATTATGAACAGGCGCCTGCTGCTCACCGTCGTCTCCCTCCTCGCAGTTCTCGACCCCGCTCGCGGTGGTCCTCTGACTCGGCACAGCTCCCTCGACAGAGGAAGAAGAAGCTCCGGGACCGCAGCACGTGCTCGTGCCCGTATCTGACGTGCCGTCTCCCTCGCTTTCCAAGCTCTCCCAGAGCCGGTGCAGAGGAGACGGGGACTGCTTCTCCAGTTCGGCGGCGGCGACGCTTCCGGTCCGCGCGAACCAGTCGACCATGTACCAGCGGCGCGGCATGTGCGACATGGCGCCGTTCCAGATCAAGAAGAGGACGAGCGCCATGGGGTCGTTGGCTTCGAGGAGGGAGTAGTAGGCTTCGGAGAGGACGGTGGGCCAGGCGACGAAGTGGCAGGACATGCGGGGCTTGCCGCCGGGGAGACCGCGGACCCAGTCGGCCAGGGCGTCGAGGGCGGCGGAGTAGGTCGCGGCGTCGTGTGATGACAGGCCGCCGCCGCCGCCGCCGCCGGTCTGGTCCGAACCACCATGATGGCGGAGCCATTGTTCCAGGGCGGCCAGCTTGGCTAGGGCCGTCGGGGCGCGGTTCTCTGGATCGCGTGCCCATGCGTCTTGGTCTACCTGCTGGAGCTTGGCGCGGATGGGGCTTCGTTCCAGGTAGCCACGGATGGAGTCGGCGAATTGACCGCCAGAGCGCATGGCGTGCAGTGAAGCGGCCGGGGTTAGGGTGCACGGGATGCGCATGATCTTCTCATCCATGAAGGGCCGGTAGAAATTGAAGATGCCGTTGCACATGTAAAACATGACAATGAGGAGCCAGTTGTCTTCGTTGACATCGCGGACGGCGAGGCGGAAGTAGTTACTGGCTTGGATGGAGTACTGGTAGGCCAGGGCGTAGTATCGCTTGACGTCGGGCGGGGCGAGGTAACACAGGTGGAGGGCGGAGAGGGAGAGCATGGCCTGGTGGATGAAGACGTGGCGCGTGGCCAGCTGGGGGATCCAACGGGAGAAGACGTCGCATTGCTTGGGATCCGGGAGCAGGGAAAAGGTCTGCCAGGCGTGGGCGGAAAAGTGTTGCTTGAGCTCGGCCTCGTCGGCCTTTGATATTTCAGCGGGGAGCGGAGTGAGAGAATCGCGGGTCGATGGTTGGGCGGCGGCTGCCTGGCCCTGGCCGGGGGCTACATCTCGACTTGATGATGGAGCACCACCAGAGGCGGCATTGGCATTATCCAGGACAGTGGCCAACAAACCGAGGTAACTGCAAGGTTCCTGTCGACGAGAGCAGTTGGAGCAAATAGGACCGACACGATCGCACTGAGATGCCGGTCAGTTGGTGTGTCCCAGAAGGGGGGGCGGGGTTGGCCGGGGGTTTGTTAGAAGAAGAGAAGGGGGAAAATCAAAACGAAGAAGGGAGAAGGGGGAAAATCAAAACGAAGAAGGGAGAAAGCGAAAAGTAAAAAAAAAAAAAAGGACCGCCAACCTTGACGCGGCGTCGCTTGCACTGGCTGCAGCCACTACGACTCTTGCCGTTGAAACGCCTGGAACCTTTCGGGGCCATGGCTAAGGTAGCAAAGGCAGCTCTGAATCCGGGTGGCTGACTGAATCAAAAAAGCTCGGATGTCAGATGCCCGGCGACTTGATTCTATTCGACGGTGGGAGGGAGCGATCGACGGGGAGAGATCAATCAGAGATTGTCGGTAAGGCGGGCGTCATGCCCACCGAGAAGCAGGGTCAGCACCGCAGAGGGGTACGCGTATGCGAGAAGAGAGGTTGGAGAGCGGCAGCAACAGCCCATGACATGACAGGCTGCGCGATGCGGCGGTTGCAGTTGCGGTTGGTCGGTTAAGGCAGTACGTTGTTGTAAACGCTGGATGAGATAGAGTTGCGGACATACAGTTGTCAGGCAACACTCATTCGTACATCCATCCAGGAATTGATGCGCGGAATGCGCCGATTCGGATCTCTATCACAGATGCGATACGTGTGAGTGACCGGCAGGAAGGACAAGGAATGGGAGCGGGTAATACTTCGTACATATTTAAGAGAACAGCCCGCTCGGGTCCTGGTGCACTTTTGCACCATGAAATAACTCCTGACACGACGCGGGACGACCCCAGTGGTCCCTTTTGCCCAAGCACAGCCCTGCAACCGCATTTGGGTGTGGACTGTGGACTGTGGGCTGTGGGTCGTTGGGTCGTGGGTCGTGGGTTATAAGGGTTGGCGGGCTGGACAGACACCAACGGCAAATTCCATCCTTGTTTGGTGGGGAGGCGCGCCCAGAGCCAGTGAGTGGAGAATAGGAGCTCGCTTAGTGTATGTACGTGTAGGCAAAGAACCAGCCAAACCAGCCAGCCCATCGAGGATCATCCAGGCGTCAAGGAGCGAACTGCGGGGCGGCAGTTGAATCCTGGGGCCGGCCGGCAGCTGGCTCCCCTTGATATTATGTTGAGGGAGGTATATCATACGGGTAATTCTTCGCATTTCGAGTCCTTTGATTGTCCTTTTTCTCAGACAGGTTGTCGTCGGGGTTGAATGTTTCCAAGGGTCATTCATTCACGTCAAGGATTCGTGGCCCCCAGAACAGAGAAGGATGTTGTTACCTGAAATCTCGACCAACATGCCCAAGTCGTTCAGGGAGATTCGCAGGGAGAAGAGGGACCCAAGGAGGGCCGCCTGCTCCAAGCCAATAGCTAAACTCGGCGGTCACGTCAGAAGCCTAATAGCGAGCGGGCGAGGTGCAGAACGAACCTGGGAATCTCCTTGCTCGACCCCCCCCCCCCCTCCACAAGAATCAAGATGACGATGTCTTGTCCCCAGCTTGGGGCGCTGGGTCACGCCAGCCCATGGTGTCGACGTACTATTGTAGACGATGCCCAGAGTCACGAATCACGAACTTGCTGATAGCGGTGTTAGTAGAGGTGTTGTGGTTGACAGAATTTAAACTTGAGGGTTTTCTACGGTGTTTCGACTCGAGCACCTCAAGGCAGGTACTACACGTGTACTAAGGTATACAAATTACATGTAGACCAGGTGAAACGGCGTGAACAGGGTTGCGAGGCCTTACACATATTCCGTACATACTTCGTACGTACTACAACGTGACTCACCTTAGTTTGTCTCCCATCTTCATACGGACGGTTCGTATTGACTACTTGAGAGATACGGGCGGACGATAGTGAGACAAACACAGTATTAGTTGGGCTATTGAACACAGTAGTCCCCTCTCTTACTACCAATAATGCACAGTGTCTTTTTACTGTGGCACTTGCGCCGAGCCTTGCCTCGTACACTAAAATAAACGTCCCATGAACCATTACGAAATACTTTCCGACTCACCCTTACCCTTGCCCTGGTCACGATGATTTGTTAACTCCGCGGAGGTGCCTTGCAGCGGATTTCGTACGATGTATATACATGTAGTAGCGGGAGAGGTCAAAAATTGCCCTGGCCATCTCGTGTCCGTAAACTCTCCGGCCCATCGTCTTCCTGCTGCGTTCTTGTCCCACATGATACCGGTACTTCGTTCTTCGTACTCGCGGCTCCACCTCCTCCACCACCACCGCAACATAAGGTACCTGGTATTAGGTACCTGTGACCATGACCCGGTGCCACCCCTGGCAGGGACCAAAGATCAAGCAAAAACAATTCTCGTCGTGATACCCGGTCCCTTTCCTGCCCTCCTTTCTACAATCGTACCATTCTCGATTTTTTTTCTCCTCTTCCCATCCCTCGACCGAATCAAATAAAAAAATTCGGTCCCTTTTTCATTTACGATTTATCTTCACTCATCGCGCAACCCCAGAGACTTATAGTATTTACTACTATACTGGTGGATTTTCACCTGCGACCCCAAGTGCACATACCTCTAGGAAAAAGAGTGCTAAACCACCGAAGGAGAAAAGAAGAAAAAAAGAGGAAAAAAAAAACCGGCACTGTCACGAGCCTGCCTCAGGCTCCAGGCCCCATGCCTTTTTTAGGCTGTCGCCTCCACACTTGCTAAAAACGACGGGTCGGGACTTCCTACAGTAAGGTACGTACGTTGTACCACAGTACATTAGTACGTACTCTGTAGGAAGCTAAGCTCCATATCCGTTAGCGTGTGCAGCTTCCTCATCCACTCATCCACAATCCACCGACTTTCTCCCCCCTCTTCCCGTTTTTCCTCTCTCTTCCTTTCCGAGCTCCTTGGCTCCTTTGGGCGGAAACATCATGGACCAGCGGCAACCTCCCCATCAGCACCCATTCTCGCGAAGCGTCATGTCGCCGTACTCTCCGTCCACGTCGTCTCAATATCATCCTACCTCAAATGCCGCCTCCGCCCCAGCTTCAGCTTCAGCGTCAGCACCCGCAAATGCTCCGAATCACCCCCCGTATCCACCCACAGCCGTCCATCCGCCGCGTCCAAATGCTCAGTATCCCGATCCGCGCAGATCGGCCGAGAACCACTACTATTCTTCGGCCTCGCGACCTCACCCGACCGACCCAACCCCGATAGGCCCGCCTCCTGGTGTTGGTCACTCGCGTCATCCGAGCGCGTCCTCTCTCCCTTCTGCGCCTCCGTCTTCGAACCGCACCATGCCACCACCAGCTTCGCCTCCGCAACCGGGCCCCTCTCAGCAGCAGCAGCAGCAGCAGCAGCATCAACAACAACAACACCAACACCAACAACAACATCACCAACAGGGGCAACAGCAACCACACCAACAACAACATCACCAGCAGGGGCAACAGCAACCACACCAACAACAACAGCAGCATCAGCATCAGCAACAACAACATGCATCTCATCAAGTCGGTCATTATGGCCTACCGGCTCCCAGAGCCCCACCCGTTTCCGTTGGCCCGCCCGCGTCCTTCCCTGGCGGTCGCGAACTACCCTCTTTAGGGCCGGCGGGGAGGTCAAGCAGTACCGGCAGCTCCATGTCCATATCTTCTATGCTAGGAGGACCGTCTTCCGCATCTAGAGATGCCGCTCCGCCACCGCCCCAGCCACCACATTCCAACCCATACGCTTCCGCACCGCAGACATCAAACTCCTCAGCTGCCGGTCCGACCTTTGCCCCGTCGATCCAGGCTTCACCTAGGCTGCCATCCGCGTCGTCCGAATACCCTCCTTTCCGAAGACCTCATACCCCAGATCTTCCTCACCCGCGACCCTATGACCCCAGAACGAACGTTGCTGCTGCTTCACCGCAAACCGCCTATTCAACTACCCCCGAGGCACAGCGTTACAACACTCCCCAGGCACTCCACCACCGAGCCCCACCGCAACCAGACGTCGGTGAGTCGAGTCATCCGCCGCACGGTGCGCCTCCGCCCCGACCGAACAGCCAGCCTAAATCGTTATCGACATACGCGAATGGCCCACCGACCCGTCCTATCGGCGGTCCGAGAGGCCCCGAAGACAGCTACCCACGACGGGAAGAAGTTCACCGAGGCTCAATGGAATACAAGGAATACAATCCCGAACGGACGGGACTCAAGCCCTTCGGCTTCGATGACCGATTTCGCAGCGAGCGGGAACGGCGTGAAGAGATGGAATTTCGCGAGAGGGAGCGGAGGGAACGAACATATTCTGCAGGGGAGGGAGTCGGTGGCCATGCTCACCCCGCTGCTCATCCCCCTGCTGCGCACGCCTCTCATCAAGGAGACTACCGTCCCCACGAAGTCCAGAGGCCCCAGCCACCGCCAGCACCATTTGGCCGCCCGGCGGATCATCGCGACCAGGGCTCCTGGCAGAGAACCGCTTACGACCAGTCGAGGGTCCCGTACGACCCTGCCGGCTTCTACCCGCGTCGACCGCCCGAGCCACCTTCCACCTCCGGGCCCCCGTCCTACGCCGGTCAACACGCCCCGTCGTCCTACTCTCAACAACCGACTCCTGACCGGCAAGGCCCAGCCCCCTCCCACCCGGGTCCTGCACATTCCTTGCCCCGCCCGACCCAGCCGCAACCATACGAGTCGCCGGAGCGGCCCCAGATCAATCTCCTTCACCCTCCATCCCAACCTGCTGCGCCCAACAACCCCAGGAGGCCGCACGAAGAAGGCCCGCCGCCTCCTCCTTCGCTTGCCTATAACGCCGCACATGGCGCTGCTGCCGCCGCTCTCTACGATGCTTCGAGGAGTCGCCCCGCCGAAGATGGACACCATCACCCGCCTACCGTTCAGAGAAATCTACTCGCGATCCAAGAAACCCACCGCAAGGGACGCACGTCGCCTCTTCCACAGGCTGTCCAGGGTGCCCAGCCCCAACTTCCAGGTCCGGCAGGTGAGCCGGGCATCAAGAGCGAGTTTGGTCGCATGTTCTCTGGTATTGGGAGCGGAGCCAGCGGCATCCTTTCTGCTCCTTCCGCCCCCACCAGCGACCAGGGGCCTGCTTATGGGGGTGGTCCGGCGGGTCTGGCCAGACGCGAAGAGGTCGACGGGGTCTCGCAACACGACTCGGGCACAGACGGCGGCCCAGGAGGCAAGCCGACCAAGGGGCGAAGGAGGAAGTTGAAGGATGCGCCCGACCTGAAAGCAGAGGACGATAATAGTGGGAGACTCACCCCTGCCGGCTCCGCTATCGGCCGCAACAGCAAACGCCCCAAGACGAACGCGCACCAACACCACCAGTACGTTGATCATCACGCCCCGCAACAACCCTTCCGGACCATGGCCACGCCGACTAACGCACCACCCAACAGCCATCACCACCACCATCACCATCACCATCATCACCACCACCATGCGGCGGCGGCGGCGACCCGGCCACAAGTGGGCATGGCCAAAGAGTCGTCCCTAGGCAAGGCGCCGGCGAGCCCAGCGCCAGCCATTCCTCCCAAACCCAGGACGATCGTATCGTCCAAGGAAGTGCTGCAGTCGGTGGCGGACCGTCCGCGCACGCACCTGGGCGACGTCCTCTACGAAGCGAAGCTCCGGCCGGCGCGGCACCTCCAGAAGCACCCTCCCGATCAGGGCTTCTCGTCGACGCCCACGCCGCTGCCCTGGAAATTGATCCAAGGCCAAGAGAACTGCACGTTAACGGTCAAGGTGGCGCGGGCCCACCTGACACCCAGCGCACGAGAGGAGATTACGAGCCGCAGGGCGCTTTGGGGGACGGACGTGTACACGGACGATTCGGACGTGATCGCGGCGTGCATCCACGGGGGCTGGATACGCGGGGAGTGGCCGGACGGGGTGGACGTCGGCCTCCTGGACCTGGACCGGGGTTTGTCGCAACAACAGGACGAGGGCGCCGTTTTCCCGCCCAAGAAGCGCAAGGAGAAGGAGCGGGAGGAGCAGGCGCGGCGCGAGGCCAACGCGGCGACGTACCTGGACAAGCCGCCCAAGACGGGGCCGGTGCATGTGCGACCGGACCGCGACCTCCACGTGACGGTGCTGATCCTGCCGAAGCTGGAGAGGTACGCGAGCACGACGCGGTTCGGGATGCAGTCGCGCGAGTGGGGGGGCACGTACCACGGGCGCAAGTCGGTGCACGACGGGATCAGCTTCATGGTGGTGGCGATGCGGTGGGTGGAGAACGGGGCCGGGGCGCAGAGCCGGCTGCGCGGCAGGGGGCGGAGGGAACGGATCCGTAGGGCCATGGCGGAGGTGAAGAGGGTTGATTGGCCCGAGCCGAACGGGGAGGGGGATTCCGAGCGCGTCACGTACGTCGATGGGGAGGCGCTAGCGAACAGCTGGGGGAAGCAGCGGGCGATGATGAGGCAGAAGCCCGTGTCCGTTGTCGTGGTCGCCGCAGAGGGATCGGACGGCGCGGACGACAGGGGAGACAACAAGGGTGGGCTGAGCGAGGGTGATAAGGAGAACAGGCCGGTGGATGGGATGGGCAGGGAGTCTGTCGAGGCGGAGATGCGTCGCGCTAGGAGCGAAGGAGGGGAGCGGGGTGGTGCGGTGGAGGTTGACGAGAGGTCGAAGAGTCATTGATTGAGTCGGTGACGGGAGGTGTAAGGGAGAAAGACCATTGTCTATTGCTTTTGTTGATTTCCCGGGGGGGGGGGTTCTTCCTTTTTTTTTTTTCCACTATTACCCCTTTCCGAGCCGGTTGATTTCTCCCTCATTTTATGGATGGGGGAATGGCAAGGATGGGAAGGCGACGGCGTTCGTGTGATGGATGTAAAGCTACTCTACATTTACAGATTCCCAGTTTTGAGAAGATGGCACCAACCTTTTTTCTGTGCATTTGTAGACTAAGAAAGTAATCTGACAAGGCCGTGCCATTTTGAAGGCCGTGGTTATCTCATTTCCTTATCCTGAACGAGGGCCTTGTACGGGGGTGACGAGGGGATTCTTGCCCATCGTCGTCCCTTCAAAATAGGGAAGACGGGCATCTGTGTGATATTATCTGTTCGCCTCATCCCAGAGACTAAATTTACTAGGCTTTCTTCTTTTTTTTTTCGTCTTCTTTTTCCTTTTTTTCTTTTCCCTTTTATATTCCAGAAACATTCCTACTATCGTACTCTCGTCCTTCCCTCCTCCCGTCCCAGGGAACCAGCTCCCAGCCGTAAACTCGTCATTCGTTCCTTTCCCAGCGCACAACTAAAAGTCGGTAACGCGCCCATTATAGCTCCAATCGCTCTTGTCCCCCCACCGCAGCGGCTCGTTCTTAGGCCCGCCGACCTCGCCGGTGCGCGGATTCACATCGCCCTCGAACTCGGGCGGGGCGCCGCGGAAGACGCCGCCCGGGTTGGGATCCGAGTCTTCCGCTTCTTGTGTTTGTTGTTGCTGTGGCTGCGATTGCGGTTGTGTCTGTGATGTGGCCGAGGTCGTGTGCCGGGGCGTGGATGACGGGGCGGCGGGCGAGGAAGGGGACGAGGAGGAGGACGAGGAGGAGGACGAGGAGACGAGTTGCGCGTCGTCGGGGTGGAAGGCGGAGGAGATGGCTGCTTTGCGCTGGAGGCGCTCGAATTCGGCTTGCTCGTCGGGGGGGAGCCTTGGGGGGGAGGGGCCTGGGTCGAAGGAGGAGGGGGAGGAGGACGAGTAGGGCCGTTGGATGGTGGTGAAGCTGGTTCGGGTTCCTCGGGTTGCTCGGGTTGCTCGGGTTGTTTGGGTGGTGCCGAGTAGGTGTTTGGGGAGGCCACGGAGGAGGCGGGACATGATGGAGGTTGAAGATTGTTGTCTTTGGGGGGGGTTAGGTGTCCGTTCGCGGGTGGAAACGATTGTGTGGTTTAGTGTTCGGTTTTGAGGGTGGTGTTGGATTTGTCGTGACGATCGATGTGTCGTTGCTTTCAAAAGTTCAGTGCGCGGAAAGTCTCGGCTTGGGGGGCGACTCGATTGCCGAGGAGTATGTACGTTAGTTAGTAAGCCTTGATTAGTAAGTAACTTCTTGACTTCAGCCTCTTTTGTCCCTCTGACATCGTTGATCAACACTTATCAGACTGTTTGACAGGACACCATTGATGGGCGATCTGTACGCATCTCATGCCTTCATGTCTTGCTTAATGTAACAAACCACCTAAGGTACCTACCTACCTAATGTAACCAATAGGTACTACAGTAATCTTGTACAGTTTTGTAGTTGCTACAATCTATACAGGTCGCAACTGACCAACTGTGATTAACCCTTAAAGTGCAACGCCCCATCTAAACACTTGTCGAGTGTTCCTGCATCGGCAGAACTACACGAAATTAAAACTCAGGCAACCACATTAACCACATTCCTCAAGGCGAAGACATAGGTATGTCTGTCCCGACTAAAGTACGGGCCGGCTTTTTCCTTCACCGTCACGACTTACCAACCTCGCTTCGTCTTAAGGCATCTGCAAGCTACGTTATATCATAAAGTTCTTTGTCAGGTTACCAGATTCCTCGCATGCAAAGTACTTAATCAGTAAGAGACATTGACACGGTCAGTAACTCAGTGGTCACACCATGGCGCGGAATCCTGCCTTCCATCGTCCCCTAGAAATCTACTTCCAACGCTTTTACGACCCCGACCAAACATCAAAGTCCCCCATCTTCAAGACGGGGAAGAGAGATGCCCTCCTTCTCCGCAGGCAATTCCCAAACACCATCCTCGTGATGCCTGGGTCATACAACCCACCCCACCACGGCCACCTCGAACTCCTAAAGCACGGCCTCGCCCAGGGCGGCGGAGACCTCAACATCCTAGCCGCCATCGTCATCCCCACCGACGACAGCCGCCTGTCCTCCAAGTTTGCGGGCCGCCACCGGCCTCTCGTGCTCCCCAAGCACCTCCGCGCCCAGCTGTGGCGCGAGGCCGAGGGCTTACCACCCCACGTCTTCGTCTTCGAGAAGCCGAATAGCGAATGGGGCGTCTTCCGCGAGCAGGTCGAGCGAGCGACCCGGGCTGACGGCTTCAGAGTTGAGTTCATGGCCCTCGTCGGCCCTGATTACGTCTCGTTGAGGGGCTTCCATGATCCTTCAAAATGGGGATGCAGGAATACCATGGTCACCGACGCGTGTCGACCCGTGGACTTTGTCGCTGGTGGGATGTATGGGACCGGGTCCCCGATGCGCCTCTCGGCTTGTGATGAGTGGAGGCATGTCAATTTTAAGCCAGCGGTTGTTCAACGCCTTCTCAGGGCAAAAGAACAGCAGCATCATGCGAGTGGGAATGATCTTCACGTGGCTGGTGGGTTACATATTCCCCCCCTTTCCTCCTATGATCCTATCTGGCTCTCCCGCTCCAAGTCGGCAACCTAAACGCCCCTTTCTAGGAAATATAGCCGGCATCAGCATCGCCAAAGAGTTTGCCAACCTCGAATGCCTCTAGGAGTGCCGTTTTCGTAAACGCGGCGAGCTCAGCACCAAAATCCGTTTCGTCCCCTGGCGCGAAGCGACGCGCAAGCCGGACGTCTCATCGACCCAGACCCGCCACATCATTGTCTCGTGTGAGAACGATGATGACCCCGAGGGCGAACTCACCGGGCTAGCCCTGAGCCCCCACATTTTGGCCCAGTACGTCAAGACCTTGCCGGACCGGAAAGGCCTCGCCATTCTTGCCGGGGTTCCCAATAAGCGGGATCCCTTTGAGGGCGTTCAGTGGTGAAGGGAAGTCTGTTAGTCTCCGATGTTGTTCATGTTCAGATTACATTGTAGAGGGAGGCGTGATAGTTGAGGACTCCTAGGAGCTTTACAACTATCAGTCGTTGTGACCATGTCACAGTCGCCATAACGTAGGTCACCCTATACAGAATCAGAAGAGGCAGGCAGCTCGGATAGATCTTCAACGTCTCACATCACAAGTCGAGCGAACATCTTATATAGTGAATATAGGATGATTAGCCCGTCATTTCCATTATTCTACTGGCAAAGATGCGAAGGGAGAGGCGAGTCCCCGGCGCCAAGGATATGATACTGTCCCCCGACAGCCAGCGTGCCGAGGGGATGGGGAAGACGAAGTACCAGCGGGCCCGTATGTGGGAGGCCCAGCCGCCGTGGGCGTTGCTTCCGTCTGGGTACTTTTTCGTTGTATGTGCCTGGTCACATTTTTCGTCAGCAAGGTAGTTGCGATGTCTCCCACTGTCTTGGGGCCGTCGACGCAGAAGCCTTCAAAGGTCTCTGGATAGCCTATTTTGGTGTTGTGGACTTGGGTGCCAGGGGAAGATTTAATGTTGCAGGGTTGGATGAGAATGGGAATGTCAGAGACTCGTTTCGGATGATATTGATGTAAGTGCTTGAGCAAGAACAGTATATATATATATATGTGTGTGTGTGTGTGTGTAAACAAAACCTTCCCAGAGCTTGTCTGGCCGTTGTCAATGGTAGGCCCCAGCAACCGGTGTGAGTCGACCCTCACTCACTGAGACCAATGGTGAAGCTAAAACTCAGTGAGCCAAACCACCCACCCATTTCAGTGAGTGTATTCCGGGATATGGCGACACGGAGGGGACGCACAGAATCATATCGCAACTACCACGTATATGAATGTAGACCTCTATAATATTCATGTCACGATAGGAATATATTCATAATACTTATAAAGTAATACTTGCTCTATCAATCAGTGTATGTCTCCGTCACCTTCGACGGACGTAAAACTCTTCAAACCGCCCAGAGACTCGATGAGTGAGTTGCGTCTGGCTGAAAACCCTGTTCTGACCAAGTCACAGGCGCACTGCGCACTTTCCAACCCCATCCCATCAGTCTTCTCAACTAAAAAGCGACTCCGAGGAGCCGACAAAAATAGCCGGGACTCGTTCAGAACTGGATTTGCAAGACCCCTTTCGGTTGAAAGTACGAATAATACCTCGTGCATGTACACGTACAGAGTACCGTTGTAGCTGGCGGCACCCGTTTCCGACCAAACCCCAGCGGTGAGGTCAAAGTGACGTGTACAATGATTCTGGTGTGGGGCCTCCACAACTTTCACCACTTCCACCACAACGACGGAAGAACTTCGCTTGATACAGATACACGGTCTCCATCATTTCTGGGAAGCAATCAATCAATCCCATGGTCCTTCAGAATCCTGAAAGAGCATTCCTACGAAGTACTACTCCGTACTGTGGAAGTTTCCATACACTTTTGGACTCCACGCCGAATGGACCGACGGATCATACCGTGATCCTGGTTTACGGTCCAAGAATGGTGAGATCATTCCGTAACGGGGATCCGCTCAGCAATAAACGCTGACGCCCAGCAAACCGAAAAAGGATGCGATGCGACCAAGCCATCCGGCAAGCTTTTGCCCAACGTACGAATACAGTAAGAGACTACAGTTCAACTAACCATTGCCCCCCCCCTACTGAACTGTACTAGCTTAGCGAGCAATGGTCGGGTGAGGTCTAAAGGCTATAGCAATGGTCAGGTCAGGTCAGATCTACGCTAGCAGGTAGCACAGGGTCAATGGTCAGGTCACTAAGGTACACTAGGGGGGGGGGGGCAATGGTCAGTTGAACTGTAACCTCTACAGTAATTAACTTCTTTATTACACGTGTAGTAGCAAAAAGCCCCCTCTCCGCCCGTCAACGTGGCTCCTTCGTGTTCGCTTACTTTAGCTAGGGTTCTTCCTCCTAAGTGGGCAAATGGAGTGAAGACCCAACCCTCCACGACGACGTGGCTACTGCAAGGTACCGGAGTCGGGACGGGAAGCGTTAGGGAAAGAGTAATAACCCATAAAAACAAGGTGAAAAAAGCCCCATGTACTTGTACTTTTTCTCTTTTAAAGAAAAAGCCGCAATATCATGTTCTCGACTCTTCTGCCAACGCAGGTACCCAACCAGAAAAATGGGGCGCAATGCGACCCTGAGGCTTTTGCGATGAACTTGCGTAAGCCGTTCTCACCATCCCTGCGGAGACCTGGAAAAGAACGCTGGACCCCGACCGACTTGTTCCACTCGCTCTCAAGGGAGGAATAAGCGCGGCTAAAGGCGGAAATGTTTTCGTGACTCATTCATGGGAAGAAAGGACGCAAGAGACGAAAGCTCTGCATCGGGGAAAACTACTCGTGCGAGCAATCAATTATTGAGCAACTCGCGGGATGGAGATGGAGATGTCAGCCGATTGCGCTGAGGCTACCATTGCTATCGGCGTCAGTGTCCGAGGGTACGGCTAAGCAGGGCAGCCTGTGCACTCACTCGACTTGCTTCGTCCCGAATTATTTCCTGGAGTACCTAAGATCTGGAGGACTCTAAGATCTGATATGAGATACGCACTTACCAATTGCCGTCAGGGGGTCCAGGCGAAATGACGCACGGTCGTCATGTCACGGTCCAGTCGGCGACAGACTCAATCCGTACGAGGCAGGCCGCTCACCTGCACATCGTTCTCCCGGCCCGGTTAGAACACATGGCACACGCAAGGCGGGGACAGCGGGAAGGTTCGTTTGACGTGTTGACGTGTTGACGTGGTGGTCATGATCCCGTGGGATGGGACGTACATACCACATGGGAGTATGTAGATGGATAAGTTGGACAGCCCGCGGCGGATGGAACATGAACGCCAGCGGACGGGAGATACCGTGGTGGTGGTGACTCTCACAATATGCTTTAAGCGACTTTGTTCGGGTCCAGGTCACGCCGTTTCGAAGACTTTTCTTCAGAGGACCGTTTCCGTTTACAGATTCATCATTCCGTTGCTCTTTCAGTTTCCCATATCATATTCCCGTTCCCCGCCCGTTCAAAAATTGCCGACGTTCAACGAAATGCCTAGTTCCTCCCCGCAACCCCGCGAAAAAGCAGGCGGTTTCGTGGAGCTAAGAGAACAAGTCTCTCGACGGTTACAACGGACGCTGACGCCAACCTAGCGGGTAGCTAGGCGGTACAAGAAGAGAACCTATATGCATACGGGCTAGGTGCAGCTCCGTCTTCAGATCGCCAGATCATAAGATGGGCACAATGGCCTAATAAATGGCGAACAGAGTCGTCAAGTCATTGACGCAAGAGGCGTGCATTCACGTTATGCCTTCCCGTTGGGAGAAGATCCTCATTACGAAGTACTTCGTGCGGACTTGAGAAACAGGAATAGGAAAATGACAGACGAACGGGGAGCTAGAGGAAAAACCCCCGATGGCTAGGCCAATCGGCTGAAGAGGGGTGACACTGCCGACCGAATCATTAGCGGCTCTTTAGCGATAAGAATTTGAGACACAAACCCCTAGCCCGTCCAGACTTTTGGGACCGAAATTTGCTTCTTAACCGTTTCTAGTGCCGTCAGTGGCGTTCGCCGGTCGCCGGCGCGGTTGAAAATTCTTCCCCCTCTCGGTCGTCGACGGATTGATGACTGACCCAACAGTTTGAGCTACCGTCTCGGACGGCTGAGAGCGTGTTGCATTCTATGCGCCTGGAAGGGATTGGACCCGAGACGGGACATAATAAAGGAATCACATGCCAATCGATCGGAGGACGACCTCACTTGCTTTCTATAAAATGGGAAGGGGTTAGGTATAGCCGGGCTGTGGGAGCTATAGATTTTACACACTGGGCCAGGGATAGGAAGGATAAAGGGCGAGAGATACGTTGTAGGTAGGCAGTGCTAAACCCTATGGTATTGTAGGGTCACAGAGAAAATAAAGAAAATAGAAAACAGAGCAACGAAGCGCAAGCTCAGATTAGGATCGCGATCGAAAGCATTAGTACATACTTCGATTTGTAGCGGCTAATGAGAGAATGGAAAACAGGATCAGGTCGGTAGTTTAGTATTTTACCACGCATCACCCTGACGTAACAGCGCAGGAAATCGCGCAAGGCAAGGCAGTCTCGATGTAATCCCTGAACGAACGAACGAACCCTACCAGTTTCTGTTGCGGGTTTGTTGATTGTTGCTCCGGGAGTAAGAACTGGGACCCGGACAAGGCGGGGCCCGGAAAGATCGCCATTAAAAGAAACGACAAGGTCTAGACGCAAAAGGCCCCTGGCTATCCTCACCGCTGGACCGAGGTCAAGGGGCCAAAAACTGCTTGTTCTGGTTCCGTGTTTCTGCTTCGCGTCGTGTCGTGGCTGCTCACCGTCCCATCTTTCTGCTTCACCGCCGCGCCGGGTCACGACAATTCCCCAGCCTCGTCTCTCCACAGGAGCCATGTTTCAACGCATTATGCTAGGGCCTGTTCCCCTAGGGCGGGGGGGCCAAAGCTCTCTACAGCCCTACGCCGTAGTACGCGGAGTATCCGTGCATGTCGATGAATTGACCATCATGCGAAAAGTGCTGGCTGCCATCCGAGGAGTTTCCGAGGCCCATTGTGTCTTGAAACCGTCAGCTTAGTACGGAGTATCGCCTGGTCGGTAGGAGGAGGATAGAACAGAGGCATTGAAAATAGACTGCGTCGCCACCTCGCAGTACACACGTAGGTAAAGCATAACGAAGGAAGAATCTCGCAATTTTAACATTCGCCTCTCTGCCACCTGGGGGACCTTTTTTATTTTATTTTAATTCAGGTTTATTAAAGTCCGTATGCAACCCTGAAGTTATGCCAGACTGTTCGCCTGGGGACCTGGGAGGCTTGGTATAAGCTTAAAAAAAAAAAAAGGACCTGGGAGGCAAGGTGGAACGGGAGCTCTGGGGCAATGTTTGGGTCACCGTCTGGCTTTTGCGTTTGTTTTTGCGTGTTGAACGCTTTCGTAGGCATCCGTAATTAATTCCGTGACCGTTATGTGCCCATTGCTCACGAATAACTGGGTGGTTGGGCCCCGGAGGCAGGAAAAAGAGGGAAAAAGAAAGAAACCCCCCCCACATCATGAAAAAGCAACGGTGGAAGGGACCGTACAACGTATTCCGTACCAAACCAACCCTACGTCTCCGTAGATCCTTTCTGCTGTCGGCACATACGAATACGTATTCTGGTAGACACAAAGTGGGCACGACCTACAACGTAATAAGGAGAGAGGTACGTTGTACCTCCCAGAAACGGAGAAAGCCGCCCGTAACTCCGTACCCTCCAAACCGAAAAGAAACGGTTCCTGGATCCGCAGCGAGGGTGATCCTGGACTTTGGTTGCATCAGGCAACCAGGGATCACCAAAGCCTAGAACACAACCCGTTCGGATTCTGATTCTGGATGCGCCTGTCAAAACGCGAATCCTTTTCGGCGGATAGTGCCAGCCCCTCCCGGGAATCGAATCGTGGCTTGCCACCTCGGCCTCACGCAAGTCGCGTATCGGTGACCTTGACCTCTCGGGGGGACGTCTTCTGGTGTCCAGGAGGGCCGAACGGAGAAACGTCAAGTGGTCTGTTCCCATTACATACATATTCCATGACGGTTATTACAATGGTGACTTGTAAGATAATAGAAGAGTATCCGTTTCTTCGTAAACGGACGAATTCTCAAATAATAATAAAAATAAAAATAAAAAACCCCCAAGGTGTCCCCACTGAGAGAGTTTCTGGACTGGTCTTTTTCGCCGTTTGATCCACCGTCGATGAGGGCGTTGGTTGGCAACGTGGAAACATGGGACCTTTTCAGCCCAACTAACAGACGGCTGAGTCCCCATTGGGCCGTTGCCCTGAGAATGAGAAAACTGGTGGACGGCCCACACCATGTTGGAGCCCTAACCGGCAATCAGGAACGTCTCAACGCCGAGGCATTCCAGTTCTAGACAAGCTTATCCTGAGCTGAGCCCTAATCCATCAACGTCTTTGGTACCCATGTGAGAAACAAGTTTTGGTACAGAGTTGCGCACGAAGAAACAAAGGCATCAAAAGAGGGGACGTGTAGAAAAACATCAACAAACAAAACAACAACAACAAACAAACCCCACGGTTCATGCAACAGAGGATGTACGAGCAGAGGCATACATATGTGTGAGAGAGAATCCGTCGCTCCGCGTATTCACAGATTGACGATTGAAGATAAGTACGGAGTAAGATCCGGAGAAACCATCATCTTCGTCGAACGCTCGAAGTGGAAATCGCAGAATTGGGCCTCGCGGGCACTACCCCACCAAAAAAGGACCAAAAAAAGAAGAAAGGAGGAAAGGAACTTCGAAGGAAGGAAATAAAGCATGTCAGATTGCTATATTCAGAGGTCATGATCTCCATCTTTCGGATGTAGCCACCTACCTCATCCTCCTTATTAGCCGTGCTACTCATCGTGGTTGTAGCTCTTATCGTACAAAGTGTTTGTTTGCAGAGTGTTGGGGACTGCTTCCTACATCCTACCCTACCTACCTTATCTCAATCACCGGGCATTATCGGCGGGTTGGCGGGCATTGCCCTAAGCGACGCCGGCACGCGAGGCGACGATGACTCGGACGTGGCATATTAACATAGAAAATACTTCGTAGAAGGGGAAAGGAGGAGGGTAGAATTGCGATGATGAGATTTACACTTCGGGGTGAAGGCCCGTAAAAAGTAGTGGGGAGAAAGGGCCATGGTCAATTTATTGAAAGACTCATAGTAGGGGCAAGAGTAGATATACTCAAGAGACAGTGCGCGGTTTTACTATGCACTAAGGTAAGATCGGATAAAAAGGTTATCTCTATATTCTCCTTATATAAACCGAAAATGGCACGTGCTTATGTATAGGCACAGTATCCTCTGAGCCTTTTTAAACTGTCTGAAGTATAGGCACATTTCTTAGGATGATGTGCTTTTTGTTACCCTTCCTTTACAGTATTACAATGTGGATGACCTAAGCGTTCTTCTACGCAGTGTTACACGGTGTCTCGAGTGGGCCCTTGCCATAGCAGATAGTTTTCTCCTCTTTCCCTGCCCCTCCGATAAATCCTAGTTCTATGGGTCTCGCTCCTGCCTAGGGGCCTTGCCCATGCCAGTTTTGCCTTCCCGTCTCCGCCGTCCCACTACGACTATCGCCGCCTCTACCTTATACTGCGTACTCCGTAATACTAAGTACGTTGTACTTCGTGCACTCTCTTCCGTTACCCACACCTACACTACACGGACCATGGACATGGACGCTCAGCTGGTGCTCCAGTTTCTTCATACCTGACTTCGGGGATCTGATCTGGCTCTGACATAGCCCACCCGAGTCCCCATTTTCTAAAAGTCTTCCCGCGCAACCTACTTTACTATCCTTATTTCCTTTCCATTCTTTCATGTCACGATAGCCTCGCAGCAACAGCAGGTCGGTCTCGTCGCCATCTTCTGCGTCCTCCTCCTTTCTCGTCGTCCTGTGTCTTGTGCTTCCTATCACCGACGGACAGGACCATCCCACAGACCAGACCCGGCCGACCGACCACCTTACTTGGCATCCATCTCCTTCCTGTAGGGCGTCCGTCCAGCCCCATTCGACAAAGGGAAAAAAAGAGACGGGCCTCCGGAAAGCAGCAGCCCCAGAGATAATTCATCTGTACCCAACCGCCCACGACCACGCGAAGACGACCCTGGAGCGCATCACGCATCACACCGCACATGCTTCTGCAGACGCCTTTTGATCCACTCATTGTTGTCTCCCGCCCCTCCTTCGAACACGTCTTCAACAGAATCTACATCCCTCGTACATAACCGCATGTCGGCCGTACCCTGTAGCCACTCAAATCGGCCCTGGACTCCTGGACCCCCCGTTTGACACCAAATCACAAATCGTCAACCCAACCGGTCCCAGTCACCTGCAGACCAGACTGATACCATCCGCCCCAGTCTTGACTATTCTTATTATTATTCTTATTCGTTTCTTCTTCACGTCGCGCAGTCGCTCACCTGTCAACCACCACCGGACGAACATTTCAGTCGACAACACACACCCACACGTGTGCTATCTGTCTTTGTCACAGGTTGTTTCGTTTCTGGTCCCCGCTATCCGGCCTTGTCCGAACCTGAGTGCCTCTGAGAGTCTCTCATCTCTCTTCCGCACTTTGCTCCTCTTCTGCGTACACGTCCCTGGTCTCTGTTCCGCCCAAGTCGACCCGACCTCTGCCACTCTCCCACCCGTATGAGCACCCGACCGACCAGTCGACTAAAGTATAGCCGCCCGCTCGTACACGTGGGACCCGATTTCGACCGCCCCAGGAACCCTGCGAGAAATTGGACGGATTAGAGCCCGGCGAGAGCACATACCCCCCAGGGCCCCCGCGACACGTATCAACCTAAGCCCACATGACTTGGGTATTAGCAGCTATCTCCAGTCACTAAAGAGAGGCGGCGGCGCTACTGTGGAGACCGTCCATTCGTTTGGCAGTAGTTTTGGCTTCAAACACCAAGAAAGGTCACGACGCGAACGACCTCAACAACGACGGGGCATCCGCTTGAGCTTCATCGTCTCTGCCTCTTGCTCCCCGGATTTTCCTCAGCCCGACCACATAGAGGCAGTTCCCCCCACGACAGCGTGTCACGCAAGTACAAGCTCTCTACTTGGGGAATCCTGCTTTGTCTGACACCACACCGCACCACACCACACCGCACCGCCCACCACCCGCATCATACCGCCTAAGGAGCCGCGTCTTGTCCGGAAGCTGAGGCCCAATCCTGTTAGACCGAGACGTGTCAACGTGAGGCAGCGAACAGGCCCGACAACCAAAGTGCCTTGTCGCACCCGGCTTCTCCCCCCGCTCTCTCGGACCCCCATCCCGACGGCAGTCACTTTAACAACTACATACCTCCCCCTGCCCTGCCCTGCCCCTCGAACGAACTCTTCCCCAGTTTTCGTTTTTTCCCCCCGGTTTCGTTTTACCACACCAAACTGGACCGTTTTAGGAATTCAAACCTTGCTCCTACGCCACCCCCAGCTCGCCCCAGGAAAGACTTAATAGTATACTGTCACCAAAAACCAGAGCAACAACCAACGGCGAACACCAGAACACCCGGCGACAAGTCTCGCCGCAAACTCCTGCAACAACATGTCGCCAAAGCTAAAACCATTACTTTTACCACAGCTTGTCGAGGAGCGCAAGAGGATGGAGGTCTATCAGCAGTTCGACATGGATGATGATCGCCAATATGTCTACTACACCCACAACTCGTCATCCTCCGACATCACATCTCCCGTTACGCCCACCTTCTCGGCCAAGGGACACCTACGATGCTCCAGTTCGACATCCTCTTTGGATGTTCCCATTATGTTGGATACTCCCGCCTCGCCTTGTACACCGAGCGCACCCGTTCCCAGCCTCACCCCCGCACCTGCGCTTGTTTCTAGCAAACGCCAGCTGCCAGATGTGGAAGAGGAACCGGCCGAGCGCGATGATCAGGACACTGTTGTGTCTGACCAGTTCGACCTGTACGACTGCCTGTGTAAGTTGCCCCTCCGTCGCCAATATGTCCTTGCCGAGGAGGACGATGGAACCCCCAATCTGACGGGCCCGCGTGTGGGTGTTTATAGGCGATGATCCATGTGTCCACCCCGACGGAGGTGACATGATCTTGACCGGGTACGGCGGCGACGACGACGGAATAGACTACGACTATGGCTTCACCAGCGATTTCACCAATGCAAGCCAGATGATGGCGGCCAAGCGCAAAGGGGAGCTGTATGGTCTTGCGACGCGCGTCAGCACTCGGTTGTCCAACTTGTCGCGGTGGAAGTCGTCCAAGAGGTCCGTGTCGCAGATCCGGTCGCCAACAACCGATGTTAGCTTCGAGCGAACCCTCTATCTCACATCACCTACCGCGTCCAGTCGGTCGTCTTCCCTCTCGCTCCATTCTCGCCGCCGGCCAGCAGACCGATCTAGCGAACCTCCCTTGCCGACCGGTGCCGCGCGCGCTTTCTGGGCTAGTGACGAGGACATCGCAGCGCCGCCGTGCTTGACGGTCGACCCTGACGGAGAAGACGACGAAAGCGGCCGACTCAAGGGCACGAGCCTCGAACGTGAGCGTGCACTTGCCGCGACGCCGCTGTTGCCCCCTTTGCTCACCGGGGTGGCCAAGGAAGGACCGCAAGAGTCTCCGCTCCAGTCGCCTTCTGTCGCACCGTCCACAAGTGGCCTGCCCGAGGTGCCCTCCTTTCCAGCTGCGTCTCGAGAGCCGTCTCAAGCACCCACTCCTGGGCTTAGTACCGTGCCGTCCTATTCATCACTCCGGCCTTTCCAAGACGAGCAGCAACAGGCCCAACCGGAGGCAGTTGTTCAACAGCAGCAACAGCAGCAGTCGGCCGCGACGGCCCCTGTGTTTATGCAAGAGATGGACGAATGGTCTGATCGGCTTGGCCACGCCAACTTCACCATTCAGCCCCAGCCATACCTGCCCGAAGAGGCCGCGCCCGATTCCCTGCAGCAGCTTGTCGCGGACTGGGAGGCGGCACGCATCAACTACACCAAACACATCGTGCGCACGGGCGAAAACTACGGCCAGACGTCCAAGATTTATGCGTTGACCGAGGCAAAGTGGGCGGAAATCGACGGCGCGTGGCGGGAGGCGCACGAGACCACATTGAGACGGGTCCCTTCCCTGGCTCAGGCTGCTTCGAAGACGGAGGAACCGGTGCCGTCGTTTGTCCCCGTCCGGAGTACGAGCGCGCATCACAGAGCGTCCCGCAGCAGGAGCCGCGGCCGTGCTCGCGGTAGGAGCCGGGCCGGTAGCGCCAGCGTGGTGGCCATGCCGCCTTCGATGACGCCAGCAGCGGCGATGCTTCCACAGCTGGTGGACGCCCAGGGGAAATTTCCGGAGCGTGGAGACGAGGACATTGTCGGTCCCATGGTTCGCGAGGCTTGCATGGCGGCGGACATGGGCGACGACCGCAGGAACCGGTTCTGGAAGCAGCTGGCCGACAAAGTCGGGCTGCGAAGATGACCTCGGCTGCTTGTTTTCTATGCTCTCAGACGCGCGCATGCATGACATGATACCGACGAGGATGACGACGACTTTTTATCTCATGAGTGCAACGTCTATTTCCCGACGAGGATTGAAGACTCTTGATTTTTGTGGTTCTTTTCTTATTTTCATTTCATTTCTTACTTTGTTTTTGAGATACCCGACTACAGTCACTCCTTTACGCCGGAGCGTCAGCGAGCTCTTGACATTTCGAGGCAATCAGGTCCCCCACCCCTCCCCGAGAGGAATGTGTTATCATCATGACAGAGAGGCGTTTTGTTTGTTTATCATGTCCCCGGTTGTGGAAAAACGGGAGACGGGGGGGGGTTTATTTTTTTTCTTTTCTTTTCTTTTTTTTTTTTTGGCCCTCTTCTGCGACTTGTCCCGGTAGTTGTCGAGCGCCGCGACTGGATACTCAGGCGATGGAAGGGAATATACTTCATGTAGATAAAACGGAAGAGAAGGATGGTGGTCACAAGGCCGAGCCCGGTACATACAGGTGTTTGGAGAAGACAAAAAGAGGAACAGAAAGTTGAGAAATGGACACGACTTTCCGCGACTAGATTCTGGGGACGATCATTGGAGACGCAAAAGAGGGTCATGGCGAGGTAGTTTCGGTCCTTGGTCTGGTTGGTTTAAGGGCCGTCACGAGAATGGGTGCTTTTTGTCACTGTACAGGTTTCTTGTTTGAATAGGGACATATGTGCGGGGACGGATGGTCGGATGGTGGTGTACGAAGTAATGGCGAGCCAATGCCACTGGTTGCTGGCGGAGAGAGACTGGCGGTTTCAACTCGAAACGACCAAACAAAGAAATGATTCTTGAAAATCATCCAGTGGGAATGTCAGACAAGCTGAAACCAAATGTCTCTGTGTTCCCTGGTTAAGGTAGCCAGCAACGCTCGCCGTAACGTGACCGATGCCCCGTGTTTCTGACTTTCTTCGATATCGTGGCTCTGTAGGTAGTGTGACAAGACGCGAAGGAGACGAACGACAAAGTTGGACCATTGTTTATGGCGCTGGGTACTTACATGACGGACGGATGGATAGACGAATGACGGTCAATCGGGAAACTTAAGCGAGAGAGTAGGGACGTGGAGGCTGCCGGTCATGAAGAAGTGGCTTGACCACTGGCATCAGTGATCACAGCTTTCTACGACGACTAGGACGGTGATAAGGGGGGGTGGGGGGGGGGCATCCATTCACTTACAGGTTCACGCCCGACTCGTATCTTATTGATGTCAATAGAATATCGAGTAAATACATACCCCATCTCCTTCTCCTGGCTGGCGTAAAAAATGTACGAAGTACCTACCTTACCCCGAGTCTCCACGTCATCGCCTCTGTTTCCCCGTCGTGTCGTGCGGCGTACGGCGTGCCTGTTACTTCCCCGCATTCCCCGCCCGCTGCCGCACCCGCACCCGCACCCGCACCCGCTGTTGTGTGTCTGTTCATTACTCTCCAGTTCTCCGACCCTCCAAGATGTCTGGTGTCATGGTATCATTCCGGCAGATAAAAAAAAAAAAAAAAGGGAAAGGACAGGCGGCGGGCCCTGGGGCTGACGATATGCATTGCGTCGACGGGGATCGGGCGTCGATGTAGGTACATATGTACGTACGTCCCTTTACTACGGAGTATATGCAAGGTAACAGCGAGGTCTGTCTAACTTGTACGAGCGTAGCCTAGGTAGCCTCGCTTATCCCCTTCTTTCGTAGGTCAACGGCGTTTGTACCGTCTCTTTGTTTCGTTTCCCTTTCGTTTCCCTCCTTTCAAGTCACGACATGTCCGCCCCGCGCGTCGTGTCATGTCCTGGTCATGCCCCGTTCGCCTACTGCCGTGGGACAAGTCCGAAGCAGCGGACCAGTGACGTTCTGGGAAAAAGAGACAAAGCTTTACGAACAACACGAGGACAACGCGAGACGGAAAACTACTGCCGATAGGGGGGACGGGAGGGTGGTAAACCCGGGCACATGGGGATGGAGGTTCCGCTGCTTCTAGAACGGCGCCGTCGTTGTCCGTTCATGTTGTTGTTGCTGCTAGTACTTGCGATACACGGAAAAGGATAGGGTCAAAGTGAACCGAACAAAGGTGCTACTGCACTGCCCCATTTAGCATGCCCCCACCATCAAGCAGTTAAACTAGCGTTGCCCTGAAGTGTGGGTGGAGCGGTTGAAGATGGCGTTCTGTGATTTTCTGTGATGGTTTCTTGTGTGTTGGACAGGCAAAGCAATCGGCGTTGAGATCCACTTTATTGCTAGTGACTGCCACTGAAAAGCATCGCTCACTTTCCTTTAGTATAGGGTGATAGATAAGTGAGGAAGTCGTCTCGCTGCCCCGCGGAGACCAGCACCCAAGCAGTGGTATGGAGTCAACTGACCCGTCAACTTGGCGCAGATAGCTGGCAGTCTAGGTGGCTGAGAGGAATACTCACTCTGGATACCTGAAGCTCCGATGATATCGACGTGACTATCGTTTTCCTGGGTTGTTTCGCGATTCTCGGCCGTGACCCCTACTACCTGGGTGCTCGACGAACTCCCTGGCCAAGATCCGGTCTTGATGGACGTCGACAACTGGCTCGTCTTTACCGGATGCCTTGGTATCCAGGCCTACCCGAATGCAGGAAGGCTGGCTGCCATTACCCCCGAGGTGTTCTCCAACGTGGTCGTCGTGCTGTGGAGACGCAGTTTCGTGTAATGAGCCCCAAGCGCGTGGCTTTTCGTCCCGCAATATTGGTGTTCCGCTGGTGACGCAAGGATGTCTAGTGGAATGAGTGGTGAATTTGGTGCCTGAAGAGAATGAAGTGCGCAGGGTGACGGAAGCAAGCCCTGTAGCTTATACTCTCTGCGGATGATTCGAAGTTCACTAGTTTCATGTTCTTTTTAAAAGAGAAAAGAAGAAGAAAAAAGTTGCTTCTGCTCAATTGCCGACCGTAATCACCTGGGGCAGCGGAGCGGGCCCGCTCCTCATCTCCACGGCGACCCGGGTATCGTGGATGCGACGGTCAAAGACCTTGAACTCGAAGACGCCCTCGAGCTCCCTGCGGATGTTGGTAAGCTTCTCATGCGCCTTCCGCACCTCATCGGGTTGGTTGTCCTGGAGGACGTGGACCTTAACCATGAAGAGCCAACGCTTGCCCGGGTCGGTGGGACTGAAGGTGGTCTCCCAGTCGCCGAGGACAGCCAGGGGTTTGCCGTCGCCCGAGGGGGGGAGCAGGTAGTGACGGAAGAGACAGAACTCGACGTCGTCGCGGAAGAACTGGTACGTTTCCTCGATGGCTTCGCACTTTAACCTTTGGTTTTACGTCAGTTTCGATGCTCAGGCTGCAGACAGACAACGAAAAAGACCCGGGAGCCTACAGATAATTATTGTCTCGCATGATGGAGAGCAGGTTCTGCTGGTCCCAGATCTCCGTCTTCTTGCGCTGGGTCACAAAGGATCCCTTCTGGGGAGGTTCGGGGAAATCGGTCCAGTGCAGGACGCCCGGCCGGGAATCAAAGTTGGCCGGGGTGTCGGTGCCGAAGTCCTTGTCCTTGAAGACCTCATAGCGAGCTTGGAGGATGTAGGATTGGCGGCTCAGTTGCTGGTGCAGCTCCTTCCACAGGGCGGGAACGTCCTTGCGGGTGGTCCTCACAAAGGAGGATTGGTTGGATAAGCCGTTGGGACGAGCCGGGCCCTTGAAGAAGAGGACGCGCTGGAGGCTTTCCCAGGGAGGCATGGCGCAGAGGCCGCTCAGGATCGAGCAGGTGGGTTTGATGTCCTCATCGGCGATGAAGGTGGAAAGAAAGAGTTCGTACATGATCCGAGGGAGTGACTGTAGAATGTGTCAAAAGATGGGCGTGGGGTGTGAGTTGGAAGTACGAGATAGCTTCAGTCGAGTCGGTGGAAGTTATTACTGGTGGTGATGAGGAGAGAAAAAGATGGTACGAAGTACATACGAGTTCAAGGTTGATGTTAAAACGCGCCCCATCTTATTGGGGGAGGACTTCCACCACGGTCGGGACGAGTGCATTTATCATCAATGTACTGAGTACCTCGCATAGGCTTTCGGTTGGTATGTATATGAAGTAGTTGTACCTACAGTTCCAGAAGCAGTCGAGTACCTTACGACTCACAAGCATCTGACACTTCGCTCTCCCGCTCCGACCACCCCGGACTCATCCCCTTGAAATATACGGCAGATGAACACCATCCCCGAATCAAGCTTCTTCAAGAATCGACATGCAGGAGATCTTCCGACGCCGGCCGGAGTGAGAGCCATAAACATTGCCTCAGGCCATCCTCGCGCATCATATTTCAATCGCCCCCCGCCCGTTAGAATCCCCTCGCTGGGATTATTGGTGAAGTATGGCGCTGACGTCACGATCATAGAAGCCCGCACCCTGATCATGCTGCGGGAGTGACTTCGTCGTCAGGTTCCCGTCCCTGAAATCTTTGGCTGGGCCCAGGATACCAGGTGTTCATCTACATGTCCCTGGTCGAGGGCGAGACCTTGCAAGAGAGGTGGGGTGATATGGACGAATCCGAGAGGCGAGGTGTCTGCGCAGAACTTCGATCCATGGTGAAAGCCTGGAGGGCTTTGCAGCAGGACAGTGAACAACCGTACATTGGTCAGTGGGTATTGGGTGCCATATATGCGCATTTACTGACTGGGAAGTTGGAACCCCGTCCGACTAGGAAGCGTCGGCGAACAACCCCTGAACGATATCTTCCTTGCCTGCCATCCTGAACTCACCGGGCCATTCCAAGGTGACAACGCGGCCCAAGAGTTTCAGGATGCTTGCGGCATCGACATTGCTAATGGAACGGCCATCGTATTCACCCATGATGACCTGGTCGCGCCAAATATCATCCTATCGCCGGGGCCTAAGCCGAGGGTGAAGGCGGTAATTGACTGGGCCCAGGCCGGGTGGTACCCGGCGTACTGGGAGTTTTGCAAAGCAAGACGGGTAAGACTGGACCCTGAATGCTTCAGCGATGTCATGCAACACGAATGGCAGCAGAAGTACCTTCCTATGATGATCGATCCTGTGGATGATGCGTCTTACTACCATCCTTGGCTCTATTTCGTTCTGTCAAAGGGGATCTAATATCACAATCCTTTTTTAAAGACATTGCCGTGGTTGCTCTGTTCTGGCTCTCTTCCCTTCCGAGCAGACACGGACGCTTTAGTCTTTAGAGGCAGTCATTATGGGCGAAGCTGTGAGCGTATCCCCACTGGGGAAATCAGATATTCCGCCGGGCGATCAGTGGTCGCAGTCATATTAGGTTAACTTCTTTGGACAGGACGTGAGAAATGGGGATTCATGTCTTCCCAGGGCGAAGTCCCACCTCCCCCGTCCCCGCTGCCGACTGGGAAGGTGGCCTTCGAGATCAAACGCAGTCATGGTTTTAACGCCACCGGTAACCGCCCCACCAGCAGAATTCCACTGCAATGGGTCGATGGCGGCCTCTTAGACGAGAAGGCCATGCTGAACTGAACAACTGGAAGCACAAAGTTGACAACGCGACCCGTTTTGCGAATTCGAGGCCAACTTGTGTAAGGTCCAAGGTTCCTGAGAAGAGCTTGAGAGCGGCGGAGAAAAGTGTGAGTCTCCGAATCCACGCCAGGTGCATATTCAACCTGCCAGTGTATACTGATCGTGTCCTGAATCGTAGGCCAGGACGGGCAAGATCACACAAAGGAACTGGCAGACCTGGGTCGTGATCTGCAGGCGAACTTGCCCGGAATTCTATTTTCAGCAAGGAGGTTGCGGCCTACCTTCACGCTATTGAACAGTAATGACTGGCACATCATCGCATGTATGATGTGAGCACTGAGGTTCAGCAGGTGGTGATAGACTGATAGTCTGCTCAACGCGTCGGGAATTCGAGAATGATACGGTCTTTACCTGGCCTGTGTACAATATGGGACACAAATTGAGATGTATCAGTTGACTGCAGAATCCTCTTTTTTGCTCCAGGTCTGTGGCAATGAAGGCCAAGCGGTTGATGTCGGAGAGGTAAACCGTAGAACGGTAGAACTATCTAAGGGAGCAATGAAGTGTGAAGTGTGTATGGACGGAGAGATATCTGTGCCCAGTCACGTGAAAATGAACTGTCCACTTATGACCTACGACCTGTGGCTGTAGACCCCAAGCTGTGGCTAGCGCCACAGCTTCGGTGGTACCTACAACGTAAGGTAAGGTACCTTAACCTGAACAGAGAACTTCCAATTCAGCATCGTGAACACACATCTCTCTCCTTGTCTGGCCGTGGAAATACCCGCTTCATCAGTTCACATCTGGCGAAGCGACCTGTATTGGATGGCGCCGAGTCGGTCCTTGACAACTCTCTCCCTCTACCATTCTATTTCCAGCTATTCTGGTCTCCTGGGATTCGCATACTCCAGACAAGCGTCACCCTCTCCATCGACCACCACGACCATGACGCCCCCTCCCTCTACGAACAAGCGCAAGCCAGCCAATGCTCCCATCTCCCCGCCTCCAATGAAACGAAGACTGGCTTCTGGAACTACAAGTGAGACCTTCTTAGCACCCGACGACACTCGCGTCCCCGGCCGAATCCGCGTCTGACTGTTTGTCTTTGCAGAGAACGCCGTAGCCAACTTCTTTACCCCCACCTCCCAGAAGCCGAAAGAACGGACAATCTGGACTGAAAGAGCACCCAACGATGACACTCCCGCGACCCTTCTCGTTGGACGCTACGAGCCGGAGAATGCTCCCGAAGAACCATTGACGAAGAGGAGAAGGATTGCGGCTTTTGACCTGGTATGCCTTTTGCCCGGTACCCCCTCTCTCCGAGGGGCTTCATTTGGGTAACAATCAGTGGCTTAGGACTCGACTCTCATTACGACCTCGTCAGGGAAGAAGCACGCCAGCGAGGCTACAGACTGGAAGTGGTGGCATAGTTCCGTGCCTGGCCGACTACGAGAGCTCTACAAGGACCAGGGGTGAGGGAACGTTCCTGTTATGATAATCAAGCCCCCCGTTCCCCTTTGCCCTTTGGCTGACTCTTATACCCCTCATCTTGCTGTTAGCTACCGCGTCATCATTCTCTCGAACCAGGGAGGCATCGTCCTTCACCCCGACCCGAAGTCCAAGACCCCGAAAGCCATGTCCAAGGATCGTGTCACCGCCTTTAAACAAAAATGCAACGCCATCCTGAACCAGCTCGATATTCCTATTTCTGTCTACGCTGCAACAGGAAGAGATCTTTACAGGAAGCCGCGGTTAGGCATGTGGGACGAGGCCTGCGACGACTACGACATCACGGGAGACGTTGACCTCGCTCAGAGCGTCTTCGTCGGCGATGCCGGCGGACGGACTGCCGTGCTGAAGAATGGTGAGAATGCCACAATGGCCACTGCCAAGGACTTCAGCTGCTCCGACCGCAACTTTGCCCACAATGCCGGCATACAGTTCAAAACCCCGGAGGAGTTCTTCCTCGACGAGCCGCCCCGCGACTTTGAGCGGGAATTCGATCTGGCGAACCATCCGTGGTCGGAGGAGGCTGGAGCGACTGATATCATGTTCGAGAAGAAGAACGAGAGGGATATCGTCCTCTTCGTTGGTCCTCCTGGCGCAGGCAAGAGCAGCTTCTTCTGGAAGCATCTGGAGCCCCTGGGCTATGAGCGAGTGAATCAGGACACTCTGAAATCGTCTGTCTCGCCCCCTTTGGCATCGATCGATATGCCCGTTCTGAATACATGTAGCTGACTTGCTTTCAGACGGGAAAAATGTATCAAGGCAGCAAAGGAGATCATACAGGATGGACAGTCGGCGGCGATAGGTGCGCTGCCATTGCTTTTGCCTTTGCCTTTGCCTTTGCTCTCTCGTGTGTCCGTCTCTGCTTGCTGTCATGTTGCTAACCCCGGAGCAGACAACACCAATGCCGATCCAGAGACACGAGCTGTTTGGGTAGACCTGGCGAAGCAGCTTAATGTGCCTATCCGCTGTGTGTGGTTCAAGACTCCCTTGATCGTATGTGAGCATAACGACACCGTGAGGGCGCTGAACAAGACGGTACGTTCCAGTCCTCACCGGCTATCGATGATCCTGGGCTCTCCTCTTTGCATACTAACGACCACGACCAGATGAACCCGGAATCGCGAGTAGCCCTGCCGAAGCTTGCCTTTACCGGCTTCAAGTCCCGGTTCAAGGAGCCCAAAGTCAAGGAGGGTTTTCAAGACATCACCGAAGTCGAGTTCAAATTCAGGGGCTCGAAAACGGAACACGGTATATGGGCCAAGTACTGGCTATGATGCGATCAGAACCACTCTATTTTACATTCCGCTTCTTCTTCCTTGAATATGAATCGCTGCCAAAAACCTTGAGCGCCGACAAATCCTCCCATCGCTTTTTCGCTCCTCGGGGTATCTGGTGTCTCAAACGGTCGATCGATCCTCCAACTTGGACTAGCAGCTATACGACTTTTCATTTTTCCCCTTTCGCTTCAACAATGCGTCCGCCGCTTTTACTTTTCACTCTCACTGCCCTCGCTTTGCAGATAGTACTTCTCAAACACCCTTGCCTCTAGGTCCTCCTCGCTGGCGCCGGCTTTCTTCCTCTCCATCATGTTGTGTCGCCGCAGATAGACGCGCTTGGCCCATTTCCAGGCCTCGGCGCCGGCGCAGAAGAAGAACACGGACACGAAGACGATGCCCCACTCGGCCCCGATACCCGCGTGCAGGAACACCTTGTCGTTGATGACGGGGATGTACAGCGTCGGGACGACGCTGACGGAGCCGACGACGACGGACCAGAAGAGGAACGGGTTGCGCCAGAGGCGGGCGGCCCAGGCGCGCGGGTTCCGAACGAGGCCGGCGAAGAAGGAGAGGCGGCCGTCGACGAGCTCCCAGGCGAAGAGGAGGAAGACCCACATCATGGCGACGAAGCAGGTCGACCGGGCGCGGAAGACGCCCTCGCACGAGGGCGAGTAGCGCAGGTTGCAGTCGTGACCGAGGTTTCCGTCGTACATGCCGAAGAGGACGATGATGAAGGAGCTCAGGAGGCAGACGGCCATGAGGATGCCGTAGCCGACGAGATCGGCGAGGAATTCGGGGGTGAAAACGCCGTATTTGAGCTATTGTCACCTGTGTGTTAGCCGGGGGTCTTTTGTGTTGACGGCACCGAACGATTGGAGGGGGGGCGGGTTTCCTTTTTTTTCCCCCTTTCTTTCTTTTTTCTCTTCCTTTTTTCTTTTCTTTTCGGCGAGGGAGACGGGATGGCAGGGGTGCCGATCGCAATACTTACACTCTGAGGTGGCCTGTTCAGAATATCAGGCGAAGCAGCTTCGAAACCAAGACCCGTCTCGGTAAAGGCGGCGGCGACGAGCAGGAGGTAGAGAATCTCCACGGGCGTCACTTGGAAGACGGATACCCCGCTGCTGTCCTTGTAAGCGAGGCCGACGAGGAGGGTGGAGACAAACCCGACGTTGCCAGCGAGAACGTGAAGCATAAACTTTTGGATATTATCAAAGATGCGACGACCTTCTTCGACGGCATTCAGGATACTCGCAAAGTTATCATCGCTGAGGACGATATCGGAGGCGGACTTGGCGACATCCGACCCGTTCAGGCCCATGGCGATGCCCACGTCGGCGCGCTTCAGACTCGGGCTATCGTTGACGCCGTCGCCCGTCATGGCGACGTAGCAGCGGCGCCTGTGCAGGGCGTCGATCATGCGGACCTTGGTGGACGGCGCGCAGCGGGCGACGACGAGCGGGAGCTGCGGGAGGCGGTCCAGCTCGTCGTCGGACAGGCGGTCGAAGTCGTGCGCGGACATGACGAGGCTGGCGGCGACGTCGGCGCGCAGCAGGTCGATGCGGGCGGGGAGGATGCCGACCTGGGTGGCGATGCTGCGGGCGGTCTCCGGGTGGTCGCCCGTCAGCATGTGCACGGCGATGCCGGCGCGGTGGCACTTGAAGACGCTGGGGCGGGATTCCGGGCGGGGCGGGTCGTAGATGCCGATGAGGCCGCGGAAGACGAGGTCGCGCTCGAAGGAGGTCCGGGCGAGCTTGCCTTGGCGGGCTTCCTCTTCGGGGATGACGGTGCTGGCGAGGGCGAGGACGCGGAGGCCCCGGCGGGCGAGGGCTTCCATGTTGGCTAGGATGTCGGATTTGGCGGCTTCGGTGAGGGGAGAAGACGGGGACGAGGACGACGACGGCGCACCGGCGACGGCGATGTGGACGCAGCTTTCGAGGACGCGCTCGACGGCGCCTTTCGTGAAGATGTGGACTTGGCCCGTGGTGGTGTTGCGGCAGAGGGTCGACATCTTCTTGACGGACGAGTCGAAGGGGAACTCGGCCAGTTGTGTCCACTCCGAGGTCGACGATGAGGACGAGGACGATGGCGAGGACGATGACGGTGCTGTGGCCGGAAGACCGCTCCGGCCGAATCGAGTCGCGAGGACTTGGATGGCGATCTCGGTAGGATCGCCGTTTGCCTCCCACTTGCCGGTGTCTTGCTCCCCTTGGCCGTCTCCCCCCGTCGTCTTTCGAACAGTCGCTAGGTTGGCGAGGGCCGCGACGTCGAGGTAGTCTCCGAGACAGGCGTGGGTGGCAGCCTCGGTCGCAGGGATGACGGGGATTTCTGACGATTCGGCCTTGGAGGAGATGTCCTTGGGCTCAATGGGCGTGAAGTTGGTGGTTCCGACTTCGGGGTTGTACGGCTCGTTCCCGGTGTCGACGGAGTAGGTGCCGTGACCAGGAAGCCATGCCATCTTGGCGACCATCTTGCCTTGGGTCAAGGTTCCCGTCTTGTCGGAGCAGATGTCTAAAAAGGAAGTTGTCAGTGGGGTGTCCGTCCTCCTTTCCCTTGATGGGCGAAAAAGGGCAAAGAAAGAAAAAGGAGGGGAAGAGGGCGAACGGAGAACAAGCGAGAAGAGGAAACTTACTCGTCACTCCACCCAGCGCCTCCAAAGAGCGCATGTTACGCACCAGGACGTTCCTCTCCACCATGACCTTCGCGCCGGCCGCCATGGTGATGGTAAGGACGAGGATGAGAGTCACGGGGAGGGTACCGATGGCGGTGGCGACGGCGTAGATGATGACGTCGGTCCTCGTGCGGAACTCGTTGGCACCCAGCACGATGATACAGCAAACGATGGCAAAGAAGAAGATGTACAGGAACAGCTGGGCCAGTTTCCTCTGCAAGGGGGTGCCGACAGTGACGCCGAGGAACTTGCCAAGCCAGTCCCAGGTGGCACCCAGGGCGAAGAGGGCGTAGTCCTTGGAGGCCGCCGCCTTTCCGTCCGGGCCCTTCTTCAGCTTCCCCTTCCCGACGTCGCCGTCTCCCTGCAGGGCGGCGGCGATGGCGCCGACCTCGGTGCGCAGGCCGGTGGCGACGACGACGGCGCGGCCGCGGCCCTTGGTGACGGTGCTGGAGCTGAAGGCCATGTTGATGCGGTCGCCGGGGTTCATGAGCTCGTCGTCGAAGACGGCGGCCGGGTCCTTGCGCACGGGGACGGACTCGCCGGTCAGCAGGGCCTCGTCGGCCTCGAGGTTGACGGCGTGCAGCACCCTCGCGTCGGCGGGGACGACGTCGCCGGTCTTGAGGTCGATGATGTCGCCCGGGACGAGGTCGGCGGCGGGGATGACGACGACGGAGGACGACGAGGCGGTGGCGGTGGCGGTGGCGGTGGCGGTGGCGCCGGCGCGGAGGACGCGGGCGGTGGGCGAGTTGAGGGATTCGAGCGAGGCGATGGTCCGGGCGGCTTGGAGGTCTTGGATGAAGCCGATGATGAGGTTGAGGAGGATCATGAAGGCTAGGACGCCGCCTTCTATCCAGGCTTGGATAGCGAAGCTGGCTGCCAGGGCGAGGACGAGGACCTGTGGGTTCTTGTTAGTCGTCTTTCCTTTCCTTTCCTTTCCTTTCCTTTCCTTTCCTTTTTCTTTTTTTCTTTTTTTCTTTTTTCTTTGTTCTTTCTTCTCCAATCTCATAACCATTTCGATCCTCATCTCCCGAACAAGGCGAGCACACTTACCAAGGTCATGGCATTCACAACCTGAGCGATAAGGATTTGCCATGGTCTCACGCTCTGCTGCTTGCCCAGGCCGTTGGGCCCGTATTGGGCCAGACGTCTGGCTGCCTCATCGGCAGTTAGGCCCTGTGTCACGTCGACTTCCAGCTCATGGACGACCTGGCTGTACGGCAGGGTGTGGGCGGGCCGCGACAAGGGCTCATCGGCACCGGTGGCTACGGTCGGGTCTGCCATGGTGGGCAGTGTCCTTTCAACGGTGGATGAGGCGGGTGGGAGGGACGGTGTCGGAGGGGAGGTTAGGTCGAAGGAACGAAGAAGAGCATCGATGAGACCGAGAATGAGAGGTCCCGTGTAATAGATTATATATGAATATAATAACGTGACCAAAGACAACGAGACTGGTGTGGAGAAGCGTCCTGACGATGTCGATATTTAAATTTCTATGACAAGAATAGAATTAATGGCGGTGGGATGGTGGGAAGGGGAGAGGGATCAGGGATATGCCTCGGATATTCAGAAGCGACGCGAAGAAGAGCAAGCTAAGCACTATACCACCATTAATAAGACCATGATTTAAATACCGACTAATATGTAATAAGTACAGGCGTAAGTAACCAGGGCCCAGGAAAAAGAATTGAGTCTAAATATTCCCATGACTAGTGAGTGACATACCAGAAGAGAGAATAGCAAGGACTGAACTGTTGGAACTGGTCACGGCGATCTCGAATCTCGTGAATCCAATGAAAAGGTTTTTTTCCTTTCCCTTTTTTTTTTTTTCTTTTTTTGCTTCCCGGCATTTCGAATTCTTTCGATTCGGGGAGTGCACTAAAAGTCCGATGTCGAGATGCTCTTTACCAGATGAGGAAGCCAAGACGCATTGCGTACAGGAGACTTACGGGTCGCCCCGAGCCATTACGTACTAAATGCGAACTGGTGGTGGTTCCTGTTTGTCCTGGCTTCCTGACGGCGTCAATTCTGGCCTACTTTTACGTGTAGGATGTGTGTGGGTGGTCAGGACTCAGTCCGGGACCATGAATGGTTCATGTCAGCAACCAAAACCCGGCTATCGGGTCCGTTGCAGATCCGGATGAGTACCGAATGCACGGGGTACCAAGATATTGCTTGATCTGGGATGGTAATAAAAGAGCAAAGACGTAAAGATCGACGGCAGGCAATAGTTGTTCCCAAACTTTTATAAACTGTCAGGACTTGGCTCATAAATTATAAATTTCCCGTATTTCCACGGTGTCCGCGGGGTCCGTTTCATGGGGATTGAAGTATATATTCGGCCGGACCCGGCGCCGGTCGGTGTCCGTTGACGACCGGCCGTCCGGGGCTCCGTACCCCGATTTGTCACTTTGTACAGACACAAGTCACCACTACCTATATCGTATATGAGAAACCCCCACCGCCACCCTACACGTACTCCGTACATTCGCTGCATTGACTCGTCGTGGGATTCTGCTTTTTGAGAAAGCATGGTTCTGAACTTCTGGGCGACGGGAATAACATAAAGTCCAGTCTTGCCACCTGCCCAACATTGCATCTTAGTAGTTTACTAGTTTAGCTGACCCAACCCCGATTCCAAAAGTTGGAGCTTGCATTGATAAGCCCGGACACATATTTGGTCCCTTCGAGCAGGTCAGTCCGTCTCTTAGTGGTGTATTTCCCGGTTCCGTAGCCCCCTTTAGCCACGTGCGAGCCATCGGGCTTATGCAGATCCGAGATGGCACCTTGCCGGCCGAGTGTAACTGTGCAGATGCAGATTGATACATGTAACCAATGCAACAACATATTACGAGGCATCGAACGTATCGTACATACTTAAATATATCACTGTACCATATACAGTTGTCAGTAACGAACCGCCTGTCTCTGGGAAGCCGGGGACTTATCATCACTCAAGCCTTCTTCTTCCAATTTCCACCTTCCAATCTCTAGACTCTCTCGGCTACATTTATTATGCTGCTCGTTTTGGCATCATCCCCCAATTTCCCGTTGCCAACCCGCAGCTCCGAAAAGTGCATCGGCATAAGATTCTTTTCATTGGCGGGATCTCATGAGAACTGCAGATGGTGATCCTTGGCCTGCTTGGGGAGATAAGCGGAGGGGAGAGAACCCCCACATCCACGCTTCCATAGGCACCCAACTTTCATAGAGGCACACTAGTTGCAGCTTTCTCGCAAGACGATCCTCCGTGGGCCCCCTTTGGGTGCGCAGCCCCATCCCCCGGGGTACTCCAAACCCAACGACCGGCAAGAGAACCTCCACCCACGAGACTGTTATAGTAAACCCTTGTGATCGAAAACTTGAAATCGGTTCCAAGTTAAGGATATATATTTCAGGGCTAGATTCCCGCACTCAGGAGATCCTCTCTCGTCCCGAGATAACCAGACCTTCTTTTCCGTCTCGCAGTACGATTTGTATATTGTCTGCTTCTTCACAACCTCTATCCAACATGAAGCTTCTCGCCGCTCTTTCGCTCGCTGCCCTGGCCTCTCGAGTCTCGGCCCATGGTTACGTCGACAACGCCACCATTGGTGGTCAATATTATCAGGTTCGAGCACACCATGCCTATTTTGTCCTTTATTAATCTGTTGATACTATTGCTAACATGATTTGATGTCAACTGTAGTTCTACCAGGTAAAGAGAACTTAGACTAGTCATCTCGTACAACACCAATACCGGCATCAACTGACCTATATTGAAAAACGATAGCCCTACCAGGACCCCTGGATGAACCCTGCCGTGAGTTGGTTTCCCTCCAAAGGTCGCTCTTATATCTTCTATCATTTTCCTGACATGTCGCTTGTAGCCCCAACGTATCTCCCGCCCCGTCCAAGGGAACGGACCCATCGAGGACCTCACCCTCATCGACCTCCAGTGCGGCGGCTACACTGCCGGCGGCATCTCAGGTTCCTCTCCCGCGCCACTGCATGCCCCGGCTCCGGCCGGTTCCACTGTGAGCCTCCGCTGGACGCTTTGGCCCGACTCGCACGTCGGCCCCGTCATCACTTACATGGCCCGCTGCCCCGACACTGGTTGCCACAACTGGATGCCAGGAACGCAGTACGTGAATCCAATGTTTCATCTTATCAAAATCTTCTCCTCCGCGAACGTACTACTGACACCATGGCAAGACCTGTCTTCTTCAAGATTCACGAGGAAGGCCGTCAAGGCACCTCGAACAACTGGGGTTCCGTGAGTTTCACCCCCATCCAGGACGGGCTTTGAGTTCCTCTTGTTCTCAAAGTGAAAGAGCTTTCGTACACTAACGTGCCGGCGTCACAACTTACAAGACTCCTCTCATGAGCCCCGGAAACGACTACAAGTACACCATTCCCTCGTGCCTTGCTCCTGGCTACTATCTGGTCCGCCATGAGACCCTCGCACTTCACGCTTCTTGGTCGTACCCCGGCGTCCAGTTCTATCCCAACTGCCACCAGCTTCAGGTCACAGGGTCGGGTAGAACTATCCCCTCGAATAACCTCGTCAGCTTTCCGGGGGCCTATTCTCCCAGTGATCCTGGCGTCACTTACAATGCTTATATGCGTGGGTCCCCAAGTTCTATCGCCTTCTCCGTCTATGGTCCCATTGCTGACTGTCGACCTCTTTAATCCAGCCCAAACATACACTGTTCCTGGACCTCCTGTTTTCAGATGTTAAGAATGATTTTGGGGACCTCGAGAAACTGCCGAGCGCGCACCCGAGTATATATGAATCATGTCTCCATACTGTGAACACGTAGTCTGGGCTCTGGCGGCACAAACGACTACAGGAAATTCAGTCAAATCCCTAATTGACTCCCTTTCTGCCTCGTGAACTGGTGCTATGTGTGAGGACACGTTGGAGATACTCTAAAGGTCGCATCAATGATTCTTTGCCCCACACTCCTACGAGAGCGCTCCCCGTCTCATAACACTTGAAGCCTTAGCAGATATATCCGCCACAAACATTTTGAACCTGCCCCGTGATATAGGACGACTCGTCGCACAACAACCAACAAACCGCAGAGGCAATCTCGTCGGGCCTTCCATCGCGCTTAATCTGCTGGATCTCTTCTATGGGTTTCCCACCGCGATAGGTCTTGACTTGCTCATACATAGGAGTTGCGATGGTTCCCCTATTCCGAACGGTTGGTTAGCACATCTCTCAGTTCCCAATATTTGGCATCAATCTTCAGATACATGTACTCACGGTGCAATGCAATTCACCCTGATACTCTTAGTCGGACCAACCTCCGTCGCCGCACACTTAGTTAGTCCGATAACCCCAAACTTGGAAGCCCCGTACGACGAGTTGCGCGGAATGCCCATCAACCCGGCAATACTCGAAATATTAACAACACTACCACCCTCGTTCATGTTCCTCAGCTCGGCCCTCATACAGTACATGGTCCCCGTAAGGTTAACGGCCAGGACGCGGTCCCAGTCATCGTCGTCGACTTCTTCGACGGTATCCCGGCCGAACCCCCTCGGCAGGATGCCCGCCAGGTTAGCGGCGCCGTCCAGCTTGCCCCACTTATCGACGGTCTCGTTGATCCAAGCCTCGACGGAGGCGCGGCTGGTAACGTCGACGACGCGGGCCATGACCTGACCGCCGGCCTTTTCGATGTCTGCGGCGGCGGCGAAGAGGGTTTCTTTTTGGACGTCGGCCATGGAGACTTTGGCGCCGCGGGCGGCGAGCATTTTGGAGGTTTCGAGGCCCATGCCGCCTCCTGCGCCGGTGACGACGACGACTTTGCCTTGGAGGTTGGTTGACATATTTGATGGAATAGAGGTGAGAGTGTGTATGAAGTGAGTTTTCAAGTTGACTTTTGGTGAGACGGAGACGAGAGAATCATGTAGGATAGGGTTGATATAGCTAAACAGGATCTGATCATGAGAGTCAGAGAGTCTTGTTTTGTAACTTGGACTACTTGGACCAGCGACTTGAGAGCCCTTCAGTCGCCCCCTTTTCATACTTCACGAGCTTCCACTATTCTCGTTGATTTGTTATGGTGAGGCATTGCTCGGCCCGTACTCGACACATCTCGCCTGCATCCACCAGTTGTGTTCCGTCGTCTGCTTACAATGTTTCAGACAAAGTCCGGTCAGGCCTTGGCTGTTGTCCTTGTCGGTAATAAAGTCCGAAGGCTTGGAATCACGTAAAGAAGTCAGAGAAAGGAGGGGAAGCTGAAAAGGGGATGGGGGGGCGGGCTTGCCGCTTAATTAACCCCTATTTTCTCTAGGCTCTAGCTTCAGCCGGTTAACCATATCCACCAACCCCAGTATCCCCCAGGTTTCCCCCACGATCTGATGATTCAACAAACAGACTAGAAATCTTAATTATGCTTAATGTGTGATAGGTATTCCCTCTAGCCCCCGCATGATCGTACCGCATAGGTGGGACGTCTGGGGTAGGGAGCGTCCAAGCTGCTGGTTGGTCCATGGAACTCCAGGAAGCTGGAGAATGAAGGCCGATAAGGGGGGGGTTCGCATGCTGCATGCATGTTGTTCTTGTTCTTTCTCAGCTTCCCGACTTCGTGTTCCTTTGAGGCTTTGGAGCTCAACTTCCCGGAGACAAAATCGAAATCCAGCTCATCATACCAAAGGATCTCGCCTCTTGTATGCTATCAACTAATCAGCATCTCTTCGACAACTCCCCCAACGACGTGCGAGTCGAGAATGGACCAAAAGCCGGCTCACTACTTGACCCAAGACAAGGGGCGGGCGACGAATCTGACAGAGAGACCCGTCCCAACCAAAAGACACTCGACGAAACATCTCGCTTGCATCACTTGCAGGAGGAAAAAGGTCAAGGTGAGAAGAGAAATGGTCCAAGCCTCAAGGCACACCATACATCATAGTCGCAGAGAAAGACCTCTACGGGACAACTTCTGACACGTATCTTTTCTTTTCAGTGCCAGCCAGGACCCCCAGGAGAATCGAGATGCAGCCTCTGTTCCAAACTAGACCGCGAATGCCACACGCCCTGCTTCGACGAACGCCGCCGCACCCACACCCGCAGCCTCATCGAGACGCTCCAAGCCGAGAATGCTCGGTTGAAAGCTGAGCTCGAAGACCACCGCAAATACTGTCTCATGGGCAGCGGAGGCGGCGGCGGCGGCGGCGACGACGACGCCTTCGAATTTCCGCCGCTAGACCAGGACTCTGGGACGCCTACCAACTCGATCAGCCCCGGTGCTGCCACCGACGCATCGCCGCAGCCGTCGACGTCGGAAACGTCGTCGAGGTCGGATAACATGATTGTGAGGCTCTGCGGCGGGAAGAGGCAGCTCAATAGCGACCGTGCTGGACGACTGCGGTACTTTGGGCCGACGTCTAGTTTGCATCTTATGGAGAGCGTCACTTCGTCGGTGTTGATACGGGAGTCGTGTGGCAGGACGAGACCGAGCTGCAGCTGGCAGGATGATTTTCCCATTGAAGTGCAGGATCATTTGTTGGATTTGTACTGGACATACCAGCATCAAGTCCTTCCATGGTGCGCGCTCTCAACTCTCTGTCTCTCACAAAGTTGAGCTCATACGGCTAACTATTAGTTTTCATTGCAGCATTCAAAAGGAGGGTGCGTATAGCCCATTCACACGACTATCTCAAGCTCTCAGTCCGATCCAGTCCTTGTGTTCATCACGACTAACATCTCATGTGCCTGCCGGTTAGCCTTCCTTCGAGACATGAGAAACGGAGACACCAAATACTGCAGCAAACTGCTCGTATATTGTATGCTCACCCGAGCCGCCGCCATCTCCGATCAACCGGGCCTCCGGGCCTTGGCTCTTGCCGACGACGCCGAAGACGACCCGCCCTACTTGGTCAGCAAGTGTGTCCAGTTGTTAAACGCAGACCTCGACACACCGGGGATCACAACGGCGCAGTCGCTTCAACTGTTGAGCGAAATGCACTGCGCGATATCCCACGATACCAAGGGATGGATGTATGCGGGTAAGTTGGGCCTCAGAGAACCTCCCCCGAATGTGGGAAATGTGAAGCAAGCTTGGGCTCAACAGAAACTGGTGACTGCAGGAGGTGCCGGCAGACTGGCGTATGAGCTGGGCTTGCACAGAGACAGCGATACTTTCGAGACCGACTTGTCAGAGCTCGACCGGCAGGTCCGTCGCATCGTGTTCTGGAGCTGCTTTAACCTGGATAGGCATGTTGACCCCGCTATCCGTCGTCTTTTCAACGAAGCATGGGATTCTGGAGTTGTGGCTGTTCCTAAGTTCCTAACATTTGTTCATACATGTAGGGAATGGGCGCTTTACCTGGGACGTCCTCAGTTCTTGAAGGTCGAGGACATTGATGCCAAGCGCCCCGGTGAAGGGTGTGAGAATCCGACCTTGGATATTAGAATGTCCGCCGCCTGGACGAGTCTTCTGGATATTGTTGGAAGGATATGCGATGTTCTGTGGGTGGCCCCTATTCCCCCTATTCCCCGATTACCCCTATTACCCCTATTCCCCCTGTTGCCCCATCCCCCTGTTGCCCATCCCCCTATTCAGTTTCGCGGCCCCACCCTCTATTAGTTGACGTCGGTTGGATCTAACAAGGGAGCCCAAAGGAATGGCGTTCACACATCCCGACATCGGCTCGAGACCCTCGATCAAGACCTCAAGAGCTGGGAACAAGACCTGGATCCTACCCTGCATTACAGTCCCATTCAAATCCCCGCAGTGATGCTTCTGCAGTGAGTGCCCGCCATCCAGCCCCTTCCAACCCCTGAAATCAGGATGTCCTTGGCTCCTTCCACTCCTTTTCCAACTCAGCTTACACCCAAAAAACCAGCATGCAATACATGGCCGCCACGATCCTCCTCCACCGGCCCCTCGCCAACTTCGGCAAAGATTCCACACAGTCAGAGTCCAGCATGGGGAGCGAGGCCTCCCGCCAAATCTGCGTCCAAAACGCCTGCACCATCGCCCGGTACCTGCAAGACTACTCCGACCAGTACGGCAGCGTCCTCACCATGTCGTGGATCGCGCTCCACATCGTCGCCACGGCCGCCACCACGCTGATCGCCAACATCGCCGAGCGGGGAGGGGAGCCGGGCGACTTTGCCCTGGGCGGCGGGCCCGACACCCAGCTGGAAAGCCTGCGCAAGTGCCTCGGGGCCCTGAGCGAGCTAGAGAAGAGCCACGTGGTGACGCGCCGGGTGAGGAAGGTGATCCAGCATGCCATACGGCTTCTGAACCTCGATGCGACCATCAACGCGGGGAGCGGCGGGAACGGGAATGTTTGGAGTAGTGGTAGTAGGAACGAGAACTATGTGATTGGGCCGGCGGCGTTGTCGTTCCCGGCTATGGCGGCGAGGGACTATGAGATTTCGTCTTTTCCGTTGATGGACTTGTTGCCTTCGTCGGGGCAGTTTGACATGCTCAACTCTTTCGAGTCGTATTTTAGGTAATAGGCTGTGATGAGTTGAAACGGGTTTCTTCAAGAGCGTTTGACGGGTTGGGGGGGTTGGAAGTAAGTTCATTATGCAAGGGGTTTGAGTTAGCTATCCATCATTCTTATCCAAGTCTCAGTCTTCAATGTATTCATACCTAGCTACTCCAGGAACTCTGGGAATGTGCCAAAGACATATGCTTTTAACTCTTGCTTTTTTTATTCATCTAAATCATCATGTACATACAAGAACACGAAGAACATAGTTTGACTCTTTTGGTGTTGGTCCACATCACCAACAACTGAAGACCCAAGCTTTGCTCAAAAGTACATGATTCCTGATTGATTGTGTTCCCCTATAGGCTATGCAACAGCCGTAACGGGTTTGAACTCCTCAACGTGGACTGCAGAACCACTCTTAGCCTTGGCAAGCTGATCAGTCTCTTCCTTCTTCACTCCCTTCGCTTGCAATGCCTTGGGCTGCGGCACGGGAGGATAGTCAATGTTCGCCGGGTTGAGGTAGGCCGTCCGCGAACTTCCGTCGTAGTCGGCCTTGACATAGCCATTACCCAGCCAGCCCATGGGGTTTCCGTTCAACTCGTTAAGGTAGGTATACTCAAAGTCCTCCCACCGAGTATACTCAAGGGCAACCATCGAGTTTAGCGAATTACCGGGATAGTAGGCTGGTAGTGGTTTCTGTCAGCCATGCACAAAACCAAGCAAACCAGAGCCATGGGACAGTGAGTGAATCTTACCAATGTTCCGACCGTTGGGATCTCCGCGCTTGAACCAAGATTTGCACTGTCAAAAACGGTCAGTGGTGTCCTTTGAAAAGCAGCAAGTATGACTTGAGAAGTGAGGACCATACTGGTTGGCCAAATATAGTTCCCTTCAAGTACTCCGCCGTATGGGCAACATACTGCTTCAGTCTGTCGGGCCTGTTGAGAAGAACCATCCAGTCAGCATGCCTGTTCCAGTCCTCGTGAAGAGCTTGCCGCTACTGAGCTGGTAGTATCTCACTCACCTCACACAAATCGACTTGATCTTCTCGCGGAGCATCTTCTTGGCGCAGCGAATGGCCAGCGCACACTCTAGCTCGGAAGTAAGGTAGGCGTTCCCTGCGCCCGGAGCGGCGTTGGGTCCCAGGTACAGAAAGCAATTTGGCATCTTGTCGACCATGACGCCGAGATAGGCCTCTGGCTCGGGATCCATGACCTGTGCCCAGGTGATGCCGTCTCGTCCGACCATGGGGAATCGGCTGCGGAAGTCGCTGTGGTACTGTTTAGCTTGGGCCTTCTCTGCGAGTTGACAAGCTATGGAAGTCTTTGGCTCTTCTCCAGGGAAACAACTAGAAAAGGGGATGGGGAGGGGAAAAAAGGGGCACTGGGGTAGCGACATACGCGAGGAACCCAGTGGCCCAGATAATAGCATCGCATTCGTGCAGCTCACCATCCGCCGTCACAATACCGTTCTCCTTGACACATTGAATCTCCTTGGGAATCCACTTGACGTTCTCCTTGACGACAGCCTCTAGATATCCAGGGCCGGGCACGAGGCGGCGGCAGCCGGGGGGGAAATCGGGGAGCAGAGATTGGAGAATTTCGGGGCGGGACCTGAGTGCCTCCTTCATGTGCTTGTCAAACTCGGCGTGCGTCTTCTTTTGTTCCTCGCTGCCGTATTTGAAGCTGTTCTCGCTCATGTACTCCATCATGTTATCTTCGATGTAGCGGCGGTATGCGTGGTACGAGGCAGGGTCTTGCGCCCACTTGCGTCGTTCGTCTTCGGGGTATTTGACTGAGGTGCGAGACGGTCAGTTATCGTCCTTGAATAACAACTCCTCTCTCTCTCTCTCTCTCTCTTTTTGTTGTCACTTACAGTTGCCGGCCTCCAAGGCCCCGCGTTTAATCAGCTCCCCAGCGCCAAAGCCTACAGGGGCAATCCAATTTCTTTCATAGGATTCGGTCAACTCATGTTCTCCTAATCCGTAATTGTTGGGGAGAATGAAGGAAATCTCACCTGGATCTCATGTATTGATGCACTTGTTTCGCCTTGGGCTGAATCTCCGGAAGCACCTGGACTCCCGTAGAGCCACCACCCACGAGGGCAACGACCTTTCCTGTTAGATCGAACGACTCGTTATAGTTTGCGCTGTGCATGTAGGGTCCCTTGAAATCGTGTAGTCCAGGAACGTCGGGGAACGCCCAGTTGTTAAGTTGTCCCCAGCCGAGCAAGAGAATATCTGCCTCGTCGTGGATCATCTACAGAAATTCGTCAGTTAACTTGATGTTACAGAAACTGAGTAGACTACTCATCACGGCGGGTAAATGTAGAATTTCCTTTTCATACCGTGTCTCGAGTTGTGTCATGAATCTGCATCTTCCACACCCCGCGGTCCTCGTCCCATTGCGCGCCCTTGACGACGTGGTTGAATTTCATGTACTGTCGTGTCTGGTACTTGTCCGCGACCTTGACGATGTACTCCTGGATTTCTTTCCCGGAAGCGTAGTACGACGACCAGTCCGGGTTATCTTCGAAGAGGAAGGCAAAGCAAGCGGCGGGCACGTCGCATGCGACGCCGGGGTAGCGGTTCTCGAGCCAGACACCGCCGACATCTAGAGAGTACATGTAAGAACATGTAAGCCGATGTCGATGATCTTGTTGCTTGATATAACCAAGGAAGATGCATATAGATTAGGAGCGTATGATTCTCACCATTGTTCTTCTCGTAGATTTGGAAGGTAATGTCCTCTCCCAGGTGTTGGTTGAATCGGATGGCCGACGTGATGCCCGAGATACCGGCGCCAACGCAGACGACGCGCAACTTGCGACCCGGGTCGTCGACGGGCCTGTCCAGTATGGGCACCTGGAATTGGGAGTAATGTAGCTGGCCGGGATAGACCATGATTTCGGTGGCTTGGAGGTTGAGGGTACGGTCTGATTGTCGTTTGGTCTGGTGTTGGAAAGTTGGAACTTGGGTGGCTGGAATGAACAACGCACAGCACGGGTTGACTTCCTCGAATTGCTATGCGAGAAGCTTAGAAGGAGTCAAAGCGTATGTTGAAGTCAAGTGACTCAAGTCGAGGGAGAAAGAGTAGAACGGGGGTGTTTGTTTGGAGACACGACAAGCGACCGCTGCGATGTTAGGTATGTGTACTAAGCGTCAGGCTTGTCAAAGCACGAAGTTATAGTCCCTAATCTTATGGATGCATATGGTATTAAGCCCCGAGCGCCACGAAGTAGTCACCAATGATATGCCCTTAGAAATGGTTTCCGGAATCTGGAAACATCGTTCCACCGAGTGTGGTGATGCTGTGCTTAGTGTGCTGTACGTGGCAGCTCCGTTTCGGTGACAGCCGCCGGGGTCCGGGGTCCGGGGTCGGGGGTCGGGGGTCGGGGGTCCGGACTCCGGGGCTAGTAGATTCCCGCTAAACCGGACATATTCTCCGCAGCCAGAACGAGCCACGAGGTCTTCGGACTTCAAAGGCCAGGGTCCAAGCTACCCCGCAGCGACTCGAGCTATGTATTATAGCTATTATAGCTGTCCCTGGTCTAAGAAGTTGGAGAGGCTTCGGAAATGATTCCCGAGGACCACGGTCTACCAAGACCCAGCTAGCTGGGACTTTGCACTATCACCTTTCTGAACGCAAAGCAAAGGCAGGCATGACACCTACCCCAGTTCTTGGCGTCTGGGACTCTGGGGAAGCGGTGTAGTTGGGGAATGGAGTAAAATGGAGACTGCAGATAAAGATGCATACCGCACCTTTCCATAACTCGGTCCACCGTGATGATGTGGGTAGCGAGCAGTGAGCAGTGAACACAGGTTCCCGAGTGTTCAACTTGTCAAGTTCAACTTGTGCCACAGTCAGCATTCATCAATTGGCCGGACTGACTTATACACTATTTCTGTCCGACTATCTCTGACTTTCTCAACTCTCTCAGACTCTACAAGGAAACGTCGGTCCACGATAGACGACTTCAACAGTTTCAACATTACGGTTCTACGCCGGTCTTTGCCAACATGTCAGAGACAAAGAGCTCAGAGCCCAGCGCAGTGGATGTTCAGATGGTCGAGAAAACCCAGGGCTCTTCTCCTTCCGGGTCTGAGCTGGCCCGGGAGTTGCACCCAGACCCAGAGGAGAGAACAACGGCCAAGGCATGGCTTTGCATTGGGGTAAGTTGTTAAAGAAACTCCATTCCTGGATTCCGAATGATTCAAAACGGCGTTTCTAAATTCTGACATTGCCTTGCAGTTCCTTACTCTCTCGTTTGGTGGTCCTTTCTGGTAAGTCGTCGTCGAGCCTGAAGAGTTTCGATGTCGTAAACCCCCAGCAACAAACAAAGACTTGAGCTGTACCAAGTGTTGACAAGATACGCAACCAACAGGGCCACGCCAACCACCGCTGCCATCTCCGCCCAGCTCCTGGGCCTCTTCGGCCAAAGCGAACTCTCTGCCTGGGTGATCCCATGCATCACCACCGCCGCGACCGTCACCATCCTCCTCTTCGGCGCAAACTCCGACCTCTTCGGCCGCCGTGCTTTCCTCCTCACCGCGTGTCTTTTTGGTGCCGTCGGCTACATCATCTGCGCCGTCGCCAAGTCCACCAACATGCTCATCGCCGGCCTTTGTCTGAACGGTGTCGCGTCGGGCATGTCCGGCATTGCGCTCATCGCCGTACCGGAGCTGATCGCCAACAAGTACCGCCACATCGGCATCGTCATTGCGGACCTTGTCGTCTATATCTTCATTGTTATCGGGCCCATTGTTGCGCGGTTCACTCTCCTCCATGATGATGATAGGTGGCGCTATTTGTATTGGGCTGGCTTTATCATGCAGGCCCTTGCTCTCGTCGGTCTTTTCATCTTCTACCGTGAGTCTACCTGTGCTCTCTCTTTTCTCCCCTTTGACGTCGCCTAACTGACGTTGTATTTGTCTAGACCCCCCCAAGCACCCTCGTGGTATCCCCTGGATGGAGGCTCTCAAGGGCATGGACTGGATTGGCGGTGTCTTATTCTCCATCGGCGCCGTACTGATCCTCGTCGGCATTGTTTACACATCCTATCTCCCCGCCAATGATATCAAGGTCATAGTTTGCTTCGTCGTCGGCTTCGCCACCATCATCGCATTCGGCCTCTGGGAGCAGTTTAGTAACGTCAGGTTCCCATTGTGCCCCAGGGATATCTTTGCCAGCAATAAGGGGCGCGAGTTTGCCGTTCCCTTCTGTCTCAGCTTTGTCGTTGTTGGATACTTTTATGGTGTTGCTGTCATCTATCCCACCATGTTGAGTAAGTTGTCCGATTTACCCCCCCTTCGGCCCCCTGAGTTTTCCTCATTCAACGCAATGTTCTGCTTCTCATTATGCTAACAATTGATCTTTTCATATCATACTAGACGCCTTCTACGTCAATGAAAATACCTCCGTATCCGAAGAACTTCTCCTCACCCTCCCGTCCAGCCTCCCTCTGGTCTTCGGCGCCTTCCTGCTGACGGCGTTCGGACGCAAGGTAGGCCACTGGAAGTGGTCCATGACCGTTTCCGTCGTCTCCCTGGTGATCTGGGGCAGTCTCCTCGCCCTGATCACCCCGCACAACAAGGCCATGATGATCTCCTTCGTCGCCATGGCCCAGCTATCGTACGGATGGGCAGCCTACCTCGCCGTCACCTACACCCAGCTGGGCGTTCCGCAAGAAATGCTGGGCATCTCCGGCGGTCTCGCCGGAACGGCCCGGTACGCGGGAGGCGCCGTCGCCTCGGCCTGCTACTCCACCGCCATCGCCAACGGCTTCGCGTCCAAGACCGCCGAGCTCGTCCCCAAGGCGGCTTTGGAGGCTGGTCTTCCCGAGGCGTCCCTGGAGGCAGTCGTCGCGGCCGCTGGCGGCGGTGCTAGGGCTCTCGCTGGCATTCCTGGTGTTACGCCTGCTGTTATTGAAGCGGTGGTAGACGCGAGCAAGTGGGCTTCTGCTAATGGTCTTCGGTATGTCAAAACTCCATGTCTCCATTGTTCCAAACCTTTGGGACGTGTTGCCAATTTTGTTTTTCTCACAACTGACATGATGCGAAATAGAAATGCGGCCTTGGTTTCCATGGCTTTCGGTCTTACAGGAGTTGTTCTGTGCCTGTTCCTTGAAGATATCGAGCCAAAGATGACACCCAAGATTGAGATCTTCCTTGAGAATGACATTTTGGCAGAGAAGAACAAGTACCACTGATCTTCCTCTTAACTATCTACGCATCTAAGGTCATAGGTATTAAGTTACAGCCCACGGTATAATGCATGGTTTAATGTGTTGGATTTATGGCTTTTGAAACTCTTTGTCCTGAGAGTACCTAAAGTACCCAAACCGACTTTATAGTTGCTTTCTGAAAGCATAGCACGCTTGGTAGTACGTTTAATCCAGTATCAAGTCAATTGTAATAATATCCTGGCTCTCTTCTCTATGGTTGCATGTTTCCTTCACCCATGCTGTCTGTATTGGCTTTGACATACTTATGAGTGACTACAACTCCTCTAAACCGCCAACACAACTGTTTGAGACATATAAACTTAGTATCAGAGGTACGAAGTTAACGGCTGTCTTGCTGGACCAGGTTGGCGGTCTCTCAAGTTAGCTATTCAATTAAGATCTGCATAACTGGCCGGGAAGTTGTTAGTTAGCATTGTGTACAGCATACGGCTCTTCTCACCACTTTGTAAGTAAAGGCTTCATCATTCATGGCCAATATAAATTCTAATATGATTTTCCTTGCATGATTCTCCGCATAGTCTCATTACAATAGTCCGGCTGTTTTCGATCGAATACCTCTCCACCGCTAATCTCCAACGCCCTACCGTTGGCCTTGCCATCTTCCACCATTCCTAACACCGCAGCCACAACCTCTTCAACTGGAGTGAAGTCTTGTTGCGGAAACTGTTCCCAAATCTCTTTGGAATGCAGTGTCGTTCTAATGGCGCCGGGGAGAATGGCGTTAACACGTATGTTTTCTCCCCCCAATCTCTCGCTCATGGCCCTCACGAGTCCCAGGACGCCATGTTTGGCCGCCGTGTACATGGGCAACTCGGGCGCCGCATAGATTGCCGCAGCTTTTTTTTTGGGTACAGCATTAGCATGTTTCCTCCATAATGACAAAACTTTTACAGATGCCAGAACGATGCCCGTCTCGGTTTGGGGTGAACAGGTCCAACTCACCCGATGCCGTCATAACGATGACCCCCCCCGGTTCCGGATTCCGTCTCATATATTGCATGGCAAGGTAGCTGGTGAGAATGGCGCCCCGCAGACACACCTCTTCAACCAGGAACGAAGGCGGCCCGGGTGGCCACGACTTGGGGGCACCGTAAAAGTCCGCCCCGCCCGCAATCCCCGCGTTGGCGAAAACGAAGTCGATGCCCCCGAATTTCTTCACCGTCCTTTCGAAAGCGGCGACTTGCTGGTCGTAATTGGTCACGTCTGCTTCGATGAATTGCACGTTCTCCCCCAGAGTGCGCTCCGCTTCCGCTCCGGTCTCCTTGTTGAGGTCGAGGAGGGAGACGAACCAGCCCCCCTTTTGCACGAGGGCTTCGGCCACGGCTCGACCCATGCCGGCCACGCCGCCGGTGATCAGAGCTACCTTCATGGTTTGGTGGGAGCCCATGTTTGAACGATCGATCTGGGTTTGCGTTTGCACGTTGATCTTGCCCAATGTCCGTGGTTCTGATATGGGAATGGTTGTCTAGTCGTCTAGACGTACTTTACACATAGTCCGGTTTATTTGAACGACGTCCCATGGACGGACAATGCCGTTCGCCCCCATTACCCCGTACTCCAGACCGTGGATTTAGTAGACTCTTGGTGGTTTTCGCGGGGAAAATGTCCGTTCGAGGTGTCAGGACATCAATGTCCGTGTCTGAGCCAACCTTGCTCATGGCGTATCTTTCTTCCTTCGGGCAATGTTACCGACGCCAAGAGACCTAGGCTGACTCTCTCCTTGATGAACCTTGTGACTAGGAAGGACCGGTAAATCAGTCCGAAGAAAGATGGTCGGGTATCATGTCCACCGACATGCTCGGCCGGCACAAGGTGTCCAAGCTGGCATTCCACGCCAACGCGGGGATCGTTGACGCACCTTGGCACGATTTGGAACTTACTTGAAAGCAAAAGAGTACAAAGAGGTCCAAGAGAAGATAGGTCGAGGCACTGTTTACCAACGGGCCATCCGAAGTGGCTTTGTGGCACAGACACGATTTTCACCATTCCGCCCCCTGAAGCCTGAAGGCCTGAACACGTTACTCTTCTCCCAAACTCATTCATCCCCAGAAAATCATTCCGTTTCAGTCGTGGTTTTGTTGAAGTCTTCACTGTGCTCAGGCTCATACTTCAAAGTTCACACCATTCCAACAATCATGACAGCGGACGGAACCTCCCTCGACAGCCGGTATCCCACCAGCTTCGAGCCCACCAAACCACACGCCGTCCATGTCGAGACGACCGAAGTCAGACCATCTCCCGACGAAGTGGCCAAAATGGCCGTGGGGAAGAGCCAACAACCGAGTAGGAAGCGCCGCAACGGAGAGCTCGGCTACTATCGCAACGAAGAGCTCGGCGAAGCGATCCACACGGAGCGGCACATGCGCGTCCTCGTCTGCGGCGCGGGTGCGTCGGGCCTATGCTTTGCCTACAAGCTGCAGCGGTCGTTCGAGAACTTCTCGCTCCAGATGATCGAGAAGAATCCGGATATTTCGGGGACTTGGTACGAGAACAGATATCCTGGGTAAGTCTTGCAGCGTCCATGTCCCTTTACCAAGTTGTAACTTTTACGTTTATACGCTGACCACGGATGAAAGCGTTGCCTGTGATGTCCCGTCGCACACATATACCTTCTCTTGGGAGCCGAAGAGGGACTGGTCGGCGGTGTACGCCGGTAACGAGGAGATCAAGGGGTACCTCAAAGAGTTCGCCACCAAGTATAACCTCTGGCAGTACATCCAGGTGAATCGTGAGGCGGTCCGAGCCGAGTGGCAGGAGGACGCGGGAGAGTGGGCGATTCAGGTGAAGGACACGATCTCTGGTGAAGTGACGGAACATACCTGCGACATCTTCGTCAACGGGTCCGGCATCTTGAATCATTGGAAGTGGCCAGATGTCCGGGGATTGAGCAACTTCAAGGGCAAGCTGCTTCACAGCGCCAACTACGAAGTCGACTATAACCTAACCGGGAAGACGGTAGGCCTGATTGGGAACGGGTGAGTCTTTCGAATATCCCCCCCTCTCAACTGTCTTTGGAGTTTGAAAGGACTCCTCTTTCTTCTTTCCAGCTTGGGCTGGTTGGTTAACTCGTTGTCCAGATCCTCGGGTATCCAGATCCTACCGGCGATCCAGCCACACGCGGCCAAGGTAGTCAACTTCATTCGGTCCTCGACGTGGGTTACGCCCCTTCGCGGGTTCGAGCAACACACGTACACCGAAGAGGAAAAAGCCGAATTCGAACGTCACCCCGAGACGCTCCTGGCATGGCGCAAGAACGCCGAGTCCAACGTCAACAAGATCTTCTCCATGTTCCTCGAGGGCAGCAAGCTTCAGGAGCAGACCAGGAGGGCGGTCACCAAGCAGATGCAAAGCAAGCTCAAGGACCCGGCGCTTCGGGAGACGCTGATCCCCGACTGGGGGTTCGGGTGCCGCCGCATGACCCCTGGCGTGAACTACCTCGAGGCCCTGCAGGCAGAAAACGTGGAGGTGATTATCGGGGAGATCGACAGGATTACCGAGGAGGGCCGCGTCGTTGCCGGAGGGAGGGAGTATGAGTTGGATGTACTGATCTGCGCCACGGGCTTCGACGTGTCTTTCAAGCCGCGGTTTCCCATCCTGGGTTATAAGGGGCAGAATTTGCAGGAGACGTGGAGCAAGGAGCCGCATTCGTACTTTGGGCTGGCGGCGCCGGATCAACCCAACTACCTGCACTTCCTTGGGCCGAACTGCCCCATCGGTAGTGGGCCTCTTGTGGGGGCCATCGGTGAGTTGAGTCTTCTCTTCTCTTCTCTTCTCCTTCTGTTCTGTTCTTTCGGCACCAGACCAGACACTAACGATATGCAGAGGCGCAAGCAGACTACATGCTCCGGTGGTGCGACCGCTGGCAGACGGAAAAAATCCACAGCTTCACGCCCCGGACGGACGCCATCGAGGAGTTCGCGGCACGCACCGACCTGTTCATGCGCGACACCATCTGGGCGTCCGGGTGCCGCAGCTGGTACAAGGCGCACACGGTCCACGGGCGCGTGTCGGCGCTGTGGCCCGGCTCGAGCCTCCACTATATGGAGGCGCTGGCGCACCTGCGCCACGAGGACTGGCACGTCCGGTACAAGGGCAACCGGTTCGACTTTTTGGGCAACGGGTTCAGCCAGACCGAGTGTGACGTGACGGCGGATCAGGCGTACTATATCCGGGATGCGGATGACTCGCCGTACCTGAGCAGGGGGAAGATGAGGAAGATTCTGACGAAGAGTGGCACCATTGAGCCGGAGGTGCAGGAGGTGCAGGAGGTGGACGAGAATGGCGATGAGGACGAGTGGAAGGCGTGGTGTTAGATGTTAGTACTTAGGGGGTTGAGACGGAAGCTGTCGGTAGACCGTAGAGCTGAGAGTTGAGAATTTGAGATGGCACTGACGGACGGTTGGCGTTGCAACTTGCCGTCGTGTATTCTTCCATTGAGTATTCAGAGTCGTTCGTCTGAATCTTCAGTGTCTAGTCCGTTCGACACCAGGTGGACTGTGCTCTTTACGATGTAGCTGTGATGGTGGGAAGCCGTGGGAGGGATGTAGGGAGGGAAGTTTGACCGTTTGACTTTTCACTTGTGTCGTTGGTACTTGTTCAGTCACCTGACTGCCAGGTGACTTCTCCATACCCGGCTATCTCCAGCCGCCAACAGGTGCTACTGATCCAATGTACCGAAATTTTCAGATCCACCCTTATCCCTTATCAGATTGCAACCTGAAAGCTGAAAGCTCAAAGCCAGGGGGTACAAACCGTCAGATCTTTGTTCTCGCCTCCTACGGCCCTACCTCAGTTCATCATCACCTCTCCTCAAACTCAACATCTCGACTCTTTCCCTCTCTACTTCCGCAAAGTATCCAGCACAGGGTGATTTATACGGATTCCAATATAGAACGCAACCAAATCACAAGTCTTCTATGACTGAATCAAAGCGCCACGCTGACCGTCGACGCGGCAAAGGTCGTGGGCCCCGACGTGGCCCATCCAGCCAGGGCCATGGCCATGGTCATGGTCATCATGCCCAGCCAGACAGAGATTCAGCGTCTTCAACGGCCCCAGCCTCACCGCAACAGTCGGGAAAGGGACTTACTGATGAAATCGCTGATGAGACTGTCCGTCTTTCCGTCAACGAGCCGGTCCCGCTGGCGAGCAGGAGCTTCGCCGAGCTGTCAGGGAGCAATCTTGTGCATCCCTTGCTCGTACAGACCATCACGGAGGACATGAAATTCGACTTCATGACACCCGTTCAAGCCGCCACTCTGGATGAGCTCCTGCCGCCCAAGAGAAGCGACTGTCTCGTCCAAGCCAAGACCGGAACAGGGAAGACCCTCGCCTTCCTGCTGCCGGCCCTGCAGACCATGCTCACCCAAAGGCGCGCCCCCGACGCCGGCATCTCGCTCCTCGTCATCTCGCCCACGCGCGAGCTGGCCATGCAGATCTCCGCCGAGGCCACCAAGCTGCTGCAGAGGCTACCGCAGTACCGCGTCCAGATCGCCATCGGCGGCACGAACAAGGACCGCGAGGAGAAGCAGATCCTGGGCGGCTGCGCCATCCTCGTCGCCACCCCGGGCCGCATGCTCGACCACATGTCGAACGAGGACGTCCTCTACGCCCTGCGCCACCTCGACTCCCTGGTGCTCGACGAAGCCGATCGCCTGCTCGACATGGGTTTCATGCGAGACCTAAAGAACATCGTCCACCAGCTCCCCGACAAGAAGGAGACCAACCGCCAAGGCATGCTCTTCTCCGCCACCATCGCGCCCCACGTCGAACAGGTCGCCGGCCTCGTCCTCTCGCCCGGCTACAAGTTCATCTCCACCATCCCCGCCGGCGAAGCCAACATCCACCAACGCGTCCCCCAGTACCTCGTCGAGGTGCCCAGCTTCGGGTCCGTGGCCCCCGCCATGGTGAGCTGCGTCCGCCAAGAAGCCGCGCGGGACGCCGACTTCAAGGCCATCCTCTTCGCCCCGACCGCCGCCCTGGCCGACTTTTACGGCCACGTCCTCTCGGCCCTCCCCGGGCTCCCCCCGGTGACCATCCTGCACAGCCGCATGTCGCAGAACAAGCGCACCAAGATCACAAACGACTACCGCGACGCGCGCAGGGCCGTGCTCGTCGCCACCGACGTCGTGGCCCGCGGCATGGACTTCCCCGGCATCACCACCGTCATCCAGATCGGCCTGCCCGCCGACAAGGAGAGCTACATCCACCGCCTGGGCCGCACGGCGCGCGCCAACGCCGACGGCCGCGGCATCTTCATCGTCGCCCAGGCCGAGGCCGCCTTCCCCAAGTGGAACCTGAAGGACATCACCTTCATCCGCCCGGGCCCCGATCTGTCGTCCGCCGGCGAGGTCCTGGCCATCGCCGAGAAGATGGACGAACAGGATACGGCCCGGATCTACCAGGCTTGGCTCGGCTACTACCACAACCACCTCAAGATCCTCCGGTGGGATAAGGAGGAGTTGGTGAGGCAGGCGAACGTTTACGCGCGCGAGGGCCTCGGCTCCCCTGATACCCCGCCTATTGGCAAGTCCACGGCTGGGAAGATGGGCTTGCGAGGCGTTAGGGGGTTGGTCGTTGTTCCGGATCGGCCTGGTGGTGGCGGGGGTGGAGGTGGAGGTAGAGGCGGAGGCGGAGGCAGAGGTGGAGGCGGAGGCGGAAGAGGACGCCGTAATCGTGGTAGCAACGCGTAAGTACGGCGTTTGATTTGCATTGGTGGGGATCCAGGACATACATGTAGACATTACTGTTGTGGGCTTCTGAGCATTGCAGGCGATAACCAAGCCCTCGTATTGTGTACAGATATTGGGACATGATAGATATCCGAGACCTCACGATTTGTTACGATCATTTCCAGCATGACGGGGTCACCATAGATACACGGACTTTTCTTTATGACTTACAATACACTTGTCGTTAAATGTCAGCAAGCCTTTCAAAGAGGAAAGAATGTTGAAGGTGCATGTGATCTCCATACATGACACCTTGGGTGAGAAACAGTGGCCACTTGTGGACGTTGTCTGTTGATGATTACTCGGCATGTCATTGTAATTTATAGATTTCCTTTCCAATTTCACATGGGACATAGCCCTTACTTACATCTGAACTTGAAAAAGTCATCTTCCATCAACTCGACCGCAGTCGGTCGTTCTTCCGGCCTCCAACATAGCATCCTCCTAGCAAAGCGCACAAAGGCATCCTTCTCCTCTCCTTGCAATTGCACCTCTCTCTCAAAAAGTGACTGTCCGGGAACGGGGGTGGCAGCAACCCAGTTTCCCTCGGAATCGAAATACTTCTTGCACGCCTCGCTCCGAGAGATAAAGTCTGGTGGTGGCGGTCCCAGAAGAGATACCATCTCGGCCAGGTGGACTTCGTCGCTCAGGACTCCGTTTACGCGAGCACCAAACAGCGTGCTCTTCTCAAATAGGTCCCATAGCTACGAAGCAAGAGAGAGACCATGTTAGAAAGCCGGGCGTAAAGCGAACTTGAAGAGGATAGGAGACCATACCATGACACCAACGGCCCAAAGATCGACCTTGCAGTCCCACTCCATGCCCAGTATCACTTCAGGGGCTCGATAGAGTTCGGGCATTATATCTCCACTATGCTTTTCCCCCATTCGAGCTGTGCCAAAGTCGCAAATCACCGGCATGCCGTGAGTAATGGGCATCGGCCGCGAGATATAGATCGATCTATCGGGCAATACCTTCCGGGGAATCGGAGTATTTTGCTCTGCTTGTTCTAATTCCAAAAGGGTGGAAGCATCTTTGACACCAAGAAGTAGGTTATTGGGAGAAATATCTTTCCACAAAGGAGATTGGGGTTAGACTGTTAGTTACGGGCACACAAGTCATCTTGTGGAGTATTCTAATCACTTAGTACCTGTGTGAACAACTCCAGCCTGGTGCAGGAAATCCAGCCCACAAAGGACGATCTGAAGTGTGTTTTTGAAAAGAGACTTTTCCAGAGCTCGGTCTGAAAAGAGATCTCGTAGCTCGGTCAGTGTCATGCCAAGTGGCTGGTAAACCAAACATTGATGAGTCGTGCCATGGGGGCTCTGGACCGCGAAATGCGTGTCGAGGAGTCGTATATAGTTTCGGCCAGGGTGTTCCCCCTCGACAGATTGCAAGTACGTAGCAACAGCAATTTCTGCATCTGCCTGGGCTATCATCTTGGATGTGCGTTGAGCAGTGCAGACCTTGATGGTCTTCAAGGCCCTGGTGTCTGCGGCACTGGCGTCGAAAGCAGTAATAAGAGAATTAGCAGCCAGAGATAAGAAAGTCAGGATATTAGGTGAATGCAGAAGAGCCTTACAGCAAATCGCGGCAGAGCCATACTGTAGAACCGACGCCAAAACCAAGCTTGGCGACGATTCGATAACGATCGGCCAATACTTCCCCTAAGGAGACGGGATAGAAGTCGTCGGCGCGGTAACCAGGAACACCTTCCTCTTCCACGATGTCGGATACAGGCAGTTCTCGAAAGGCGCGTGCTGAGGATTGGTGAGCCATCCTAGCTGTCACCGACGCCCAAGGACACTGAGATGCGAATGGGGAGGAAAGGGCCCGCAAGTGAGATCTTCCAGGAAGAATAAGCGAGCCCTTATTATTTGCGGAGTTCCATGTTCTGCTTAGAGGTGAGAAATGGCGATGGTGGCACATCATGAACGGTGGTTGTTCAAGCAAGTTGGTTAATACCAGTACCCGTTGTTACACTCAAAAACGTACTACTACACCAAAAGAGAATTCTCTCATATGTAGGTACTTCTTAAGGTATATATAGTTCAACACACCCCCCAGCCTGTATAAGGACGATCTTCGTGCTTAAAGGCTAAGGATACACACTTACATCGACACGGCTTATTTCGTATAAGCGGACTTCTAGGGCACTAAAGCTCATTTAAGGCATCTCCTCGGCTAGGTTTCGAACGGGTAGTCTTAGCAGGGGAAGTTCCAGGAATACACTAGCGTATTCCTCCCGGGCTCATAACTATTAAATTAACGGGAGCGTGCTTACAGGGAGCGTTAATTCAGGAAATATATAATTATATTATGTATAAAAGAGAAAGAAAAAGGGGGCGGGTATACGTATCCTAAATATATCTACCACCTTCTAAGCGAGGATAATAGGGCATCTCTAACTAATAGGAGAGCACTATACCATGGCTTACGTGATAGAATATAATATACCCCCTAATTGTTACGCCGTGATTAGCGGAATGATTGCTTAGCCTGACCTTAACCTAGCCTTGTTTTTAACCTTAAAATTGTCGTATAGGCACACGGACCACGACGTGGTCTATAGGGGATCCAGGGGGGATCCACGCTATAATAAAGGGCTTCGGATATAATAGGGGCGGATACCGGAAAAGACCGGATAGAATCTAAATGACTTAGTACCTATAATAGAGTCTTTACCACCTAAATTAAGGGCATAAGTGTCGTATAGGCAAGACCACGATATAGTCTATAGGGGATCCAGGGGGGATCCACTCTATAACTAAGGGCTCCGGATATCGGGGACTTTAGGTATTAGGATATAATAAGGGTGGATACCGGAAAAGACCGGATAGGATCCAAATAATATAGTACCTATAATAGAGTCTTCACTACCTAAATTAAGGGCATAAAAGACTCTCCTAGATATAACTTAATATAATATATATATATAAGATTTCTGCTCTACTAAGTTAATTATTAAAGTGCCTTTTAACGTGCGATAATAAGAGACTCTCCTAGATATAACTAGATATAATATATATACACGAGATTTCTGCTCTACTGAGTTAATTATTTAAGTGCCTTTTAACGTGCGATAGTTATAAGCCCGGTTTATAACGCCTAAACGATAGATATTAATAAGGCTACCCCTATTCTACTATAAAGAAATAATCATATCTATATAAGCACTCTTAAATAACTACGATCAACCTAATCAAAGTAATTAAAAGATTAATTAACCTACCTATTAATTAATTAACCGATAAACGATAATCTAGTAAAGATATCTTCTAATATATCTAACGCTAAATAGAAGGCGGCCGCTATTACCCTTATTAAGTAAAAGGATTAGGTAGTTTAGGAGCGCGCCGTACGCGGTAAATCGGCCTCCTACTAGGATAACTACCTTAATCTAAAGCTAAGCGATAAGGAGGCTAACGCCTATCTCCTCCTTATACCTATACCCCCTAACATTCGTAAATATAAAGCCCTCGCCGCGGACCTTAACGCGGAGGAGGCCACGGCCACTACTATCACGGCTACTCCGTCTTCCACTATTACGCTAAAGGGCGATAAGGCCACAGATACCACGGACGCCGCCGCCACGGCCGCTACTATAGCGGCTATAGCCGCCGGTAAAAAGAAAATAGCGGCTCGCCGGAAGGCTACGGCTATAACGAAAGAACTAATAACCAGGACGCCTATATCTATCGATAACCTCTTTAAAAACGGGTATATACGCTACCTATAAGATCGCCGTATATACCGCGAGGAAAAGGTACACTACGACGCGTAGTAGAAGGAGTTTAATAAGGTACGCTTCTATATCGAAAGGACCGTATACACTATATTATATAACCTCCTCGCCTAGCTATAGGATAATACCGTAAATAACCCGCGGGCTTAGATTACTCTCCTATATGTATATATAGGACCGATACCTATAGACCTCCGTAAGGAAGCCTTAGTCCTATACCGATAATACACCACGTCTATAAAGGCTATACCTAAGAATATAGACGTCTGGGTAGTAAGCTAGAAAATAGCGATAATACACTATAAGTATATAGGCGTTTTAGAGCTATTAAGCGCGGACTATTAGGTAGAAGACGTGTTAAAAGCTATTAGACCTATTACCTAGGAATAGAGTAATAATTACCTAGTTAATAACTACGATAAGATTACGGAAAACGAGCTAACGATTAATAACTTTGTAAAGGCTTTAAGGGCGGTTCTTAGTAATATAAAGAGCCTATAATCTTCTACTATAAAGCCTAGAGTCGGGAGAGGCACCTTTAATACCCTTAGGAATCTCCCCGATACTAAGAATACTACTAATAATAAAGATAATAAGAAGCGTCCTCGTAGCGATATATCTGTAAAGGCTATCCCTCCTCGTTATAGGAGGCCCTATAAGATATATAAGAACCCTTATACTACCGCCGCCTATTAGTACGTAAGGCCGGATATACGCTCTTATACCTAGCGCGGCCGGGAAGATATTACGAAGGTTATAGAAAAGAAGATACGTAATTATAGCTTTAAAAGCCGCGTGAATACCGCGATATAGAAGAGGCGGGAAGTAATAGCTACTACCGCTAATAAGATAGAGAAAGTCCAGGAAGATTAACTCTATAATACTACGACTATTATAGTTTATAAAGACCTGTCCGTTACCGCGACGGGACTAGGAGCCCACCTAACCTAAGGGGTAGCGTATTATCGTACGACGATACTATTAAGATTATAATAAGAATAGGGGGTATCCCTTTCTATTAATTAAGCTAGAGTGCTATTATACTACGCGATCCTAGATTTAGGATCGTTAATCTATATCTTTAATAATCAAGGCCGTTTTACGGCTATTAGACTACCCACGGTTAATTTATTAACGCTTTAGGTAGGTACTTACGAGGCTCCTATCCTCGGATACGGAGATATTAAGCTACGTGTATAATCTCTAACGGGTATAAAGAGGCTACTACGCCTCTATAACATTATATACCATAAGGAATTCGTTACTAATATTATCTTAGAACGCTAGCTACGCCTATAAGGTTACTGCCAGGATACCGTAAATAATACTATTATTAGATCCGCTAATAACCGGCCTATCTATAAGCTACTAGATATCCACGGCTAGTATATAATCGAGCGCGCGGAAGCTATAGCCGTTATCGTGTTCGCGGTCTCGGTAAGGCACCCCCGCGATAACCCGTATAGAAGATCATGATAACCGCGGTAACCGTAGAAGACCACGGTATAATAGTAGTATAAACGCCTCGGCCACTACGGCACCAATACTCTTATAAAGATCGTCAACGCCACTTAGGGGGTAAAAATAAAGGGACCACGTATAACGGACTATAACGCGTATAGATAGTCGTAAATGCCTATATAGATCCGGCGGATACTATCCCTTTACCCGTTAAAGCCCGGAGAGGCCCTAACTATTCATTTTCACGATCTAGAAAAGACGGAGTAGTTAGCGGGCAGACTATATAAGTCTATTATATTCGTTATAGATATATATATAGGTTATATCTAGGATTACTACCTATAGAAAAAAGACTAAGGCTTTATCCTACACCCTCTAAAAGACGTTTTTACCCTACTTAAGACCTAATTCGATATTAGGCCACGCGTTCTACGGGCCGATTCTAAGATATTTTAGCACCTAGAAGTCGTTACTTTCCTCGCTACTAAGGGAGTAGAAGGCTAGCTATTAATATTATATTTATAGGATTAGAATAGCGTTATAGAACGGATTAAAGGTATCGTTAAGGGAAGGGCGAGGGCGATAAGGATTAGAGCTAATCTACCTATATCTATTTAGCCTAAGATCTTTAAGACTACTATATATCTATATAATAGAACGCTATAATATATTAACGACTAGAAAACACTATACGAAGGCCTACGCGGCCGTTAACCTAACCTTACGCACCTATAAGCTTATAGCTATAAAGCCTTTATAAAAACGCGCGATGCCTAAGCTAAAAGGAACCGCCTATAAAGGCTAGAACCGAAGGTATAGATCGGCTATTATATCGGATACTAATTCTCGAATAGCTTCCGTATTTAGCTACTATACCTAACGGATATTATTACTATAAAAGACGTGGTCTTTAACGAAGATAAGATATTTAACGGCAGGATTAAAACGCTATAAGCTATAGCTTCCGCTAAGGAAATCGGGGAACGCCTATAATCTATCCGCATTACCTATACTATAACCGCGAATAGGCTGCTATTAAGGGGTATAGCTATAGACGTATTAGATCTCGAGTCGGAAGACTCTTACGCTACCGCTATTACTACGGACGAAGGCGAGGCCGTCGCTATTACTACGAAAGAGGCTATTATTATTACTATAGACTATACCGCTATTACTACGGGCACCGCTATTACTACGGATACTGCTATTACTATAGGAGAAGACTATACTACTGCTATTACTACGGGTAAAAGCGACGCTACCGCTATCGCTACGGATAAAGGCGAGCCCGTCGCTATTACTATAAGAGAGGCTACTACTATTACTATAGACGAGGTTCTAAATCTATAGCCTAATAACTAGGCTATAGATTTAAAACCTTATAACTCCGACACCACCGCTATTACTATGGGAGAGGCTACCGCTATTACTACGGACACTTTACGGTTTACTACTACGAGGTTTAAACCGTTTCCTACGCCTCTAATATCGCCTAAAGATCCCGCGCGCGCGTTCCTTATAGCGTTAGCGGTGGTTAGGGGCGCTAAGGTAGAAGAACACGATAACCACTAACGGATAGCTATAGATGCCTTTAGGGGGTGCCTATCGGCTATACTCCTATTACCCGCGCGCCTATTACCCGCGCGCCTATCTATCACGAGAACTATCGTAAGTATATACACGACCGAG